TTTTCTTTGAGCTATCAGCATATAACCTGGACCACAGTTCCAGAGTTTCATTTTGTTTCTGAAGTGTTCCCCACCAAATGGGGGGGAGGAGGGAATTCATCTATATGTTCATTTGAAAGCGTGAAAATACCCTGAAAGAAAACTCTAAAGTCCTTTCTAAGCAGTCCTTTTGCTGTGCCCCAATCTGTCTGCATCTACTCAGCTTCATAGATAGCAATTAACATAATAAAAAAAAAAGCAAAGAATAAACTTACCAGGTGTATGTGCTTCCATGTTGTCTATTGGTTTGGCTGAACACTGTTACAGTACTAATAGGATATGACTATGCTGACTTTTTGCATAAGCTGCTTCTTCACTAGCTTAAGTTGTGAGCAGCATCAGCAGCTATTTCCACTCCAGACTGATCCTGCTTTAAGAAAACTACAACTGAAGCTAATTAGCCAGACCTTCTGTTTCAGTCATTACCATCATGAAGCGGAAGGGAAAGGAAAAAAAAGTAAATAAGCAAAATGCCCGTGAGCAACTATTGCTGTATCAAATCTCTGCTGGAACCTCAGTATCTTGGCTTTGTGCTTCTCAATGCCTCAGCAAGCAATATAACAGCAGTGATATTTTCTTCTAATTCCCTATGAAGTTTGTGAAGAAAAACAGGGAAAAAGAAAGCAAATGCTAAATGAAAGCTCTGCAACAGTTAGCTCTGCCCATAAAATCATTGCTTCAAGGATTAGATTATGAACAAATAATAAAGAACAAATGAATCATTCTTCGCTTGTTACATTTGATTAAATGTCCACATCTGCCCAGATCTTGGTGCATGTCATTCTTCGTACAGGAGCAATGGTGCAGTCACATGGATTTCCTCTTAACAACCAGGTAGCAAAGTGGTACCAGAGAATTCTCCAAGGAGAGCAAATGTTGAAATGTGCATGGGAGGGGGTTGCCTTGCTGTTTTATGATCAATTAATCTAAACTCTGGATATCAAACAGCTTTGCTTGTATATGCTTATCTCTGGAAGAAGGGAATGAAAACTTGTTGGAAATATGCTATTTAATACATACATTACGTGTAATACATGTAATATATTACATCTCACACCAACTAAATGCTAAGAAAGAAAGGTTTGCCAACTAATTCTGAGGAAATATAGGGATATAAAGCCAGGTGCTGTAGTGATCATTGTGGGCACAAAAGTCTACCTTCTCTGGTTCAAATTACTGGCTCCTATAAGCCATAAGGATGGTTCTATTACAGGTAATACAGCTAGCACAGGTAATAAATAATATACACAGGATGTAATATGATAGTAAGCAATATATAGCTGAGTAAAAAGGAGAAAGTCTGTCTTTTTTATTAATGACACATTCCCACTAAAAGCAAAAAACACCATATCTGAGCATCAGTGTGTTTCATGAAACACCTAGTGATAGTGTTAATTGAAAATGTCAAGCTGTGATGAGTAATGCCTGTACAGCAGATTGTGTTTTATCTGTGGAAGAGGACTGGTGCTTGAAAGTCTGCAAAAGTTAGCAGAGAGTTTACATGCTTTTAATAATTAAGAGCCTATATAAGAGTCTTTCTCAAATCCATTCAATGTTCTGTAAACCTATCTTGTAATGCATTCACCCATACAACTCTCATCTTCTGAAGTGGTGATATGTGTTCTGAACCAGTTGTTGAAAGGCCAAAACTGGCATAGCTTCAAACATGTAAGACTTGCAAACAATATACGTAAGTTAAACAGTATGTCCTCAAAGACTAGATTCTGCTGTGGAAGTTAACTGATGAGGCTGAATTACTGCACTGCTCTGTCCTTCTTTAAAACAGAATTGCAACCTACAAATATGAAAAACGGCCACATAGCACAGCATATTGTCAAGCTGGTATAAACTCTTAATACAGATCTGTTTATCTAATTACACTGAATTACATCTACTGTGAATTTAATCCTATAACTAAATTCCTCTTTGTCTCCTGTTGACTAATCTGAAGCTCCTTAGGAAAAAAACCTAATTGTTCTGGTCTGAAGCACAAAAATTTTCATGTAGTCTGTTACTGTCTAGAAAAAATTAGATCGACCAAACTTGTATTGTTGATTGAGACAGAAGTAATGAGAGCAGGGATGCTTGTTTGTTTGTAGGAGAGATCTTTAATTCAATGCTGTCCATCTACTTTGCTACCAGTCAAGAATCCTAGCTGCTTTTTTCTGCTCGTGTTTCTTACCGTATGAATGTTCCCATGTGTCCTTACCATTCAGATAAGCTGGTGCTTGATTAGAAATACTGTCTAAATCCATGAAACATTACACTGCAATCTTGTCAAATTTCACAAGCCAAAAACTGTCTGAGTGAGCATGCTAAAGGAAAACAAGAGGCAGTCCCTGCATAATCAAGGGAAGACACTGCTTCTTATTCTGTATGTACTCCTACTCTGATATAAGGCTGTTTTCCAGGAGTTGCTTATTTGTAGGTTCAGTTCCATTGATGTGCAGCTGGTTACCTACCTGACCCAAACTGACTTCAACAGAAAGCTTAATCTCTGAAGCAGATCAGTGAAGATACAGTGTGAGGACGAAAGAAAACCCGGAGCAGAGACCTACTGCAGTAAAGGGACTGGTGCTAATCAAATTTGGTTCCTCTCCCAAAGCTTTTTGTGGTTAATGTGTTTGATTTTGTGCATATTTTGTTACTATGACAGGAGAAATAGAGGCTCATAAATGACCTCTGACTATTCAGCAATAGAGGATATCCTTAATGAATAATGAGGGAAGAAAGGATATACATACTATATGTATTAAATCCACAGCTAGGTGGAAAATGGGGAAAAGAGATCTCTCTGGTTCCTATATAAGTTTATATTTTAATTGAAAATTAAATAATTTTTTCTTCATCTGCTAGGAGCTCCTAAAGAAAGTCATATGCATGTGTGGAGGGTATTTCAATCCATCTAAGCATATGACATTGTTCATGTGTTCCTTCTTCCCAAGTGGTAATAATGTCCTCTGAAATGTCTTCTACAGATGCCAAACTAATAACTGCACAGGGACATCTGATTTCGTGACCTTTTCTGTTAAGCTTCTCAATAGTATTCTCATCCTCCAGCTTGACTTCTATATATGGTTTGGACTAGCTGACAGCCACTTCTGCTGGAGCTGGAAGAATATACTTTTATTATATAAATAACATTAAAAACTGTAACTTATTCCCAGGTCTTACTAATTTCATAACAAAGTGATGGAAATTTATTATTTATTTAATTTAAAAGCAGCCCTCCCATTGCTGAATCAGCACTGTGAATTTACAGAAGTGAAACAACTCAATCTATCTGAAGTCAAAATATTTCTGTCTTGCAAAAATGCAAACACAATGAAGTTTTACTTCTGGTTTGGGTGTTTGTTTTGGTGTGGTGAGAAGTTATTACTTCCCAATGAAACTGTTTGACTGGCACTTTGCTCCACTCCCCTCCCAAATATTTTCTTCAGTGGCCTGATCATACCATTGAAAATTTAAATCCTACTATACTTACCCCCTTTTATACTTTAAATAAATTAAATCTGCCATTAATTAATTGCCTATGCAATGCTACAGGCTTTGGGCAGAGTGACTGGAGAACTGCATGACAGAAAAGGATCTGGAGGTGCTGGTCGACAGCTGGCTGAACATGAGCCAGCAACGCACGCAGGCGGTCAGGAAGGCCAATGGCCTCCTGGCTTGTATCAGGAGCAATGTAGCCAGCAGGACTAGGGAAGTGATCGTCTTGCTGGACTGCTGGTCAGGCCACACCTTGAATACTATGTTCAGTTTTGGGCTTATCACTGCAAGAAAGACATTGAGCAAATGTCAAAGAAGGACAACAAAGGTGGTGAAGGACCTTATGAGGAGTGGCTAAGGAAACTGAGATTATGTAGTCTGGAGAAGAGGAGGTTCAGGGCAGGCTTTATCGCTCTCTACACCTACCTGAAAGGAGGTTGTAGTGAGGCATGGGTCAGTCTCCTCTCCAAAATAACTACCCAAAGGACAAGAAAAGATGTCCTCAAGTTGTGGTAGAGGAGGTTCAAGTTAGATTGGACTTCATGATCTTGAATGTCTTTTCCAACCATAACAATTCTATGATTAACAACTCTACTGCTTGGTTATATTAAAGACCCTTCTTTTTTATAACTATTGGAACAGACTTGGCACCTGGCTTGGAGGCAGCTAAGGGAAAGGAGGGCCTTGTTTTTGTTTTTCTGAGGTTTAATTTCATGCCTTCAAAAAGAACAGCAACTTCATGTTTTCTTGCAGTATGGTGAATGCAATATGGTGCATGATGAAGGAAGAGCAAGGCCCATGATTAGGCTGCCTGTACATTGCCTGAGGAAGTCCTCATTTCTTCAGTGAAAAATTGAGTAAACAGTCCTTACTGTGTACTTCAGCACTTCTACAAATCAATTTTGAGATAAAAACTCATCACTAATCTATAGGCATACATTTGCCTATAGAAAAAGTTTAGTGGTGAATTTTCTCTCAAAGTTGATTTGTGAAAGTGCTGAAGTATGTGAATATGGACTGTCAGCCTGTTCACAAGCTCTGAGGACCTGGAGTTATAAAAGCTGTCTATGACATGCAGTTTCTTTGGCACACAATTTCTGGGGAAAAAAATATGTATACATTGCAGAAAAATATTTGATTTCCTAACCCATAGTCAGTATTGGTTATGTACCAAGAACAAAATCCTGCTGCGAACTCTTAAGTCTTATGCCATAATTGCCATACTCCCTGATGATGATGTGGGGGAGGGTAGGAGGAGATAATGAACAAAGCTAAAGACCAAAAAAATCAAAACTCCACAATGCGTCACTCAGATCTGGAATGGAGAATGCAAATGTAGTAGTTATGAAGACAGCATTAAATGCTTTGAAATACATTCTTTCAATAGAATAAATTGTTCCTGCTACTGTGGCATAAGCTTAACAACATGAATAATTTTTCTTGGTGAAGATCAAAAGTAGCAACATAATCTTAAATATCTCTTTTATATACTGTCCAAAGAATACTCTGAAAATTATGCTCCATTGTGCTAGTAAGTTTTATTGCTTGCTATGTTGATACAATTAGTTATTCAGAAATCTACTGGATAAAATAGTCTACAGAGAGAAATGGAGGCTTGCATTGTAAAGTTCCTAGGTCAAGGAACTCGAAGATTAAATGAACTGGCTTCTTGGAAATAATTAGTCTGTGCACTTCCGAGAACGGCACTCACACTGAGAGGCAGAAGGAATGTAATGCTGCACTACTGTGCCATTGGCACACTGTAGTGGGACCATGACCATGGTGGTCTGAGTGGCTGTGCAGCAGCTGCACACATCTTCCCATTTGCCCATTTGAATGGAGTATCTGGTATTGCTTCCACACTTACCCTAAGAGGAAAAAGAGATACAAATCTTCAATAGCAGTAGACCTCAATAATACCAGAATCCAGATTCTTCTCTTGGAAACAACCATGGACTTCCTTGACGGAGTACAGTGTTTTGCTGTAAAACTCAAATATGTATGAATTTATGGCTAAAGACCTAATTACCACTAACCTGGTGGACAGGAGAAGAGGGTAACAATTTTCTTTTGGAAGATAACTATTTTCTGTTGTTCTTAAAGCTCCCCCTCAGTGTAAGTCAGTCTTGCATAATAGCAAATGGGAGCCCTTATCCAGTTACCTATTTGAAAACTCTTTACATATGTGGTCTCAATACTTTTCCTCCTGTTTCTGTTCTTTTTCCAGTAGTCACAGGAAAGGGAAAGGCACATTTTGCCTACATCTCGAGCTAAAGATGACACACTCAGGATCAGGCAAAAGCCAAACTTCCTGGCTGTCTGTCCTTGTATAACTTGTGTATAAAGGCCATATATTGTACTTGTATAAGGCATGGCTATTTCAAAATGAGCTGTTATCCTGTTACTGTTGTTCTGGGGAGAGAATGCCCTTTTTGGTTCCCAGTGTCACAGGGACAGGAACATCTGGAAGGATTGTTATGTTTAAGTTTTTTTAAGTTCTCTATTATCTCTAAGGAGTGATGGGCAACAAAATGCCACAGCATTCAATTTTTAATCCAATTACATCTAAATATAATATATTTAATCCAATTATAGAAATACAAGAAAAATTCAGAATACAACAGTCTAGTGCTCAGGCGAAAAGAGAAGTTATATCAATCACAGAACTCAATCTCTGGTAAAACATTGGGCTTCTAAATACTGATTTAGATCTCATAACCCAAATCTAGAGCCTAAAGAGCGGTGTGTGAGCTTAACCTTACACTCATATCTAACAAAACTGTTTCACTAATATTGAGATGAAAACTCTCTTCTTTATAGAAAGTCCTAACAAAGTCATTTCAAACACATTCATCTGTATTAGAGGCAAAGGCTTTGTGCCCTAATGTGTCTTTTTTTTTTTTCTTTTTGTATGGCTTGAATGGGGAAAACTCAACATCACCAAATTACTTTAGGAAATTAGTGCCAAGGAGTTTCACACAGTATAAGCCAATCTATGAGAAGGGCAGAAAGGATTTGCTGAATTGAAGCCCTGAGGAAGCCAAAGCCTCCCTCTGCAAAAAAAATAAAGGGTATGAAAGAAGGTGAGTGGACGCTTCTTTTGTTTGTTTTACCTTACCTCACAGTGAGAAATAGGCACTTCCTTTTCTGTTATGCATCCATTGATATTTCTGTACTGCAATCTGTTACTTACTGGTCGACATTCTTCTTTCACACCTATCGAATTAAAAATAAATAAATTTTGGCAATACTGACAATTGCTGAGAGACAAAAATCCTTCCCTTTTCCTTCTTTTAAGTTTGAAATTGTTAGCGGTGAGATGTCACTACTGACAAGACTCCCAACAGGAGAACAAGCTTTTTTCTATATAATAATTAATGTAGAGCAGTATGAATACACCAAACTACAGTTTTAAGATTCCACTTCAGATTAGAATTCCTCTCATTTCTTTTTGATTTACTGATTTATTTTAAAGATGGAAAACCACCTCATATCTGCCTTGCTGCCTTTAATCATTGGTTTCCATGGTAGTTTGTTTTTCTGTTTTTTGTTTTTGTTTAAAGACAGTTCAAAAGTACATTGTTCATTCACCTCATAGGTAGTTTAACAAGATACCACTATCTTTGTGGGGGCTATGTAGGTGTAGGAGATGGCCAAGAAGCAGCATATAGGTAATTCATGGATTTTTAAGAGGTTAACTTCAAAAGGTGTGAGTGTATTTATTTCCTTGATATTCCTCAGTTACAACTGCCAAGAAGCAAGATACAGCCATTTTCCATTAATTCATACCTGATATGTCATTCATTATGAATCTTGATAAGCTTCCAAGTCAAAGAATGGAGAGGGTTGCATTTTTCCAATTAACTTAGAGTGCCATATATCAGTTTGGGGGCAATCAGATGCAAATCCAGTGAGTATTTTTTATTTTGTTTTTCCACTTTGTCTTTGTTATTCTTGTTGGGTTATACGATAAAAAGGCTTGTCTAAACACACACAGAGGAACAGTGATGGCAAGCAGAGAAATCTCCATGTCAGCGGGAATTTTGCTCCTATTCTCAATGGCCATGGAATATGCTAATATTGCTGGTAGTTTTTGCAATTAAATATATTTTTTTCTTTTCTTTTTTTCTTTTCAAATCAACATGAGAGGCAGTAGGGATGGATTTGATATGTGTGCAAGGTGCAAGTTCAGGGAACCTAGTGATCATTCTCTGAGAAGTAAGGTTGCTGTGGCCCATAAACTGTGGTCATGGGCAGTGATTCTGTTCCTCCACTTTCTTTGCCTGTTGTCTGGTATTGGAACTGGACTTCATTATTGACGTGTTCCCATACAGACTAATCCAGAATATCTGTTCTGAATGCTCTGAATATTTTGATCCTACTGTCTAATGCTTTGTAAAGGAGCTAATACTTTTTAAGCAATTGCTTTAGCACTGCAAGCAGCTATTCTTTATAGTATTAATATAATTCAGTGCCTCCATTTAAAGATAGTCTCTAGCTAATCAATGGAATATTTTTGTTTAAATAAATACTGGACTATTTTTTACATACAAAAAAAAATCAGAGAGCTTATGGAATTCAGCAGGCCAATTGCAAACTATGCTGATGTATAAATTGAAGATAAATGTTATCTATCTTCCTAGCCGCAAACATAGTTGTCAATACCTTTTTCAAGGGAATGTGAGTATTAGATTGTTCGCCTTGCTAGGGCTTCACATTCCATCTGAAAATAAACCCTGAGTTTGAAAAGTGTTTCTGACTTCAGGGCTGGAATTGCCAATTATCATTTAATTATTTCATCACTTCAGTTGATAAAAATTCTCCAACTAGAAGCAATACACAGGTCAGCACAACAGCTAACAAACAATCCCAAGCAAAATCAATGTCATCAGGCTCAACACAGTTTCCTTGACTTTTTGAACCCCATTTATTGACTTGTTGCCCAGTTACTTCATTTTCTATTTTTTTTTGAGTGTGTGTAGAGTGTGCCCTGCTTTATAAAGGCAAGTGCACATAATAGGATACATGCAGTTGTGATCAGTTGGAAGTAATGCAGATACAACGCCCTCTTTCTGAAATGGAAAGAAAGAGAATATCCTTTGCAAATAATCAGATCCTCTGCTACTACCACAAACTGTGATGACAAGACAAAACTTGATCAGCTGTTTGCCCCTGCATATTTAAAATCCAGAACAATGCAGTGGGCACACTAACAAACTCCAATAGCCAAAGCGTGCTTTAAATAGGGAAGGCTGCTGATAGATAAACTGTCTCAAGTCCTGGGAAGATAATGTAACCTATATTTAAGCTTCTGTGGCCATGAGAAATTCATTATTCTCTTATCTTAAAGAACTTAAAGAATACTTAACAATACTTTGCCTTTACAGTAGCTTTGCCAAAGTTTGGCTTTCTCAATAACATATTCAACAGACTGCATATCATTACTCAGTGTCCTGTTGGAATTTCAGGCTTGGGTACAACATAATTAAAGGGGAGAGCCTGATATCTAGCGGTATCTATCTGTTCAAAGCCACGTGTCAATCACTGTTTCTTTTTCCACATATGCATCCATTAGTACTTGTGTTCTGTTGGCTGGACAGCTTATTGCTGGATGATCAGGCTTTGTATAAAATGCTCAGCTACAATACTCAGTATATGCACAAACACACATTCTGGCAAAACTCTACTGGAACAGGGTTAATTATTTGTGTTATTACTTTCCACCGATCTTGACTACAGAGCTGCATGATACTTGAGCTCAATAACTTTAAATTAAATTCAGCCCTGGCATATGTTGACTTCTGCTTTATGGAGGGACCTAAATTTAGAAGTGACCAGGCATTAGACTGCATTGTAACATGGCACCTTTCAATTTCAGGCTGCATTCAAGCAAATATAATCAGGAAAGAAGATTTGAAAGCCCATGCTACATGGGCTTGTTTGTGTGTAATATATTTTACTTTGATTAGTTTACTTTTGCTGCTGCAGGGGGAGATATCACTTTTACTGTAATATACCTTAAATATGTGCATTAAACTGTGCCTATTTGGAACTGGCACAATTGCAACTCAATTTCAGGAACAGATACAATTAGCAAAGTCACTCAGCTTTTAAATGTTAAAGTTGATTTGTATTAACAGTTTATTGACAATATTCTTTACTTGCACCCTAGTCAACCAAACTTGACAACTAAATTATCTGGCTGAGCCATTTGATGACAGCCTGTCTCAGTAGCTTTCTGACTTCTCTTTCTTGAACAGGAACTCAGTGATTATATAGATAGTCAATGGCAGCAAACACTTGTGGAGTTAACTTCCTTCGTCGGGATATGATTACAGCAGTTATTGCGGCAATGTATTAATGGGTTTCTCTGCTGGCCATCTTTTATTTATTCGCACAGGCATAGAGCAAAAAAGAGATGATAGAGGGCAGGAAATGTGTTGAGATTCTGAATCCAAACTTGCAATGCTTCCTCATGTACACAAACTTCCTACAACTGTAGCCTGACAGTCAGATTATCAACAATGTAGGAGTGGCAGGACTCATTTTCAAAATGCAGAGTTTAAGACACAGTCAAGCCAGCCACTTTGATATGCATTTCCCCACTCCTTTTTGGTTATTGCATTATTCACAGCGAATTGCAACTACATTACTTTCACCAGCTGTTTTTACTAAATACATTTTAAGGCCATTTGTTATTCAAGAAGTGGCTGTCTCAGCTATTCAGTGTCGGGTTATGTGGCTGTCAACCACTGTGTTTGATACCATAGATGAATAAAATAAACATTCATAATTAACATCGGAATGACAGTACATACTGTCAAGGTGGAGGGTGTCTATTTCTTTCCAAATACTTTCCAAATACTTTCACACAAATCAGAGAGGGAATTTGGTGGTTTATTTTGACTGCATTCTTTAATTGTCTAATATAAAGTCCCATGGGTAACTTAGCTCACTACCCAAGGTACCCAGGAAATGTACCCTACTACATTTTCTGCAATTTCCAAACAAGTCTTACATGTACAATACTTACATGTATCACAACAGGTATTGCTAATTTTTGCAATTTTGCCCTAGAATAAGAAAAAAGAAAAAAATAAACACTTTTACTTAGGAGCAACTCAAACTCATTTGTTCTACTGGAGCAATATGAAAGGATATTTAGAACAGAATTATCCAACAAAATTATTTTCCTGTATTATACAAGAATATAAAGAATATAAAGAATATAAATCTACATAAGAAATCATATTTTCATTATAATCTTTTTATTTATAATTAAAGATGTAAATAGGTTACAATAGTCAATTATTTCTATTCAGTTATCAGTTCTAATCAGTTATTATCAAATGGATGTGGGAAAAATGCTTGAAAATTGGGAGAAAAGGAAAACTAGAGAAAAATTTGGGCCTTACAAATGTTATAGCATTACAGAGACTTACTTGAGGTGAGAGACAGTTACAACTATACATACCAAGTGGAATGGCTTGTATGTACCATACCAACCAGAATGGTTGGTATGTACAGCATCTACTCTTTCAAGTTTCCCTCATCAGTACAGTCTGCCCTCCTAGCACACATTAATAAGAGTAAACAAAGAGTGGAGCAGAATGCAGACACCATGGCCAAACCTTGTTGGATTCCCTGCAGAGGTGGTAATCTGATGGTGCCATGTAGCTGTGGAGTGAATGGAAGGTGGAGCAGAATGAAGACACTGCGACCAAACTCTGTTGTGCTTCCTGCAGAGGTCATACCATGCAGCTCATAAGCCACGTAGTACCATAAGCTGTCTGGTACCAGGCCAAAATGGTGGGACATCAGTCCCTCCTGATGGACTTTGCTCAAACTTTTCCTCATTCTAATCTCATTATAACACCAACGCACACATCCATCCCAAAAGTTACACACCTCCAAGTTACAACTACTCCTCACTGAACATGCTGTCTAGATTTTTGATTGACTCAAGAGACTTTTAAACCAATCTGTAATAAAAGTAAGTATGACTAGAGTCACTCAAGCTCCACCTAAATGTAAAAGAAAATATATAAAATGTAAGCTAAGGAGGGAAATGAAGTGAGAGGGAAGACTTCATCGTAACTTCTGGATCAGTCAACAAGCTAAACCCCCTTCCGCCCCTCAGGTCGGGACATTGCCTGAGGAGACTCCTCAAGGTTGAGAGGCCTCTCCCATCTTCTTGAATGAATGATTACTGCCCATTTGTACACTAGATGCTAGCTAAGAACCCCACACCTTACTAGAGAATTTCCTGCACAGATATCCAAAACCTGCTTTCTAAATGTTGTATTTGAATAAATCGTATTATTCGTGAACTCAGTTTGTTGTTTTGAAGGCGACCGGCCATACAGTCAACAAATTGTTCATGAATCCGATACTGCTAGAGTTGGGCCTTTAGTTGACCACACTACTTGTGAACTCAATTCACTGTCTGGAAGGCAATCAGACTTACAGTCAACAGACTGTTCGTGAATCTAGTATTGCCAGAGTCAGGCCTATAGTTGCCACAGTATTTGGTATCGCTAATAAGAGATGAGTCCAGCCACCCCCAGTCCCCCGTGAGGATCTGCTGGAATACAGGGGGATTTATCCCTTACGAAATTTGGCTCCCCTTCTAATTGCAACAATGGAATCGTAAGTTCAAAACTGTAAGATATTGCTCCCGGCTTAATGTTAGCATTTTTTTAACAGTATAGATGTTGAATACAAATCAGTTTCTAGTATCCACAGTGATAAAACACATAGCAGTTAAATATTAAGTTTGATTAAGAAAGAAAATCATTTAAACCATCTCTCTCAATATTTTAGCAGTGTAGACATAAGCATGGCTGTTCCACAACAACTCTACTTTTATAGGCAAGTGAACATAAAGTATCATATCTGTCAAATTTGGGTTTTATTTTTTCAAAAAATGTGTGTAGAAAAATATACTTACGGAAGAAAAATTCTGGAAATTCAAGGAGAAGGGGAAAAATGGAAAAATGTAATATTTGTTTACGCTGCAGTGGGACTAAACACCTGAACTTACATACATGAAGGTTTTTGTTCTGTGGTTTTAGGGGAAAAAAAAGATAGGCTTTCCATCAGTACCTAGAGCAAATACAATCACCTTTAAAGATAAAATAGTTAATTTTTTAGAAGGGAGGAGAACAAAGGCAATTTGGGAAATTTCAGACTGAAAGTAAATGATGTCTCCACTGATCAAAATACATTAGAATGTGACAATAACCCCAAGCCTGTAACATAATAATCATTTTTCTGAATTTGGAGTTGTGTGTATAAAAAAGCTGAGTGTCCTGCCATGATGACAGATTGGAAAAAATGGACTACAAAATCCTTATTCTTCCTGCTTTATATGTCTGTTCACTTCACATACACATTGGAGAGGCATGGGCATGAGCTGTGTTACAGGTTTTCCACTTTCTGTCATGGCCAACAAAACGGGACCAGGTGCATATAGCATCTATTTGATGATTAAGCAAATGTAGCACCATGTACTACATCCCTTCCTAGATTACAAAACACTGTTTTTCAGCTTAGAGCTAACCCTAGGTCACAGAAAAGGTGGATAAGTTACTATTTCACAGAATTACAGAATGGTTAAGGTTGGAAGGGACCTCTAGAGATCATCTACACCAAACCTCCTGCTCAAGCAGGGACACCTACAGCATGTTATACAGGGTTGCATCCAGGCGGGTTTTGAAGATCTCCAGAAAAGGAGATCATTTCACAGCTTATTTTAACAAAACCACTGCAAATGTCTAAATTTTCGTTCTTCCTAGAACACAGGGCAAGCCTGTTTTGGCTGTTGGGGTAGTCAAAACATGCCTTATCCTTTAATACACATATTATATCACAAAGTAGATTATTTGATACTTTTCTCAGTTTGTGTAATAAGCCGCACAGCTTTGCTCCAGATCCCAAACAGAAAACATTGGGAGAACAACCTTTTTCCTGTTGTTGCTGCTTCATATGGAGCAGAATTCCCACATGCCTTTCTCCTTGCAGTAGAGTCCCACATAAAACCACCACATATTTAAAAATAAAGATAACTTACATTTTCCTGATTTTCAAAGAAAGTTCAAACTCAGTTAAGTTAAGATGTTGGGAGAGGCTTGGGATTTCTCACCGCAAATACACATAAAGTACATATATACAGAACTATTAAGACTATTAGAAAACCAAGAGAGTATTAGAGAACATGGAAACAGGACCCATTTCGCTACTTACACCATCAGCCAAACATCTTCTGGAATCAAATGGAGGACAGCCAGTGATTCTCCTTTCCCAGATAAATTCCCCTTTCTCATTTATTTTACAGAAGTGATTGTCACAGCCATCCTGAAGAGATTCATTTGGCTGTAAAGATTTAAGGGCTGTTAGCTTAAAAGCAACATGAGACCATCATTTTTCACAATACTATGCAACCTGACTATTTCTTTACTGATATTCGATCAATACACCATGGTGATTAAGTTTATAAATGGAAACCTTTAGTAAACATAATTCTCAACAAAAGCTTCCTATGGGAATTACTTACTTTCATAAAGTAGTGATTACAACAAGGCATCAATACTGAAAATATCAGTATTTTGCCATGGGGAAAAAGAAAAGTCCATTTTAAGAGAAAAACCTATCTAAGCGAGATCGCTGAGAATTTGGCCTCCAAATTGTCTCTCAGAGAAAATTTAACTTTTGATTCAGTAGGGAAGACTGCTAAAAGAAATGGACACATACTCTAAAATTTAGATGAGCAATGAAACAACATGAATAGTTATCTCCCATTTCATGTGAAAGGCTGACTGGTTCTAACCAGAAAATATCTGTTCATGTTTAAAATCCTACTATACCAGAGACGTTTTTAATAAGATTCACGTTTTCTACTCAACTTACTAATTTTTTGCTTAAAGTGAGGTTTGAATTTACTGTTAAGTATAGAGCAACTGTTTGGGCTCATTTTCTAGCCTACAAGTGCACCTAGATTGTCCATCCAGAAATTTATATTGTTATTGTTTTGTCTTTCATTTACAACCAAGAAATGAACTTTTTTTTTTTAAGAAATAATACTAGCACATAAGAAAAAAGACAGTAGCATTATCACAGCCTAATTCAAAATGAAAAATAAAGGCATTTTCCCTGGATCCATTAGAAAGAAATAAAGGAAGGAAAAGAAAGAAAGGAAAAAAATAAAAAGAAGAGGGAAAGAAGAAAAGAAAAAAAAAAGAAATGAAAAAAAGAAAAAGAAAAAAAGAAAGCGCTTGAAACTTACCCGGAGGTATTTTAGCCTTCCATCTCTCAGCTTGATCCCACATGAAGTTGGCATACATTTTCCACAGCAAGAGCTAGGAATTTCTTGCCTTCTGTAATTCTAGAAAGTAAAGGTCATATTGTTCTGGGATTTTTTTTTTTTTTTTTTTGAAATTCAGCAGGTGAAGTGATAGCTATCAAAAAAAAATCTAATTAGCTGGGTTTTTTATTAGCTGTGGGGAGTATTATGTTTGTTTTGTGTTTTAGATATAGCTTGGCATTAATCCTCATATTGTTTTGTCCACTAAATTCAAAATTCTTTGACTTTAAAGGTGCAAGGTTGGTTCCACTAAACAATATGTAAGGGCAGAAGGGGTAGAGACCTACTTGAAATTCTGTGGGTGACATACGGTTCTCATATGTAGTAGGGAGGACCATTTCTGCAAAGTTAGTGAATATTACACAATGTGACTTGCAAAATTAGTTTGAAAAGCTTGAAGTAGGAGGAAAGGGCAAGATAATGAATAAACAGTGTGCAGGGAAAGGGAAGAATTGGGTCAGAATGGAAACAGGAAACTAAGAGCAGCAGAGAGTGTATGATAGAATGAAATAAAAAGGAGAGGTCAGAAGAGAGGGCTAACATGGCCTGACGAATGGCACAGGAAGAAAGAACGGTGATGAAAGAAGGCATGGGAGAGGGAGCAGCATTAGGTGGAGAGAAAGTCATAGAATTGATAATGGGAAGTTAAAAAAAACAGAAATGAACCTTCTGAGTAAACACATCAAGTGTCTCACAGTAATGTCTCCAGCTGCTGCACAGCTAACAGCTGTTTATGATGACGTTAACATTTTAAGACAACAAACACTCTGATTGGTTGGAGGCATACATGTTATACCTATGATTTTTATACATATTCTGGAAAAAAAAAAGAATTTGGGGAGAGCAGGGGCATTACAGTACATAAACTGGATCAGCTAGGGCTTTTTCTGGCCCTGCAGACAAGTGGATCAGTACATTTTGGACATGTAAGTATGTCTGACTGTCTTCTCCTCCCGGCACAGACTGGCCTTGTTTATCAAGTCTACTGGAATCAGTCCTCGGTATGTGCTAATCACTGCCCTGTGCCTGGGCATTATCTGAAAGATAGTGGTTAGAATAGGCTAGCTGAGGCATGGAGAACAATTAATCAACACAACTTATTGCAGACTGAAGCTGGAGCCTACAATCTCCCTCTTAATTTATTAGTGCAGAGGAAACCACAAAAAATGATTTCCTACAGTGCCACTTCCAATTCTACTTAGAGATTGAAAAAGAGACTTCTCCCTTTCAAGCAAGGATCAATTTATGCCTCTCTCAGATAGCGGTAGGGGATCCATGTTATCTCCTCCATGTTATCCTTTTTAATGCTAGGGTCATTAATTACACAGGTTGGTATGGGTCTCCTGGCTTCCACCATTATTTCAGGAGAAGCTAAATGAGAAGGAATCTCTTGAACCTTGTTCTGTGAAATTTGCTGTTGGTTTGTGCTCCCGGGACAGCTTCCCCAGTTTGCTTAAGTCTCAATTCACCCTAGGTATTGGTGCTGAGGAAAGACAGAAATCTATATATATTTCAGCAGAACTACTCAGGCAGTCACTGTTGGTCAGAGGAGTGAAAAGTGAGCTACTTGCCTCTTTCATAGCCAAGCCTATTTCTTGAAGATGGTGGAAACAGAAGTAAAGACTGTAAAATGGTCAGTAGAATTAATGAGGACAATCCCATCAAACCATCTATGACCTGGCTGGGAACAAAGCAGAAATATTGAGCTCAGCTACTAGGTGATTTGGAATATTTGTATGAAAGCCTTGAAGCACAACAATATAGCTGAGGTGCCAGGCCCAAGAGGAAAAGATGAGGTGAGAGAGGTGACACAGCAGTTCCTGTGAGTGTTGTGTCAAACCTCATTTTGCCTTGAAGGTAAGCAGCCTGGAATGCCTTGACCTGTGGACCTGAGTTCTATGAAGAATTACCTTTTGCTATGAGGAGTTAGATTGCATTTGGTATGACCTAATGCATGGAAAGAAGAACACAAGCCCATGATTTGTCCGGAAAAATTGTAAGGAAGATAACAGGTCTCAGAGCTGTACCTAACATGAATGGTTATATACAGTGGGTGACATGACCTTATCATCAGACACATTCTTCTTCAGAAAGGTCAGACCACTTTCACTTACCACTGGACATGGTTCACAGGTGAATTTTGTACATGTCAGACGATATCTTTGAGAAGACATTGACTGTGGAGTGCAGAGACATGTTGTGCATTGATCCACCATCAGGCGCCTCCACGGCTGAAATATTAGAACAAATTTTTGACAGTCAGCAATTGTCTCTTCATTAAAACTCAAATAAATGAGCAATTTTAGCTATTTTAAATCTGTTTCACTACATCTGTTGCAATTCTAGACAAAAGAAAACAGAAAAAACATGACCCTATTTCCAGAGGCCATTTTCCAAATAAAGCATTTAGAATTCCTAAGTCTGCAAATGAGCATTTCTTTTTCTTATTTCCCTGCTTGCAAAGCAAGAAAGGAATCTTTGGAAGTGGCGTTGAAGATTTTGTTAGATGATTCTCATCAGTTCATTTTCTCTGAGTGGGGTAAATAGATTTGGCATCAAGTCTTCTGTTCTTATGCCATCACAACCTGCAACTCATCAACAAAAATTACTAGTTATTGTACTTATCACAGCACTGCTTAGAACATCTAGAACCCTAAAACCTTAAAAATCACAATGTGTAGAAGGAGAAAGAAAAACAGAGTGAAAAGCTGGCCTTGTCCATAGCTACGAAAAAAAAACCAGTATATGAGCTGGCACAAAATTCTAATTCCTTCCCCAATATTTTGTTTGCTGGATCCAAATACCCTTTCAAAGCAAACAAAAATGTCATTTTAAATGTAGACAGTGGAAAATGCCAGGCTATTAGATGGGAAACAGCAGAATCTGGAGTTTACAGATTTGGATCTAAACAAACAATATAATTCTGCCACTGAAGTACACAACTCTTCATTTCCACTCTAAACAAACCAGCATAGCTAGATGGACAATATGAGAGGAGTTCATTAAGTATTTTTACAAAGAATTTCTAAAAACTAATACATAAAGCAAATGGACATTGAATATCAGAAATGAATAAAAGTCAATAGAACTTCACTGTTGACTTCACTGGGAGACAGGAATTCTCCTTTCAATTGTAGATTGGTATGCAACATATTTTGCATATTCTCAAATTCCAGTTTTTCCTATTCAGTACTAGTAAACACTCATCCAACAAATGAGCAAAAACAAGGAGCTGGCCAAAGTAACAGTGGAAAGATAGTGGACTTGTGGGTAATTCAGAGTCAACACTCCAATATAATTACTAACGAGAAAATGTTCTGAACATTATTTGCCCTCCTACCCTGGAGCATAGTAGAGCTTCTCAAGGCTTTTAATCAAGTTCCCATAACAACGACTTCTTTCTTGTTTCGTGCAGCTCTAAAAAAAAAGAACCTCCACAAACAAGTGATGGAGGTGGTTATAATGTGGAGGTTCCCATTTTTTAAAGCGATCTGGGATTCTGTGATGGAGGTGCAAGCAACAGTGGAAGACTGGATACGATAACCAAAAAGATACTTCTCCGACTCAGCTGCTGTCATCATTTTGACTCAAGCTCTAGACCTAGACAGAGAATCCTTCGCTTTCATTACTGTGAAGACCTGACATCCACTATAAAAAGTTAATCTGGGGTTAAAAGCCAGACATAGATGCAGGCATGAAGCTGCAGTTATAACTTTTCCCTGTTATAGCAAAGTCACATGAAACAGTAGATTTCTTGTTTCTAGACAACTGAAGCATTCAGATATCACCATGACAGCCATGGTACAAACTACATGGCCTTACAAGATTATTCAACCCACCAACACTAGTATTACTCTACTGGTTACCGTGGCAATACAGGCACAAGTTACAAGTGATACTACAGATGATACTCTCATTAGATCTCATAGTAGTTTTAAAATTCTAGTCCATTTCATACAAAAAGACAGGAAAAGTTGTGCTTATACTGAAATCACTTGTGGACAGAAGTTTAGGGTTAAGTTTTCTAGAGACATATCAAAACCCAACTCATATACCCAAGTGCCTTGAAACTCTGGGAGAAAGTCTTACTTTGATTTAAAATTTACATCACAGCTTAGTTCCATGATATGGATCGGGGATTGGCATGCAAATGAACTTTAGCAGTGTATTTCTGTGAACAAATATAGCTTCACGTGACAGAACTGAGTAAAATAATGGATTGATATATCTTTTTTATCTCCATATGATACATCTATCATGTTCTCTTGGATAAATTAGTATAAAACAACATCTACTAACACAGTGTTAGACAATACAACCAAAATAACCTGCCTAAAGCCCAAATCTACTCAGATCTTCAAACATGCTACTCACTAAAAGCCTGAGAAAACAGATCAGTGATACGGATAATCCTTTTGGTAAATACAGCCACCTGCTTGGAAATCTGCAGTTAAAGCCAGTTGCAGCATTGTTAAGAACAGTGGTGAATGCAATACACTGAATTACTGAAATATAATATTGGTAACCAGATGGAAGACAAAAATGTAAAAAAATTAAGGACATAGTCATTTTAACAGAACTGCAGTAAAAGAGTCCGAACTTGTAACTATTCAATGAATTAGTTAATGAAGCAAATCTTTCCCCTGATATAAAATGACAGCGGAAACCTTTCTGTAAAGGATCATACTCTCAGAATGAAGGCTTTGAAATACAGGAAGTATAAACTTCTGTGGACATCATATCTTCCTTTCTGACCAGAGCTCTGGAACAGTCACAGAAAGTCATGTCAAAGCGATGGTAGCTCCAGCTGCTCAAAAATTTTCAAATATATAGCTAGTTTACTTTAAAATATTCATTAAATAAAACTATTTTAGCTCATAGTATCAATTAACTTAAGATAGGTTCTAATGTAACCCCCCAAACTATTTTCTCCTATTTTCCATATCAAAATAGCTGCTTTATTTAGAAATCTTCCAAAGTTTGTATTTTTTATTGCTAAGTGTTAGGCCATATCAAAATACCACTCTGTTGTGCTCTCTCTCAGTCCAAATTCATTACTCTCTACGCTACAGAAGATTTTGCCAATAGTTTACTCTTTGAATGCTAACCTCAGTAATGTTTGACCCTGTGCAGAGAAAAGAGCAAAAAGGTAATGCTGAGACTTACCAATACCCTCAAAGACTTTCTGCACAGACCATGTTTGATAAAATGTCCAATTGTCAGGAAGAATAATAATGCATTTTAAAAACTGTATTAAAACTTACGAGATTTTTATATAGAATTAGATAACAATGAAGTTTTATGCCATGAATTCATGGCAATCTGAGCAAATTTTATTAAGATAGGAATGCTTTTCAATATTTAAGAAGCTAAAATATTTTGATTTTAGATATCCAAAATAGAGCTACTTCTAGTTTTGTGTCCAACATGATATTTGCTTCAAAATTTTCTTATGCTTTATTTTATTTTAAAATATTTTAAACCACTTGAGAGGAAAGAAACCACTTTTTTTCCTGACATGTTAAGTAGACATCATTCTGTTGGAAGAGAAAAAAAATTGTTTACATGGTTCATTAAAGGACAGTATACAATTGGAAATACACTTTTAAAAAAATACAGAACATAGGTACACATTCTGGATAACAAAAGGTGGCAGGAGGTCAAATTTATTAAACTGTATGACATTCTCTACAGATTTGATCTTTATAACTTCATAAAATACCACAATGAGTTTTGACAACATACCGTAGAGAAGACAAATAGAGGAGTCAGAAAGAAAGCAGATTATTACTTGTTTTGCCACTTTACAATCCTTCTCCAAATGTTCTGACAGAAAATCAGAGATACTCTTTGGATTTAATTCCACAGGAATGTAATTCCTGTACAGAATGAAGTATATTTGATTACAAGACTTTAGTTCTAATAAACTCATAAGCTTATGCCTACAGAATATGGGAAAAAAATGAAAAGAATATGGAGAAAAATAGAGGGAGGAAGGTTTTTTCAGCCATACCACAAAAATGTGAGCAAACTTACCTTCTAAATAAATGGGAAAAAGGAATAAATGCATAGATAATAGAATACATAGGTTAAAAGTCAGGTTAAATGAGTAAAAAGGACCAATTTCCCTGGAGAATGATGAGAATACTTGTAGTTCCTTGACACCAGAGGTTCTGCCAGAATATGGATTTAGAAAAACAATAGACAATTGACAGAGCTCTCCAAAGATAAATTCAGCATAAATGAGATCAGATGCCTAACTCCAATGCTTCCCAGTGTCATGGATTGGGTTAAACACATCTTAATCTATACATTAAATATGCAGTTGAGAAAAATAATTCCTCTGAGGGCATATCAGCAGCAATCTGAAAGCAGACAGAGGTCAAACAGCAAGGGAGTTCAGCTTTCCTGTTTCTGCTAATAGCCAGAGGAATACCTCTTCTTCCACACAGGTGGAGCAAGAGTTTCCATTCTTTTTTTTTTTAAATCTGTTTTATCCTCTATGTAAAATAAGGGATGTTTTTCCTTCCCTGAAGTAGGCAAGGATCACCTTTGAGAATATCCCTCACAGCTAGTTTCCTGTGTGTTTGGTAGACTACAAGTCATCACACAGTCCACCCTACCACAGTTTCTGAGCACATCCTTACAAGATGAGGAAACACTATTGTCCCCATTTGGAGAGATATTAATTGTCATATAGGAAGCCTGTGGCTGAGTCATGAACTGAACATAGTCGACTGAGCCCATTACCACTGCTTTTACTACAGTCTCATTTGCAGAGATTTTGACCGAACAAAGTTGTCCTGTGAACTTTTGGAAAATTTATGCTCTACCCATGCTCATTAAAATATTGAAATATCTTACTGACATATCAAATAACAGGAATTGAGTCTTACCCCAATAACAGTGCCATTCAAAAGACAACCATTCACAGGTACTGAAAAAGAGAATAATACACCATTTAGTGCCATTATTTATATTTAACAAACCATGAATATGCTTTTTGACTTATTTTCATCTATTTTATGTCACTAGATCCATTCTCAATATAAAGACAGACAACTTAAGTTCTTAGACTATAAAGGCAATAATTTGCCAGTGTTATCCTGAATTCTACCTTAAAACCTACCTTGCTGAGCTGTTTTTCCCAAGTACATGGTACAATGCGGATTTTCCCTTTCAGTTCATGCCTCTCAGAGGCATGAAGTTCTGCCCCTCAGAAGAGGCAGTCATAGACTTCCTCCAAGTTGCAGTCTTTACTTTTATTCCTCACACTTCTAACTGCTTATAGCATGGTAGCATTTATTCTTGTCAAATAAATGTGATTGGGAGTCTTCCCAGACTGAGGCCAGCTGGCATAGCGTGACCCATGTCTGCGATGATAGTTGAAAGCCACAGCCCCAATGCTCATTGGTGCTCAGAAGAGAGCACAGCTGCATGCAAAAAGCCTCTGTGGTGCAGACCTTGAAACCCTCTAATTCGTGAACCTGCAAAGTTCACGAATGCCTGCAAAGTTTTTGGGAGAGAACTAAGCATTCTAGGCCAGAAGCATGTCAAGGTCCATTTTAACTGCTTAACGATATAGGAACATGGCATAATTTGGTAGTTTAGAACTTGCCCGGCATGTCTCCCTAAAGCATTAGTAAGTAGGACGAATAATAGGTAGTTAAAAGGGAGACAATTAATATTACTTAGAAAAAGGAAGTAATAGCATAAGGTGGTATTTGACTCAATGCCTAAATCATACAGCAGAGATTCAAATTATTATTAGGTTTTCATAATAAACATTTCTGAAATTAAAGTTGAGAAACAGAAGATCAATACGTCAGCTGACTAATTTTCCAGTGGTTCTACTTGACACATATGAATGCTTACCGCATCTGCAGGAAGGACAGCAGTCTTCTATTTGGTTGCATTGTAATTCAGTTCCCTCTGTACAGTTGGGCACATCCATCTGAGAGCAAGAAATATTCTTTTGCTGCACAAAAACCTCATTGTTCACTTGGACACATTCATTGATAATGCAATGATTGAATGGAGATCGCCATTTTGTGCCAACCTGGCAGGAAAACATGGAAGTATTTTATATTACAGAATGCAGCAATGTTTGTGCCATCAGATAAAGGAAGGACAGTCACAAGTGATATGCTGATTTACATAGTGTATGTTTACTTCCGCAGGAATATTTTGTCACTCAAGAGTGCTCATAAATCCTTTAAATCCTTACTCTGACAATCTTACAGAGTAGATCAGTGTTGACTTTTTAAGAATGGTTAATATGAGACTCCAGCCCCACATCTCAGTACTGTAAGATCATATATGTTTGCTTGGAAATTGAATGAGTACTTTTCTCACTTGTTAAATAGTTACTTCGATATTAATGACAGAAGAGTTGAAAGAGTACACAGCAAGAAAGAGACATCAGAATATAGAATCATAAAGTTTGCAAGGGACCTCTAGAGGTCATCTAGTCCAACCGCCCTGCACACGCAGGGTCACCTAGAGCATGTGGCACAGGACTGAGTCCAAGTGGGTTTTGGAGATCTGCAGAGAAAGAGACTCCACCACCTCTCTTGGCAACCTGTTCCAGTGCTCTGTCACCCTCCCTGTCAAGAAATTTTTCCTTAAGTTCCTGTGGAACCTTTGGTGCTTCAGTTTGTGGCCATTTCCTGTTGTCCTGTCGCTGGCCACCACTGAAAAAAGTCTGACCTCATCCTCCTCACTTCCTCCCTTACAGTATTTTTATACAGTAATCAGGTCCCCTCTCAGCCTTCTCCAGGGAGAACAGGCCCAGCTCTCTCAGCCTTCCTCATAGGGCAGATGTTCCAGAATCCATTTTTCATTTAGGACAACAGAAAGCACTAAGACATGGTGGAACATTAGCATATAGCTTTTGAATGCTTATTTTATGAAACAGAAGATAATATTGAACATTTTTAAGAAGTATCCTGGTAAATGCAGGGCTAGAAAATGATACATTTTTCAAAATGAAAGAGACAAGCAAATATTAACAGCACAGATTTCCCAATGGCATGTAGATATAAATGCAGAAACACTATAATGAATAACACTTTAGGAAGAAAAGAGTGTTGAGAAGGTCCATTATTTGAAATACATTTAACTTACTATTTCTGCCTTCCTTTGTTAAATGCAAACCGGCAGGTAGGATTAAGAAATTTAGTGCTACTGGAGTAGACAAAGACTTATGCTGGCCAGCTGGGTTAGTGACAGGACAAAAGGATTAGTCTGAAAAAATTAAAAACTGAGGGAAAGAAAAGAAACCGATATCCACTGAGGGTTCCAGAGTCATAGGTTTATTGCAACACATTTAAAATAGCATTGTATACACTCATTTCCCTTTTGACTTTTTGGTACAGACATAAAGGAATTAAAGGGGATGAGACATACTGCTGAAAATAAACTGTTATTCTGAGCAAAGAAACAACTGTGGCCTGGACCACTGCAGTCTGCTCTGGCCTGGAGCCATTATCTTTAGCAAAGGGATGATAATTATTGTCCCCATTTCAATGTGCACCAAATAGTATATCCTATTTGAATAGGACCATGAAATGCAAGCAATCCACTATCCAATCTGCCTGTTATCTGTAGAATAACATAAATTAATGAGGATAATTTAAACAAATAATCTTCAGTCTGAAAACCATCCTATCCCAATATTCTTTTGAAGTTACTAATTTTATGTCACAAGATAGCTTCTTTAGAGCCTAAAAAATTTGTGTACTAGCAAAACCGAGTGGTTAAATCACCCTACCCATACAAGAATATTTTTTTCAACGTTTCTTGCCTTAAAGGAAATTACTTGCATTTGCTTTATGGTTTTTTGATTGTTTGCTTTCTGTTTGCTTGTTTGTTTGTTTTGCCTTCTCTGGAATACAAATGATTTGAGGGCATTTCTGCTAGAAGAGAAAATGCTCACACCACCACTGACTGACTTACCTCATGTAAACGAGCATCTGCATCACCTCGTGACCAGAACAACTGCTCCTCACATGCTGTCTTTTGACATCTTCCACAACACTCCCCTTCTTGGATGACATACTTATATCCCTATAAGACAAAAAAAAAGAAAGAAAGAAAAAGACTCAGGAATAAGAGAAGATACATGAGAAAATTAACTCTAAAAAAAGCCTGAGATAAATGCTTAATGCTTGTTTTGTTTGTTTTTGGAAAAGGAAATTTTAAAACACAACTGTAAGGCCACACACTACTATTGCAAAACAAACAAGTGTTCCATCCAGTTCAACAACTTTTTAAATGGCTAACATTACCTGGGAAGGGGTGTGGGAGGGAAGTACACTAGTCATAAAACTTCTTATCATCTTATTAGCTGCTGTTTAATTTATATTTTGAAAACCAATTCAGCTACATGAATTAAATAATTCTAGGTAATATTTTTCCTCAGTTCATTTTGATCCTTACTGATGACCCACTCTTGTAAGATCAACTTCTCTGGTGTGATATGGATCACTCTTCATAGGAGTTCAGCAAACGCTGATGGTGCTCAACATACACACAAAAATAAATGAAGCAAGTAACAAAACAAAACAAAACAAGAAACTCCAAGCCTTGAAATAGTCAAGAATATACCTGCTTTTTTTAGGAGTTGAACAAATATGTAATAACACAAAGATCTGTTACAAGACAAAAAAGAAAAATTAGATAAGCAAGGAATGGAAAGAGATGAGGTAAAAGAAAAATAGTTTGGAGTGCCCTGAATTGTTTAAGCAACACTGAGCAAAATCTATTTCCAAACATTATGGTTTATTGTATGTGAGCAATTCCATGTATGCATTAGTAAATTATAAAGACAAAGTGTTTCAGATTGCATTATAGAGGTGCGCAAAAGGAAGAAGCGGCAATGAATCAGCATGGCTTTGGAACTAAACTCATTTATCCCTGAGTCAATTTTCTATTATTAACTCTCCAGAAAAATTAAGACACCATTCTCTAATTTCCATAGTAAGTTATGTTTTAAAGTGCAAGCTAGATGTTTGAAATACTACCCATCAAGATTTTCAGTTTTTAAATGACTTTCAGTTTTTAGTCACTTCAAGGTATTTGGAAAATTGCTATCCATTTTATCATCATTATTCTCTAGAAGGATATACTGGAATTGCATGTGCAGAGAAATCCCTACGGAATAGCCTCCAGGAGGCAGAGACACCGCTTCTTCTTGTGGCACATGTAATGACTACAGCAATTATCTGAGTGCTTTCTCAAAACTGACAGGAGGATAGAAGAGGATAGAAGAAGGGAGAGGACCAAGACATAAAATGAAGCAGATCCATATCTTGTTTGCAGGTGAAAGTTTTGTGTTTGCTGTTAATTTAAATATCTTTACAGGATTTCAAGATTGGTGCATCTCAGTTAAATATCCTTTCTTTTTTTATATATAGTGTTTCTTTAAATTCTGTAACAACAGAGCACATCTGAGTGTGATTTTGTCATATCTGGGAGAAGTGTTTTTTTTTCTCTATGTAAACAAAATATAAGTTGTTTTCACATAAATCAGTGAGATAGTCAACAATCATACTGCACAAGTTTAAAACCTATTAATGTAAATAAAACCAATAAGCAGGAGGATGTTTGAACTTCATCTGAGTGATAACTCAGAGTTAAAGGAAGTCTTCAATGTCAGCAGTTTCCTGTATCTTAACTGAAAGAAAACCCTTAGGGATAATTTAAACAAGATTGCAGAACTGCTGTAGTCCTTGATGTGGTTATTCACTGAATCAGGAATAAGTTAATAAAAAGACCTCTGAACTCTCCAGAATCCAACAGTGAGGGTTTCAGTCACTAGTATTTGGACACAATTAAATTAATTAAAGGAGGGCAAGAAGTGGCAGAATATTGTCCAAAAATATTGTCTGTTGCCCTCCAAGCTTTTTTGTTTGTTTCTTTTAAGAAAATACTTTTCAGACTGCAATACTTAAGGCTGTTTTGACCAGAATCTGTAGCTTTACCTAACCAAAGCTTTACTAGAATATAGATCATTGATCAAGTCATGGCTATGAGCCAAAGTGCATACAGATATTTTAAATCCAATATTTCATAATCATTGCAGTATTAAAAAAACAAAGTCTGTTCTGCAAAAGAAAATTGAAGGAATTTGCTTGTAAGAGTTGAAAATTCTCATATCTACCCTCATAGTTTTCACTGTATTGTGTATAATAATGGATTTCATAACACTTGGTATACCGATAAAAGAAGAAATATTGTATATCTCTAAGGAATTATGCAGTATTCAAGAAAAAGTGTGGGGAAATAGTCAAAAAGAAGAAAAAAAAAAGACAGTTTATATTTAGATCACACCTTTGCGTGTTCACACGCATACAGTCTGTCCAGCTCTGTTCTGATAAGGAGGCTGGAAGCTAAGTAATATTGAAACACAGTGATATTAAGATATTTGAAATTCCTTTAAAACCGAGGTACGATTAGCTTAATAGACTTCAGAAAAACAAAATTGATTCTCTTCAGAAAGAGAGAACTGACAACTTACATAACTGAAATATTCATAGTCAAACTTAAAATGCACAGTCAGATGTGCTAAAATACAATTTAAAGTAAATTCAAATGAGAATTTGAAACAAGCAATTTGGAAGTTTGGCAAGTGTGCATGGCATATTTGTTTTGAAATTCACTGTTTACCCATCAAGCAGAGAAAAAGATGGAGCAGAAAAAAATAAGTGAATCTTGTCTCACATAGTGTACTAGAAACCCCAAAACATTGCACCAGCATCTGAGCCAGCACAGTGAATGCAATATAGAAGCAGTATATGTGCCTTGTAGTTAGAGGACTCTGCAAGAATTGCAGGATTATGCCCTTCCTTGCAATTCCCACAGAGCCATTCAAGCTGGAACAGCTATAATGTGTCTAGGGACCATTGTGCGCAGACTTTTAACAGCCACAGAAGGTCTCAGTGTTACAACTCATATTTGAGAACGTTTGTTGTTTGGTCAACTGTTCAAACTTGTAGGTGAAGGGGAATTATACTATGTACATCCTAATGCAAGAATTTAAAAAACTAGGTGGTTTGTAGAACGAGACATAGTTCATCTCTGTTTCTGCACTGAGGCAGCAAAAAATGACAAATGAGCTTCTTCTGGCCTTCACTTCATTGTGCAGGGGAGAACAGAGCTCCACTGCGTAATGAATTAATTTAAATGTTACTCACCCGAGAGCATAACATATTGCATGTTTTTTCATGACATTCCATCATCTGAAGTCCTGTGACATCATCTTTCATACCAGTGCAAGCACATTCTCTACAACCATCTTCCCAGGTTTTCCCAATGGGGTAGACAATGTTGTTGTGCACACACACCTACAGAATACAACAATCAGTACAGAAATGGGCACACTTCTGGTCCTAAAAGACTGCATTTTAAGACATGACATCTACTATATGGAATATGTTGAACCCAGTGGAAATGGTAGGTCTTTAAGCTTTGGCAACACTACTGAAGAAGGGAAAATAAATGCAGTCAAAACTGCTATTTTAGAAAAGAATAAATACAGAGGTTTTTATCTTTCAGTGGAGTTGTCCAGGATTTGGATGTGATCTGATTCTAGAGAAGAGAAGGTCATGAAGAAGGATGCATGCACACAGAATTTTTTCAGCTGATCTGACAAAAGGTATTATATTGAACTACAAACATTAATTTGCTTTTGTTATGACACAGAAAAAAGTGCCTCCTCTTAAATTGCACAATTGATATATTTTATATCATGTTATTAAAGACATGAGCCCTTTTTTTTTTTTTCATAACTGTAGAAACTGATGCACAGAGAAATGCAATGACTTATGCAAGGTCACAAGATGCTGAGGAGCAGAAAATAAAGCTCAGATCTAAGTTGCAAGACAGTGCAATCTAAGCTAAGTTGTAAGATAAGTTTTCTCCAGTGGAGGTTACACTGCCTTTCAAACTCTCTTCTAAGAAACTTTATCTTAAAGTTTAACATACTATACTTGCTTATAAAATGGTCAGAAATATAAAAGACAAATTTACTCTATGATATTTTAACACAGTCAAATGCTAATTTGGCAAAAATTTATAAGTGGCAGTATAGTTCATATGAGATATGATGCCTCTTCAGGCAAAGGCAATCAAAGGGCAAAAGCAGTTTGGGTCTGAGGTGTTCTTATATGATTGAAAGAAAATGCAATTCTGAAATATGGTAACTGTACTGATCCAAATGCACATAGCTGAGTTATACAGAAACGAATTCCAATCTCAGAATTATCTCTGAAATTTGTAATGCTTGAGTGACTCTGAAAACCTCAAAGTCACAAAAAAAATGCATAAAATGTGTCTGAATAAAGGCTTATAATAAAACACTCCCAGCATGAGAGAACTGTTTATTTTCCTTGCATGCACATAAGTTGAAAATGCCTTTGTATCATTACCTAATACTCAGCTTTGGAACTTGTTTACATCTAGCGTCACACCTACTGTGGTATTGTCACTCCATATATAAAAGATATCCGTATTTGTGGAAAACCCAGTACATTTCCCTTACCTGGTCTGGAATGCAGGTGGTAGATATGCAGCCACAGTCATTGGTGAGAGACCTAGATAAATAACCAGTGGGACAGCTCACTGTTGAGTTCGTACAGCTGCAGATGCATTCAAATTTATCACAGCACTCAGTCTTCTCAACAGTCAATTTTCGATGTGGTGGGCAGGAAGGACTTTGAATTAAACTGCATGCCTCTCTGTTACAGGCTAACAAAAAAATATGAAGCACCATGTTAAGCACACAGTATTTCAGAACGCTGCAACTGAACAATGACTTCTCTGGAGAATGACTTCTTCTCTTGTTTCTATAAAGTTTTATACAGTTACTTAAAGGCTAAGAATTAATGCAAATATAAAAGACTCAGGTCAAAGTCTGTGCTGCAGGTCTTATCCTGAGGAAATGCTCCTCTTTCTTACAAACAATTGAAGAGATTTTAAAGGAAGCATATGGGTCAGAAAACACACATCCAAGACAGCAGTGCTTATCTTTTCCTTAAATCAAAAGCGTATTCAAGAAGTGCCAATGACATCCTTCTTGCAAATTCTTCAAATGTCCTGTCCATTAGCTCCAAATGAAATCTTGTAGAGGGAAAAAACAAAGCTCAAAGGAATTTGTCAAATGGAATATACCACTGTTACTCTGTTTTAAAAAGATACCTTACCACATGTATAATTTGGTCTGCATTCTCCTGGGTTGGTCAGGGCAAGCTGCTGACCAAACTCACAGTCAGGGGCAGGAGGCAAATCACAGGAGACTAGGTCACAGACTATAAAGAAATTGAGAGAGTTTTTAAGACAACATATGACCAATAGTCCATCCACACCCATTAGGTTGTTTTTAAAACTCAATTGCTATCCTAAATTCTGAAATTAAATCCTGAAATAAATTAAAATCTGAAATAGAGTGCAGCAGGTTAGAACTTGTTTTCAAAATAACTTAGAGAACAGATTGGGTTCAGTTTATGTGCATTAATGTTCTAAAGTTGTGCTTAATTTTCTTTCTTTGTGCTTAATTTAATACAGATCATTCAAAAAATATAATTGAAAAATCATTTAGATTTTCCCTTCTGCATCTTTTACAAAGGGGCAAGCTTTGTGGGAAGTGAATGCAGATTCTTGTTCCTCCCCTGTCCATAATTCTCACACACTCATTCAGTGGTTTAAAACACAGAATATTATTAAATGAAAATGTTAATTTTATGTCTTTAAATCACCTAGTAAAAATATATGGCAAGTAGATCCCAGTATGTTGTGAGAACCTACCACACTCATACTCTGGGCAACATTGTCCAGGATCTCTGCGCAGGCGAGGGACTTCACAGGGACCACATTCAACAACTGGAGTAAGAATAAAACACCCACAAAACATGTTTGGATAAGAAGTAGATGAACAGGCAACAAACAGCAATCATATTTAAATCATCAAACAGCAATCATATTTAGAGCTAAAACAATTTACATTTGACAGTAGAGCAAGGTCGGACAGTGCAGTTTACTCTCCTGTTGTCAAGACACGTGCAGAGCTTGCAGGGTTCATTGGCAGGAATCCATATTTCCATGTGCTGCATAAAAACAATAGTTAGATACTAAGTTTTCTACTAAGTTCTTACTAAGTTCTACTACTGCTCATACTAAGCATGCTGGTGATGGAAGTGGATGAGGGTGAACAAAATTAATCCAAAAAAAAAAAAAAAAGACTACATAAAAGAATTGCTTGTTTGTGAACAGTTAGAATCTAAAGAGTAATTGTGAAATAACTGTAATTTATCAATTTAGCAAGTGATTTAAAAAACACATTATTGGGATAAGGAATTACTATTGTTTTAGGCATGAAACATTCTCAGATGGTATAAATGTAATTGCAAGCTATTACAAGTAACAATATAACCATGGAACTACATACCGTGATCAGATGTTTAGTGCTAATAAGGCAAATAGAGATATCGAGATATTTTTGGAAATACACAGAAGTGGCTGCTTTGCCAAATTAGTAGTACTTAAGTAGAGAAATAAACTTTTTTATTATTATTATTATTATGAAGAATATTTGAGGTCTCATCTCTTCATTTCCCAGTGGGCTGAAGACTGGATGAATAATATCAGTCCCAAATCAGAAACTGTCACTCCTTTTGTGATTATCTGATGATAATAAGTACATTACCAAAAATAACAAGTAAAATGTACAATTAACCACCTGCCTCTCGTGAGAGGGAGGGAAATCCTTGATTTTAAACAGGCAGTTATCTATGAGGACTACACGTAACAGCCGCATGAATCGAAAAGAGTGAAAAGATGAATTATAGACAATAAAGTAAATCTGCAAAATTGATCCAGCTTCTGTACAAGAATTTGTAGAATAGGTTAGGGTGGCATGAAAGGGAAAAGTGTGATCTGGAGTACTCTGGAGTGCTTTAAAAATCTGTGTTGAGATCATCATTAATAACAATAAAGAAAAGCAACATTTAAGCATATTTCTAACTGCACTCCTAGATATATATGCACCTTACATCTTATAGCGGTCTGCAAAGACAGTAAAAATTGCATTTTGCTTTCAAAGGTGAACAGCATTACAAGGATAAGACAAGAGGCAACCTAGAACAAGCTAACCAAAGATTTAACAAAGCTTAGGAACCAAAATACATAGGATTAGTTAATGAGAATGATGACAAAGTAGAAAAAAAAAAAAAGGCAAAGAAAGCTTGCATCAACATATCGCTACTGAAGACCATTTTCTCAGAGCTTGGGAAAAGCAATTACAAGCCCTCTGCTAGAACATTCAATGGATTTGCAGTAAAGAGTCCTGAGAAGGCACCTGACAGAGAACACCCACATTTGGAGATAGATATGAAATGCATTTTGACATTTCAGGACACAGCAAGAATCATGACATTTTTTTCTAATCTTTCCATCAGCTTCAAATTTCTGGCAGCTTTTTCATCATTGTAAGATCCTCTTTCTGATACCAGAAATGACAGGAGATAGCACTGTTCTATGTAGAGCTCTATGCTGGCATAGACAATCCCATAAACCCAAGCACCTATATGGTATGGAAAGGTGTGAGCAGAGAAAAACTAGTTTCACTGTTCAATATACTGTTCACACTGCTAACACTGTGATGCAGAACGCCTGTGTAAGCTGAGCCTCCCTGGCTCTTGATGACCCCATCCACATGTAAGCTTTGCCAGGAGGATGCATATTGCAGATTTTCAGAGTTAAAACCCCATTAAGGAGTATGTGACAGTTCACATGAATTTTAGAACTTCTGCAACAACAAGTAGGTAGATATCCCTACAGATGTTGTTCTCAAGAGACATACTGAGCTTTTCTCCACAAACACTTGAAAAAATTATTTAAGTGGAAATTGCACCACATTGCCTGGGGACTTGGGGAAAGCATACAGACCTTATTCTTTAATCTGTACTTGCACTAATGATTTCATTTAGAACAACAATAAAATGACTAGAGTTTTCAGGCTCAATGGAAATTGTGCACAACTGATCTGAGTTTAGAGCATTGATTACATACACTGCAAGTTTAGAGGAGGAGAGTGAGAAAGTGGGAAGAGCTTCCAGGAGAAATAAATGGATTTTTTTTCTCTCTCTTCCTCGTATTATAGTTACTGTTTGTTTGTTTTTTTCAATTGACTTTTACCAGCTCTATTAAGTATTCTACAAATCCAGTGAGACTACATTTAAAATAAAGAATAAAGAACTAAAATGGAACAAAAACTGCCATCTAATGTATGGAGATTCTGTAACTTAAAATGCAAGTACTTAAGACCTACATAGGCTCAGTCCTTCTCAAAAACCTGGCTTTCATTTTCAAAGACAGCACCAAAACCACACTATTGTTGAATGAAAGAACACACATTCGTTACGTTTTTCCTCCTCTGCCAGGAAGGAGGACTCTGCCTTGTCCTGCAGTAGGAAACCTGCAAAATCGTTTTTACTGCAACGCTATTTAGTCACTTAGCTGTATTCTGCAAATACCAGCAGGTGGCACTAATGCATAAATTACGGCATGGGCGGGATGGTCTTTGCAAGCATAGACCTGCGTGCCTCTGGGGTCCGAGCAATTCTCTGATGCGTATGTGCGTATTGCACGGGCAAACAAATATTCCTCATGCAAATTTGCAATCAGTACCACTTGCATTGGTCCAATAGTGTCCGAAACACTTCCTCCAGTAAACTGGAGGGTATTAGGGTACTCTAATGCACCTAAAAATGACATTTCCTCTACAAGTTTGATGCTGTCATTATGTTAATTTGGTGCAAACAGTATTTGAGAGAAATGTTTTAAGCCAAAAATATTTTTTTTATATTTGTTCTAACCATCAGTGTTAAAAATTTGTTGCTGAACTGTGAGTCTAAATGTGTGTATGAAAAAAAATGAAGTTATTCAGAGCACACGTGTTCATTTACTTGTAATAATATATCTTTTCATGCAAAGCACAGACTAAACACTAAATACTATTGACAAAGACTTCTGGTCCTTACAGAAAATATATGTTATAAAAGAGATCTGTCTGTGAAACCAGGTTTGGCAGTAGAATAAGAACGTCCAAAAATGACCCAAATCTGATGTCCATAAAGGACTGAAAAATAAATCTCCTTTCCCTTAAAGTCTCACAAGAAAGCTGAAGATTTAAGAGGACTGAATGACTTCAGAAAGATGTCCTAGAGTTGATTGGCTGGAGGTGAAGAGGAACAATCCTGATGTTATTTGGAAGAGGGGATATAACAAAGAGCTTGTGCACTTATTGTATGTTGCTAAAGAGGAAAATGAACAGTCTCTAACTGCAGAGTGGCACCTGGAACCTCTCCATTCCATTTTGCCATTGGATTGCAATTAGTTCAGCCCTTTTCAAGTAAAAATAATATGATAAATTTCATCAAATGAATGATCCTCATCTGCATATATTTGATGGAAAAAAAAGGGAGAAGATCTAATACAACTTCACCTAAGTTCAGCTTACTCTCACTGCTCAACACCAATCACTTTGAGAAGACAATACACTTCAGTGATTTTGATCAGGGATTCCAGTTTCTTGATTAAATTGACATTAATGGTAAAAGCCTACTGAATGGAGGTGCTTATCTTGGTAAATGGTGACTTATGCCATCCCCCCTCTTTTCTCTGAGGCCTTCTCTTCACACAGATTTCTCATGCATTTCCAGGTCTGTAGAGTCCCTCATGTGAATTTTATACTGAGCTCATCTAGTTTCACACAGAGGAGGCTACACGGGGCTGACAACCAGCCAACTGTGAGGAAATAAGCCAGTAAATAAAATGTCCAAATCAAAAAGCATTCAAAGGTACAAACCCAACCCCTTACAACAGTAAGCTAAGTATATAGCTACCTGGTGGCGTGTGCCATCTTCACTGATGCATTGTGTGCAGTCTTCTTCAGCAACACAGCTGTTGTTAAAAATTACCTGTCCATGTGGACAGAAACAGCCTTCTGTGGGATAATCCGTGCAGACACTGAGCTCAGTACTATTCTCACAGTGCTTCATGCAGGCTTTGTGGCAGTGATCATATATTAAATATGTGGGACATTTCATTGCTGCAGGGAGACAGAGAAAAACTTGTTAGACGAGATCTGAAATGCAGAGCAATGTTTTCATTTATGCTTTCTTTAGAATTCTGTCCATTTTTTTTGAAAACGATCTTCATGAATATATTTTCTCCTCTTCAGATATTAACAAGTTTGAAAAATACATCTTTAAAAGTAAACAAATCTGTAGAAAAAAAAAATGATAGAGAATACATGCTTAACTCAACATCCATGCAAAATCACCAAGCCACATTTTCAGGTCGTATGAATCAGAATAACAGTACTTACTGTAGCAATGCTACAAGGGTTTACATTACCTGAATATCTAGCAATTTTTCTTTTTTTTTCAGGACTGTGTAAGAGATATCAGAACCAAGTGTATTAGAGAATAATTGGTAACTGTGCAGGGTTGGTAGACATCCAGGACAGACTATTGTATTAAACAAGAAGTTTTGGGCAATTGGCAATGTTTCTAAGTGATTAAAGAAAGCTCAAGAACAGAATATATGGATACTTCAAAAACAAATCTGCTGGATTAACTGAAATACCTACAGCCAAAAAAAGTTTCATTTCTTAAGCTAACACACACAAGTTTGCTGGTGAGTTCATGACACTAAGATCATCATCTCTCAAAGCAAACGTAAAACTATGGCTACAGCTACTCAGGGAACCTATGTACACTAATTCTGTGCTACATACTGCTGTAACCTCCATAACTGTTCTCTACAGATTCCATTAGAAAAGATATTTTCTTATTTCCCATTTTGTCCCTTTTGTGAGGTTTATAAAGCTTTTTATAGTTCTCTGACAAAAGATACTTAAAAAGACTAATGAAAGAAGACTGAACTCCAAATCAAACAGGCACTCATCAGCTGAATTGTCTACATATACCATAGCCAAAGGAAACAGAAAAAAAAATGCTTTTAAGGCTAAGCCTGCTCTGTTTTGAGCTATTCTAAATTCAATTATTTCTAATGTGCTGGAGATGTGCATAGGGACAGCTATCATATTTTAGAAGATACAGAGGAGCTTAAAAAGTCCTAGGAACCTGATGGAAGGTTCAAAACCCTTATGAAATATATTGGTTGGATTACAAAAATACAAAATGATCATCTAAGTAAAATAGGAGAATTGACATAATTTGAGAATCTTGTCCACCATCAGCTGAGCTATTAGTTTTCGAGAAAGAAATCATTCCTATAAACAATTCTGCTGAATATAAGATAACTATGGCAAGCACCAATGTTTATTTACTGTGATGTTCTCACTTCAGCTATAATGAACATATGTAAAAATACATCTGCAGCACCAGTCAAGGTAGCATATCATACACTTTTCTATTCCATTTCCCATAAGTATACTCAGCACACTGGATATCAACTTGCTTCCCTTTAGTAGTCTTAAAGCAAAACTAGTATACCTCTTCACAAAATAAGATTATTTTAGGGTAATGTTGACACCTGTTAGCCTTGGTCCATAGACAGTTCCAAACCAAAAACAATACTAATGGTAAAGTCCTTGAGGTAGTTCATAAAAGTTCATATAGCCCCTTCTCTTTCTTCCCTTTGGCTAGCACTAGCAAGCCAGGTATGTGAAAAATATGCTGTATAAAAGCAATGGGTTTTCAAAGAAGAAAGAAGGCAGTTCAATTTTGCAAAAGAAATATAAATGACCTGATATGAATGCCCTTGTTGGAAGTACCCTCTTAGCCTTGGTAATGTAGACGATGAGAGGCTCATAGGCAGCATCAGAACATAGGATAAACTCCAACAGCGCCCAAAAAATATTCTAAAATAACAATTGGTGTATTGTAGAAAGCCAGTCAGACATACTGCTGTCTTTGTGCTCTGGAGATCCTATACTATTTGCAGATAATTCTGTTTTTGCATAGAAATTACTGTAAGGGATATGGAACGTAAAGTCCCCACAGTCAGCCTCCTGAAAATGTATTTGAACAAGCCTTGATGCTGGTTGGCTGCTTAAATTTCTGTTCATCTCAAATGCTCATTGCTTCTGAGTGGAAAGAAAAGGAAGACTGTAGGCTAGCTAAAGGGAAAAACTATAAAAGTAAGAAGCCAAGTGATTAGAAGACTTCCAATTCTTCTGCCAAATTACTTTCAAATGAAATCTACCTAAACTACTAATCTGTCTGATACATGCTGTAATCATTTACTGATACTACATTCTCAATTTCTTATATCCACCGAAACACAACTTCCTCTTCCAAAAAGAGAATAGCAAGACAAAAGCTGTGAGAAACATATTTTCCTGTAAACCTATGATTAGCATATTTCGAAGGGTCAGTAAAGCAGATTGGCAGATTAAAGTACTGAACTTTCAACATCTGGTTATCTTCCCTTTGAAGTATTCTAACTACTCTTAGTAGATATTGCTAGGGAGAAAATAACCCCTGCAAGGATGTACAGAAAGTGTGTGAGTCCATCAAAATAAAATAAATAAATAAATCACTTATTAAGTACCCAGTGGAAGATTTAGAATAATAGTTTGTGCTGGGATCTACCCTGACTTTGTGGTTCAGACATACCAGACAACATAACGCAACTTTGGTTAAAGTCCTAAGTGGATATTCAGGAAAGCTGGGTTCATTTTTCTAAGTTGATTTTTTCAAGGTTGTGAAGAAAGGCAGCCTTCCCTTCAGAGGACGATGACACTGACTCTTTATCAGTAGCATAATATAGTTCAAATTGGGCAACTGGCCTGAGGTCACTTCCTGTTGGCTTATTTTTGCCTCACTATACTGATGCAAAAAGCAAAAATGCAGCAAAAAGTACAGTTAAAGCCTCAGAGATACTGAAACTGGAGCGAAGAATGCGCCGGGACAATGACAGCATAGTGTATTATTATATAGTGTATTATTGTCATTGCTATTCAATCTCCCTGCACTGCTCAGGCACAGCTTTGTTAAACATACCTTAACAAGTCTCCTGTATCATAGAATTCCTTAAGTCCTATGGAACTTTTGGTGCTTCAGTTTGTGGCCATTAACTCTAGTTCTGTCAGTGGCCACCGCTGAAAAGAGGCCAGCCCCATCCTCCTCACTGCCTCCCTTGAGGTACTTCTAGACACTGCTCAGGTCCCCTCTCAGCCTTCTCTTCTCCAGCTGAACAGGCCCAAAGGAATATCTCTAGGGGAGATTTTCCAATGACCTTTTGAGTAGTTTAAGCTCATTTTAAACCTACCTAGACTGATGCTGCCATGAAAAGGGGCAGCTCTTTCTCTTACTTAAAATATTCACCCCTGCTGTTCTTTTTCACTGACACATTTTTTACTTTGCAACTAGTTTTCAGTACTCACCAAGCAGTACATAAGAACTATTGCCAGCACAATGAAAGACATGGGAATGCATGGATTAGAGATGCAAGAGGAAGAGAGCAACTGGCTTTCTGAGCCCAACTCAGCTTAAGGTAATCATAAAGCCATCCCCATAATGGCAATTTGGCAATTTGGCAAAATAATGGTTTAAAAACTTCAGTCACTATGGTCTTTGCTTACACAGCAAATAAAAAGGAGAAGATCATCCCAGGCATAGCTTCACAACAAAAATCCTTCACTGGAAGAGGTGGTTTAAGGGGTTCTTTTATCCCTTGCTTCTGCTTCTGCCCTCCTTCCAGCCCCTTTTCCTGCTTCTCTGCCAAGTGACACTGCCTCTGAGCTGAGCAGGCAGAACCTGTTACATGCTTGTTTCTAACTTGGGCTTGTGAAATGATCTAATGAAAAACAAAACACAAAGACCTCCATTTGCAGAGAAGCATTGTTCCCAAGCAAAACCTCCTGCCTGGAATCCCCACAGTAGTTGATTGCAACCAGCTTCTCGTTCAAAGAACTACATCTTTTCCGAACATTATCAAATATCCATTTGCTTCATACGCAATACCAGGATCAATTACCTGTTCAGCTACCGTATATCCATAAGCTAGTATTGGCAAGTATCTTGTTGGCATGCCCACAATGCAAACAAATGACATCAAATAGCTGCTGAAAAGCACTCAGAAATGTCAACATATGAAGATTAACAACTGCAACTGTTGCTGCTCTCAGTTTTCTCTCCGAGTATCCTTGCTTTATGGACAAAATTTGCTAACTGCTACTGATACTTGAGCCATTTATAATTGGCTTAGTCACCTCTGCTTGAGCTGCCATCTCTTTTTGTAATTACAGACTAAACATACCTTGGTTCATCCAGTAAGGGCTGTGTGAATAATCCTGTTTCCAGATGAATAATGCTTTCTCACCACTGAAAGCTGAATCCCAACACATGTTCGTACAGCACTGCAGTGACTTGTTAGAAATCCCTAAGATATTTACATAAAGATAAACCCTCCAATATTATTTAAGTGGAAACCCTGGTCAGCAGAAATTCACTGTAAGCAGTGAGTCTGCTTGAGGGGCTGCATTTTCTATGACTCAGAGTTAAAGGGCTAGCAATGGAGGCCACAAGTTGCTCCAACACAAGCCTAAGTATGGGGACCAGAAAAATACTATGCATTTCCACCTTATAGTAAACTTTCCTTCCATGAGTTGACAAAAGGCTGGAAGGCCGGAAGCTGCTGCTTAACATACCCTCTCTCCCAAAAAAGATCAAGGAAAATTTAGGCGGTAGAAATAGCACAGACTAGAAAGCAGGCTGTGCCCTTACAGGATAGTCCAGGATATTCACCCATCCAGGCAGGGCCTTCAGGGAGGATTTGTGCTGCTTCATATGCACCAACACAGAATGACAAAAATGCTACAAACTTGTAGTGTAATCAAACACTACAGAAATGATATGGATTCCCAGGAGCTGGGAAAGAGGGAAGGAAGGAAGATCATTTATAATGATGCTGTTGTTTTTAAACATGCAGTGGTAGAATGATTAAGCTGTACAGTCTACTGAATCATTCTTTTATCCTGTAAAATGTCTCTGTAACTGGCAAATTTTATAGTTTGATAGTTGCACACATGCACCTGCTTGAAGGAGGAAGATGAAGCTAGCATTAAGACACTAATGACAGTTTTCTGTAACTAATATTAAACTGGGCTGCTTCTTGGCTATCCTGGTACACTGTGCAATAAGATAGGAAGTTTAAGACTGCAGAGACACTCTGAAACACTGACACTCTGCCTTGGATATTACAGTTTGCAAATTCTGTCTGAAGCACTAAATTTGGAAAATAGCAAAATTAGAACTAGAAAAATTCTCCCTCTGTCTGCCACTACTATATTCTAAACAGACCATGTTGTTTCTTAGAAGTTTTAGTCAGCAACAGTCACATTGTCCTCAAAAACATCTGCTGGAGAATTATTCAAGACATTAACTGGAGACTCAGGCCAAATGCACATTCACCTCCCTTTTTTCCTGTGCCATAATTCCTTCAGTCTGAACTTAAAACATGAACAAAACCATGTGTATGAAGATTTTGTGGTATCATACAGGCTCATTTCTGATATGAAAAGAATATGGGGAACAAGAGGGAAAGAAAACAAGGAAACAAGAATTTACTACAACTACTGAGAAAAAAAAATGAAGATAGGAGGTGCAGGAAATAACTGGGACAGTAAAGCACTACACAAAAACCTAGTTGTGAAGGAAAAGACTTACATCCATACATATCTCATATACTTGGCTAAACCAGAAACACTGTGGGCAAGTATCTGAACGTCTGTAGCCATCTATACAGAGACTAACGGAAGTTGAAGAATAAGCCATCTCAAGAGCTACTTACTGGCACTTAAGCTTTTTTTTTTTTTTTTTTTTTTTTTTGGTAGGATCCTTACATATGCATGCAATGCCTCATAATAGGAATAGGTTGTCAGGAAAAAAAATACAGAATGATAGAGCAGAAATTCTTAGGTTTGTAAGAATGTACAAAACAACAACCTGCTTATTTTGATACTTGCACGCGTATTCTCCTTGCTTTCTATTAGGCTTTGGACATCTGTGAGGCTCATAACTCCTATACTGTCTTCTTAGAGCAAATGTAAACTCTTCTCCAGGACTCAAGCAAATACAATCAGAAGGACAACCATATTTGCAATATGAATTACAGTTAGCTTTTATAGCTAGCCGACATACCCTGGAAAGAAAATGCACTGCAGAAAGTGTCTGTTTCCCCATTTTTTATGGGGAAGTATAAGGCTAAAATCACCCTGATTCTCCTTTCATATTCTGAAATCTAGGGCCTTGTTTGTAGTGAAGTGATTTTTCAGAAAGTCTTGATGCCCGTACGAATCTGTGTAAGGATAGAGAATCCAGAAAAGTTTTAATTTGTGCTGTCGGTACTTGGGACAAATACAGGAAGCAGAGTGCTTCCATTATTCCAACTTTCCCTGTCTGCCTTGTACAGGCATTCATTTGTCTGTACCAAAGCAAAACAAACCTAACAAGCAGAACTGGAGCAGATTCTTAGTACAGACTTGGCCCCCAGAAGGTTTAGTGGGGCCTGTCTTTGCCTATACATAGTTTTTGCATGTATTTCTTAGACTATCCTTCTGGTCATGCATAAGTAGCAAAGCTGTGTATTTTAATATCAAACATCTTTTCCATAACATGAAAGTCAGTGCATAATAAACCTAGCATCTGACCTGTAATATAACTTATATTAAACTGGAAATTCTGCCTCATTACACGACATTCAGAAGTCTAGAATTACCCAGGCAAGTTGTAAACAATGATAGAACTCCACGTCATAAAGTTGTACAGTTTGTACACTGATCCCTCCTCCAAGGAAAGAAATCAGGCACCATTCAACACCCAGACACTCACTATGATTTCCAAGCCAAACCACTCAATTCTTTAAAAGTATGACTGAAAGGAGACGAAGTTCTGAGGTACTGATGAATATTATGCTTCTTTCATAAGCAGAAATATAGCAATCTCTATATCAACTTTAAGGTATTGTAAAATCCTTACAGCAGAACTCAGCTGTTCGCCAGTCAATGCAGATCCCATTTGCCCTGCAAATGTGTGCATAAGAAGTTATCATTTCACAGGCTTCATCTTCATAGCAGCTGTTTTCTTGGCATGCCTCATAGAACATGTTGGGGGAGATTATTTGGTGGCATTCTGCAAACTGAGCAGATAGCAGGATGCTGCAGTGGCGAATAGCATGTTCAGAGCATTTGTCTTCTTTCCTGATTTCGCAGATCTTGCCTGGTTCTTTCACAGTCCATTCACGAATAAATATGCTGCTATCAGGAGTGACAGAGCCATCACTTAACATGAAGTCATTGGCGTGGTTCTGGTCACACACCCCTAGAAGGGAGAATAAAAAGAAAATAAGACATCTGAATTTGATCAGTAATAAATCTTGAAAAAAATAGGCACAGGGCAGAGAGAATTGGATATGGCTGCTTGGTGAACTGCAAGGAGAAGAGGAATGAATAACCTTTCTCGTAGCTGTGATCAACGTAGACATAAAAATCCTGAGTCACTTTTCCTATTTATTTATTATAGGAAGCATGAAAGTATTGTATTCCTGGTATCATAGCAATGCTAAGGAATCAGTGAGATTATGGCAACACAAGAGAGTGAAAAATAGAGTAAGACTCTTCAAAACTGTTTTTGTTTTTCTGCTGTTGCTTGCTGTTAATTATTTTATTGCATACTAGAACCCTTGTGAGGGGAAGCAATTCTCCTTTGTAAGTAACATTTAAAAGTGGTAATCTAGGAAAAGAAACAGGCTGTTAAAGTTAATTCTTTCAGTTCAGCTGTAATGAGTTGAAAGCCAAATTCAAGTCAAACATCATCCAATACAGGATCAGCAACTACTAGATCACCTTGGTGTAAAGTTTTGCTAGATTTAGTGTTTGTAATTCAGTTTCAGTTCTACTACATTTCTCAGGTTCACAGACAGGATCTAGTAGTGGCTTTGCCTATTTCTAGAAGTACCTTCTAGGTAATGGGCACAATTGCATCATGCATTATGATAATTCAGCAATGCCATCCTTGAGATAATGAATTTGAAAGAATAAAACTAACAGGAAAAGACATAAATTAATCCAAGTAAACTATAAAAACACCTTGGCTAGATGCTTCATCACTATCTCTTTTTATAGTCAGATACAAGAGAGATCCAGAGGGTCACTCAACTCCCATTCCCTTTCTATATAGACAGCTAAGTGACCGTGATCCCAAATCCCTGCATCCATCAAGCACCTGAAGTCATGGATGAAAAGTCCAGGCCAAGCTTTTCTACATTTTTGAAACAATACTAATGAAGTTCATTTTGTTTGTTTGTTTGTTTGTTTAAGCCTCAAAGAATTCTGAGGTCTAACAGAACTGCTGAAATAATGCAGCTCTAGCACAGTAATGCTCTCTATAGTAATGGCAATTCTCATCTAAGCAAATTTCTCAAAGAGAAGTCTGATACCATAGAATTAGCTCTCTCAGGTATTTACACGCTTCACAAACCCCCTTACTTCTCACTGTAAGCATGTGTCTATCTCATAAATGCATATTACCCTAACAACGCCTAAAAATACTGATTGAGTAATAGTGGAAAGACCTACAACAGGGGATCAGCTCAGTTACAGAGTTTACAGGTTCAAGATTACAAAAATTCCAATAACCTTAGTATTATGTAAACCCCAAAAAGGAAGCTGTTAAAAATCACTAACTTACCACAGAGTCCATGCGTTCCTGAAGAAAAACTCTTTGGGTTAATTTTAAGAATAAACTCATTGTTTCTTGGAGTAAACGTGAGATTATGTCCAAGATGAGAGAACTTTATTTCATGCATTATTGCTCCATAGACAGTGACTTCAAAGAAACTGCTAGAATAGGGAATATGAACTCTTTCACCATTAACAGCGACCTGTTTTCAAAAAGGTAAGATCATCACATAAATTCTAACATACATGTAAAATAAAATCAACCTGTAAGTTGAATAACATTTTGATCTTATAGGGTTTGGAAGATCTGACTGAATCTAGACATAAGAAACAAATTTGCAAACTGAAATTTTATGCTGAATCTTAAAAATGTATAGAATTATTTATCTGTTCATTTTCTGTACTGTATGAACAACCTTTTCAACACTTTTCAGTAAGAGTGCATTCTTTAAACATCGCATCTATACAGACTGTTGATCTAACGCCACGAAATTAAAGCACACTGCTTGAACAGTGAGTATCATTAAACCCCAGCAGGTTTAACAAAGTCCAGGTGTTTAGTGTATCCCATTTTGCTAAACAAGAGTCAGAAGAGATCAGCTTTTCAGGCTACTTAGTTTGTTTGAAGAACCTAGAGACTGGATTTGAATATTCCTCTACCTATAAAATAAATACATAGGAAGCCAGCCTTTCTTCTAAGACTAAGGTCCATCCTCAAAAATTTCTTGCACACAAAGTCAGAACACACATCCTAGCTTTTCAACTAGTCAAAGTCTCTAGATAGATTATAGTTTGCATAGATTTGTGAAGAATACAGACTGCTCTCCCATGCATCAATTGATAACACAAAGGACATCCACCAAAGAGGAGAGGCACAGTGCAGTATATTTCTGCCTACAGTCTTGGTCTTTCTGCCAGAAGCATTGGGAGACATTGCCAAATTACACATTCTTCATATTGCCATATCAGCACAAAAGGGGGAAAAAAGAGTAATAAATATGCCCGTCTTATTATGTGAATGTATCTTGTATCATGAAATTGAAATGAAGCATGTATTTAGAAGCCTAAGAATGGGCTGCAAGAGAAGCAAAAACTGGAAGTAAAAAAAAAAAAAAGAAAAAAAAAGACACAGAACAAGTCTGTCCTCACAGCAACACACTGATAACTTAATTTTGTTCAACTTACTACCATGTCGCTAAAGAGCTGAATAGACACACCACGATGTTTCACTTCAATAGCGTCCATGCAGTTCATCTTTGGTGTTGCCCTGCATGGTCCTTCATGTAGGAGAACTTCAACATCATGTTGTACATCTTGAAACAAGGTGTAGGAACAGTTGCCAGTCAGCTTAAAATTCAGCCCATCAAAAGTGACAATATGTCGAGATGAACTTCCCATGCAGATACCTACCAACCAATAAAAAGAAATGAAGTGTTGTAAGAATTTGCTTTTGTCCATTTTAGAATATTTATTCATAATTATTATGGACATGTGGAATTGATTTATTTTGTAAGCTAGAAGATTAAAGAATTTCAAATTCTACAACATATTATTGAAAAGGCCTTTGGTAAATAATCACATAAATATTTATTTTTGAATTATCTTTCTTTTTCTGGACAAATTAGTATTACAAAAGATTTGGATAAATTTTTAGAGGATCATTTAGCTTGAAGCTTACTCACACCTAGAGAGGTTCTTAGTCAATTTTGATTCAGCATCATGAAAAAGTTTTGATCAACTCCTTATCAGAGAAAAACAAGATACAAGCTTGGTTTATCATGCCTCATTAAATTCATACAGAGTGAAACACGTTAGCTCATTTTAAGCTGCAGTAATCTTAAGAGAACTAGAGTTTCTTTCATGTCAATGACTAATTTTACAAGGAGCAACTTTCATTTGGTCCTTTCAAAAATTTGTTATGGAGATTTGCTTATAATACCAAAATAATACCTTCATGTTGCTATCGATGTGTTTAGGGTCAAGAAAAATATTACAAATGCACCTTTTATGGGTAGATGCATCTTTTAAGCCCTACAAAATAATGAAAATAATTCAACTCAGATCTTTGTAAATGTATGGAATATTTATATCAAAAGAAATGCTGGATATAAACAGTCTGGATGAATAACTGTGCTTTTATGACATGCTAAAGGTTGCGTGAAAATTCTGTATATCTAGCAAATCAAAATCTCTGTAACTAGCTTGGACATTTCAGTCATTGCATTATCTCTTGCAGAAATTGTTCTTAAAATATTCAGTTCTGAAGAGGACAAATTAAGATTACGCATTAGAAAAATGAAACATTTTTATGTTTTTAATTTTCTTTTAAAAGTAATCACATCACAAGTAATCACATCACTTTTGATATAAAGCAATTTTCAGCAGCATATTGTACAGATCTTCTAAGCTTCATCAACAGCCAAAAAGCCATGAAGGGAGTTTAAACACTACTGAAAATAATATCTAAAGTTCAATTTTTTCAGATTCTTGTATATTTTGGCTGTAACAGCATACACATTGAACTGCAGAAAGGCAACTGTTGCTGCTTTCTTTTCTACTGCTACAGCTCTTGAAAGTTTTGGAGTTGAGTTTTTGGATTTTTAATTCAAATAAAGATAAACATCCTGGCTATTTTTCCTTTACAGAGGTTGAGCAAACAACCACAGCACACCTCCGATGGAAGAGAGTCTTGGCCCGGTCACTAAATCCACACGAAAGCATACAAAATATTCATAAATTGAGCATAACCGTGGTTGAAACACAAGATCTTGTTCCTGGTGATTGCTGTAGAGCAATACTTTGCGTTGTGTTTCATGGAGTCACTGATTGTACCCTTCCTTGCTCTCCAACTATAACCATTTCACTGCAGTCTGAACGTCTTCCTGTGAGCTAAAGTGATCTGAAGTCTTTGGCTTGTTCATTTACTTGAAACCATCATTCCCATCTTATGTTCCTTCCTGTGGAAACAACTTTCCCCTTTATATCTAGGATTTTCCTAAGAAATCTCTCTCTCTAGAGATGAGAACAGCAACCACCAGGTTGAGTTCCTCTGCTTTGTGAATGCAAGCGGGCACACCTAATTTTTATCCATGCCAACTCAGCAAAAGCATGAATCACACAACATTCACAATTTCTGCTCCTATATTCAGTGGAAAGGCTTATGGAAGCTGGGAGTAGTTGGGTTTTTTTTTTCTGTTATCATTGTTTCTCTATTACATTTCTTTGATTGAGGTCAGACCGAACCCTAAAGCCTAGAGATCAACAAAGATTACATCAATAGCTTAAAGTTTGCTCAGATAAATTTCTATTCTACACTTCATTCTCCAGTTCAGACAGCTTTGGAAAGTGCATGTAAGATTCTCTGATAAAGCATTGCCTCTATTATAAAATGAAAAATAAGATTGTAATGGCCCTGAATTTGCATTTATATTGCACAGGCATCAGTCTGATTTTCATTCAAGACAGCATTTGTTCATCTGGGCTACAGTGTTCAATACATCCCACTTCAATCACCCTTGATTTTTTCAATGATCTGCCAGTTCTCTGTTCCGTTCAACACTTTGTTTTTGATAAAGATTTTAAATGATGAGGAGAAGGAGTATTCATGCAAGTAAAATTACTCACAAGGGCACACCCATCGGCAGCCACATATTTCTTCGATCTTAACAGCAGGAAGATTGCTGTGACACACAGGTTTTGGCATCCTCTCACAATTGATCTGGTGGCTCTCCAGAACTGTGTAATCACCTGGAAAGCACGTCACCGTATGGCACTGATCTGATAATGTCCATTTGTCACCAGGCTAGATAAGGAGAGTAGATATTTAATGAAAAAAAAAACAATGCAGCAGAAACAAAAACAAAAACCCTTGGTTGCTACCACACTGTGCTCTATAATTTACAGCTAGCTACTGACATGACACTGATAGCAGTCTACTCAAATTTGTCTTGGATAATTAGAGATAAATAATAGCATGCAGTGCATTACAGAATTTATGAGCATGAAAAATTTAATGTAGCAATACTGCAAGAAATAGATACAAAAATTCCAAGCAAAAGATAATAGTGTAGAATAGGAGATGTTTTTCTACAACAGAATGAAATATCTGGTATTCCACCTATTGTTAGCTCAGTCACTCGGCTGTGTGGATGGCATAGTCAATAAAGAATTCCCTTTAGCTTCTCTTTAAATGTCAAAGCCTTTAGTTTTTATAAGATGTAAAATTATCTTAGAAAGGCCTCTGAGCAGAGATGGCCATGGCACAGCAGGACATAACAGGATTTTGTCCAAACTAGTAAGGAATGTGGTACTCTAGTTATTTTATCTGCAACTCCAAAACGTTTAAGAGATTTATCCCTTTTTGAATGTAAATTGCTCTTTTACTGGATTAAGGTGATTAGATAAACCCAATGTTCTTATAAAATTGAAATGAAAATGTAATGTAAAATACATTCTCCTCTTCTGATGTCAATCTAAGTCTTAAAGGTCCAGGATTACATACTACATATCACAGAGAAATAGATGTGGTATATAGTGTGGAATTTCTCAATATTCATATCTGGAAAAAAAAAGTGGAATTCTGTGGCCCCAGTTCCACAAACCTCTAACAAATAGGCTCAATAAATTTCAATTAGAGCGTTCCTCCTTGAGGTCTATATTGCCAAGAATATCAAGCCCAAAATGGAGAAAATTGCCCTTTCTGGACCTATAGCTACAGAGGTGAGGCCAGAAACCCTAATAATGCTGAAGCCAAGGGCTCTATGCATTGGATAATTCTAATTCACATGTAGAAGTGGGTGAGGAAGAAAGGATATTTCCTACTGAGAAAGTTTATGTGCAAGCTCTCCCTTTCAGCCTATCTTGTAGTTCCCACGAAAAGACAAAATGACACATTCTTTAGGTGGGCAGCACAGTTCATGGTCTACTCTTGGCACTGATGTGCAAACCAAGACTAATGATGTGAAAGCATTGTTCTGCCACTCTGAACCACGACATACCATTAGTTCTAAAAAGGAACTGCTAAATTTGCAACCATACACTAAATATGAGTAAATATATTGGGCATACTTTGTATGCTTTGGGACATTGAGGGGAAACTTGCCTTGAAAGCAGCCTAATATTTTTCAAGTTCATGAGCCTAAAGGAAGTGGTGAAAAAGTCATGTGAGAAACTTCAAGTGTGGAAAAAAGTAAGAAATTGAATGCTTTTCCAATGAAACTTTTCTTGCCTACAATGCACTATAAGTGAAGAAATTGTAAGTGTACATATACACTGTACAAATCCAGCCAGGGGCACTTTGGTTTCCATATTTAATTATTTTTACTTCACTCTATTATAGGAAATCCATTGGAAAATATCTAAGAGTTGGATTAGAAAAGCAAAGCACAATACATTAAAACAAACTGTCAATTGAGATACGTAAACAAAGCCAAGATTTCTGGTGAGGAGAAAAACATGTCTCTGAAGACAAAGAAAGTCTAAATCCCAGTTGATATGAAATCATAGGAGTGAAAATAGGACAGAAAGAAAAGAAAAAGCAGAGATTTCTAAATAGCTAACAATAAGTCAGCTGAAACAGATGAGCCTGCCAGCACACCAGAGGAAGACTCAGACTTCCTCTCTAAGGGAGTACTGCATCTATTGACCTAGAATTATGCACTCTTTCTGTTACCACAGATTACAACAAAGAAAGTCTTATATCTTCACTGAATTCATCAACTGAGAACCTTGAACTTAGTCATGGTTTTGTTTGACTGTTTGTTCTCTTTAAATCAGGTGGTGAACAATGCTAGAAATGTTCTGTTAGTGTAACAGAACACTAACACATATTTTGGAACATGTTTTTTCCTCCAAACAAAGACCAGAAATGCATAAGGCAAATGAAAGATATCACTCAGTGATATATTATAATGATGACACTTCATAATGAAGTGATCTGTACACCTATGATTGCCAGGTGAAAAGCATGGAAGCTTTAGTTAATAGTTAATTCTGCTAAGAATTAACTCTGCTAAGAATTAACAACATTAAAACAATTTTCACTCACCATACTCATTTATATTCTCTAGTATTTGGAAATTCAAAGTCCATAAAAACATACCCTTTTACACAACCTTTATATAGAGCTATGGAACTGCTTGGAACAGGACACCATTTAGACTAAAAATTTGCATGTATTCAAGGGATGACTGGACAAATTAATGGAAGAGAAAATTCTCTAGAACTGTTAAACACTCCCACCACTTGTGGGAGTCCCAAAGCAAAAAATCATTCAAGGCTAGGCAAGTTCTGGAGTTCTTACTCATGCTCTTGTGTGAATCCTACTTTTGGCCACCTCTATGCAGTGGGTTGGATGGATGTTTTGATCTGACCTAGCATACTCCATCTTCTATTCCTATGCTACTAACAGTGAACTTAACCACAATTTTTTTTTTCAACAGTAATTTCCAGAGTGGAGATAATAATAAAAACATGTAATGAGTCCTATCACCTCTGATATTAGATCATATTTGGACTCAGATTTTAAGTTCTGAGAACTCTAACTTCCTTGAAAACTGCAAGAGGTCAGCAGCTCTAGACATCACTTCCCACAGATTCCAGGTGCATGACAGGGAGACCACTGGGAAAACTGTCTCTTCTGCGCTAACTCCAAATAATGCCTGAAAATATTATAGATCTGATGTAACAGACAGTATTTCCTGAATTAGGAAATAACTCTGATTTTTCACTGCTATGGATGCTTTGCTGGAAAAGGGCAAGAAGCTAATGATGGCACGTTATTACCCAAAAGTTAGCTTAGAAAATAACGATTTTGGTATTGAGCCTAGAGACATAACAGTTTCTCTTCAGCATCATTAGATGCTGAACAGTCTGCTCCAAAATGCATGAGTTACCATGTTTGCAGTGTCTTCCAGTTCCCATTCTTTTCTGAATGAAAGAAAGAGCAATAAAAGAATCCCCTAGTAGGCCACCAACCATTTTAAAGCATAGTTTTCCATTTTTCACATGGATTGGAACCTCACCACTTCTCTTCAAAAGGATTTTAACCAGTACATAAAGTAAAATCCAGCTTAGTTTGAAGTTCAAATGAACAGCATGAATTTGGAATCTCATTCATATTAGCTTTCTTTTTTTTTTTACTAAGAATAGAATTGTTGATTTTTTTTCAAGTTTGTTTTTTGTTTTTCTTCCTTTTTAATTAGGTAGGCAATCTCAAAAACCAAAGGGTATACTTTGTGTCTGGTCTAATTGAGGTTTAATTCCTATGTTATCTGGCTGGTTGGCCAAAGTCAACCTTATAAGGCAACTTTGGTATAAGTGTTTACATATTCCTGTGTCTAGAAAATTTACCAGTGTTTTCTGGTTAGCTTCATCCTTCCTTATAGCCAGGTTTTCTCAATGGAAAAATGACAGTAAAATTTTTAACTTACTGAAAATTCAAGATAAATCCTAGGACCAGCCCCCTACTAGGAAATACATAAAAAGTCAAAAACTGTGGCATTTTACCTGGTATTGATGGATCCGAACTACTTATAACATCTGTATCATTCCTTTTGAGAGATCAGACAAGCTTACTAACACTTACGAATATTTTCTCAGGATTAGTATAAGGTTTCTGCAACCAAATACTAAGACCTCTAATTTCAAAAAAAAAAAAAAAGCATTTCATACTGCTTGAAAGTCAGGTGTAGTACACAGGAAATACACTTACTTTCTTTATGTTCCCATCCTCATCTATGCATTCTCTGACAGGGTCTGAAAGAGAAAGACATCTTTTGGCTATCACATTCCATATCCAGTGTGATAATGATTAAATAATAGTTACTAAAATACAAGTATGCTATTTAAAAACAGCTTAGACGACAAAAAGCATTTTTGTGTTAGAGCACAAGAATTCCTTCTTGAAGACCACTGGCTTTTGTTGAAAGTGTACAAGAATAAGCAAAAAAGCATACAAATTTTGTTACTGCTAGTACTACCTGACTTCCACAACAATGCTAGTCCAAAAATACCATATAAACACCAGCTAGGTGATCATAGCAGTGATCTTTGTATTGATGTACAGCTCTGTTCAGATGCTATTTAATAGAAGACTGTGGCATGTATGTTCTCTAAGCCAGGCTCCAGTCCTATTTCTAGATCTAGCTCTATATCAGAATTATTATGATAACACGAGATAGAGTTTTACACAACAAAACCTTTTGGAATACATAGAAGACACATACAGACTCCAAGATACTTAAACTGCCGAGAAAACTTAAAGATATCTATAGCTGCAACAAGAATACTTGTATTTAAATTCAGGTATGTTACATGCATACATTACTATGATGGACAACTGCTGACATAATCACTTAGATATTTACAGGGTAGCACTAAATCACAAGTTCTATGCCAATATGATCTTGTAACACACCTAAAGATATAAAGTAAGTCATTTCGTATAAATGGTATAGTATGACAACTTGATTAGCATGTATCTAGGAAATTGAAGCAAACCTTTTAAACAATTGTAAACTATGCTAGCATATATTCCATGTATGCTCAATCTTTTCCAGCACAAGTAATGTATTTTGAAAGCATTTAGGATATCTTTTAAACCTATTTAATAGTATTATTTTTGGTACATTTCCATCTATAAAGTTAAATTGCCTTCATACAATAAATCCAACTACATGAGTCTAGAGGGGAAAATTATACTTTACAGATTGCAATAAAGTTAAAACAAGAGAAAAAATAAAGGAAAAAAAAATAAAAGATAGTTTCCCAGTCCACATCCGGATTTATCATTCACAAAAGGAAGAGACAAGTCTTTCAGGTTTAGGTGTCTAATATAAGACACTTTTATGGTTCCTCTTTTTGAGTATACAGTTTGTCCTGTTGGAGAAGCTGGATATGACTTTATAACTATATAGAGCTTCCACCTCTAGCAGCAATGGGTTATAGCACAGACTGAAAAAGAGACTATCTTGGATCAATATAATTTAGGGCAAGAAAACCAAATATTTTACAGTGTGAGGAGAGGAAATGCATCTTTAAAAGCTTATTTTTAAGAAAGAAAATGGCAGCTGTTTAAATCTAGAAAATGGCAGCTGTGTGAAGCTCTGGAGAGATTTTCAAATGCCAAAATTGATCCCAGTGGAGACTGATCGGATATCTCTAAGCTGGACTGTGTGCACACTAACTTCCTCATTCTTATTGGTACTTGGCTCTGCAAAAAAATATATGCTTATTTTAACAGAGATGCAACTGAGCACTAGAAAACTGTAAAAACTTGTGCAAGGACTAACACAATGAAATAGTGGTTTGCAGAGCGGACATATACATGCTTTTGTAATAGAAATAACAACAAAATGTGTCATAACACAGACGAAGGAGGCAACAGAAATAAAATATAGGCCAGAGTTGAAGCGAGCTTCCTTAGATGTTACATACAAGTGAATGAATATTTAATGTACACAGACTTTTTTCCACCCATGGTATTCATTTTCCTTGAAACAGTTAATTTTTTGTTATTCTTTGTTTTCCTGCCACTTGATTGATTTCTTTATAGGCATACACATGACAATGCATAGATCCGTGCAGAAAAATACATCACTTGAAATCTTTACTCACAAATAACTTTTAACATTTTATAGCATGCACTATTCATTGATGACATTTGAGCTCTCCTGATGTTCTCCATCTACTGATTAACGCTGAATATTAATTAGATGATATCTCTTCAAATTGCAAGTCTAAGAATTTTTTAAGATCCTGATGAAAGTTGGTATATTAGAATAGCTGTTAAATACATGCTGAAAAGTCTCAAATTCAATTTTATACCCAAAAATACTAGTCTGCATTAGTATTCATGATGCATGCCAGTGAAACACTGTCTCACATTGGGCTGACTTCTCAACACAAGCCAAATCATTGGACTGTTGCCTGAAATTAATTAAAGTTATGTTAATCATCAGGAGAATAAACATTCCAATGTCCTGCCTTAGTACAGTTACCTAGTTTTTTGTTTTGGCTCCTGTTATGAAGCTACGAATACACTGGACTTACCCATGCACAGTTTATTGATAAATTCACCATTCAGTGTGACCATATTGGTTAAGTCCTCAAAATTTTGAAGCTTAATGATTCTGTTAGCAGCAGATGGCCCAGTCAAAGCACTGAGCTGTTGTTCATCATATTTGTCTCCAACTCCAATAGGAAACAAGGACACTCCTAGAAAATAAAAGAGAAAAAAGTTTTATATTGGTAAGGGACAGAAGAAGGAGAACCTTTCTGGTTTGGCTTTGTTTTGTTTTGTTTTGTTTTTTAACTCCAGCGTAAAACAGAATTGGGAGAACCTTCCTTTGAAAACCAATTTTCATGTATTATTTGCATCACTCCTGTCTCATAAGCTAAAGGCAACTCAGGGCAGAAATATCTATGTTCTAATTACAGTGTTAAGATGAGTTTTATCAATACCCAATCACAATAATATCATGCAAGGTCCAATAACAGCATCAGAATGCTTAATGACAAAAACATCACTTTTTTTAAGGTAATGCCCTATGAGGAGAGGCTGAGGGAGCTGGGCCTGTTCAGCCTGGAGAAGAGAAGGCTGAGAGGGGATCTAATCAGTGTATATAAATACCTCAAGGGAGGGAGTGCAGAGGACGGTCATGGTCTCTTTTCAGTGGTGGCCACTAATAGGACTAGAGGAAATGGCCGGAAACTGAAACATCAAAAATTCCATAGGAACTTAAGGAAAAATTTCTTAACAGTGAGGGTGACAGAGCACTGGAACAGGCTGCCCAGAGAGGTTGTGGAGTCTCCTTCTCTGGAGATCTTCAAAACCCGCTTGGATGCAGTCCTGTGCCACGTGCTTTAGGTGTCCCTGCGTTTGCAGGGGGGTTGGACTAGATGATCTCTAGAGGTCCCTTCCAACCCTAAGCATTCTATGATTCTATGATTCTATGAAAAATCTCAGCTTGCTGTTTTCTTTCTACATGATATGGTGACTGGATTATTTCCAAGCCATTTCATTCAAAGATATTGTTTACTATTTAGGTCATTTTCCTAAAGTAATCTATAAAGACAGCCTCTGTTCCTCAGTTGTACACTGAAGTTTTCTCTTCAGGAACCAGGGATATGAAAAACTAAGAGATGAGACTACAGCCAGAAAACTTATAAAAGCATTATGCAGCACACATCAACACTATATTCTTGAATACATCAGGATTGAATCACACCAGCATCTCCTCACTGTACTTTTGAGCCTTTTAAGATTTTATGTACTGTAATAGTGTTTATAATATTAAATCATTGAATCATAAAATCATTAGAACATTAAATCACATTTCTATCATTCTCGTCTATCCACTGAGACTGGAAAAATGAGATGCTACAAATTTGTGAATTCTATGGAAGCTCCTCAACTTAAACATGTTGGTCCTGAATTTAGCTATAATTCAGAGGTATTCTCAGCAGGAAGATTTTGTTCAGGGCTATTTCTTACTATTACCATTCCTTACCATTACCATTAAACACATGGGTGATAGCAGGGAACTTGTCAAAACACAATGCTGTCTCAGTTTTGCATCCTCTACTGTAATGTACTATTTTAAAAACAATAATTCTGTGTAGAAATAGTGACAGTGAAATGAGATTTACTATTCATTCTTGCATAAAGTGCTGCGGTCTCCACAGTGTCTTCTGATTTCTCTGATATGATGATTATTGCGACCTTTGATGCATTGGGTCGCCCTCCATGGGATTCCAACACGGCATTCTGAACTACGAAATCAATGGCTTTTCCTGGGAAGAAGCAAAAAGACAAATAAAAGACATGATAAAAGATATGTAAAATGATGTAAAAGTATGGTAGTTTATACTATATGGGAAAGCACTTTTTTTCAAAGCCCTTCCAAAGTCTGCCTTATTGCTATCACATAAAGGATCTTAGCTATTAAGAACTTAATCGTACTATTAATATGCCCCAACCCAGAAAGACCTTCCTCTGAAATAACCACCTTTTTTTTTTTAACAATGTGAATAACTTCATATTTTTTGCTTTAGAGAATACCATCTCTGGAAGTATTACCACTGCATCACACAAAACAGAAAATGTACCAAGTCTTATTTCTAACTTTTGGAAGAACAGTGACATCCAGTGGCTAATTCTAGTTACCAAATGCTACCACCTAAAACCCACTCAACAGTACATGTAAATGGCTCAATTCCAGATATCTAGTCCTTCCCTAATTTCGTAAAGTTCTGCTATCCCTCTGAAATCTAGACTAACACATATTATAACTAGGTAATCCTTAAAAATAAAAAATAAAAAATACCTTAACCCTAATCACTAACTGGTTTAAATGGGTATCTGTTGCCCTTTTATTTTACATCAGTGACCACTCAGGCAAATCTCTTTTCAAAACAATTGCCTCAGCAATATAACATGTTTTAAGTACTCATGCTTAGATATGTTTTTGCACAGCTATTTATACAGGCAATGATCACACGCCATTTTCTTAAATGCACCTTTGGTTTTGGAAGTTATAGTTCAGGAAGTAGAAATGATACTGTGTGACTGATGTGATTTTTAGAGGAAACAGCGGACTGTGAATAATAAATATCTGAAAAAATATCTCCTCTGAGTAATCTGCAAGAACTGCTCTGCAAGAATGCATTTGACTAAGAAATTCACAGAATAATTTTCAATAACTAAGGTATTTGTAAAATAGCAGAAGACACATTGTAGATAACTAACCAGCAAAACACCAGAACAGCTTCACACACTTTACACTTCATGTCCTCTTCCATCATGCCACCCACTGCTTTTCCTTAGCAGAAGCAGAGTTCCTTTTCTCAAGCTACTTCAAGCAAGGATCACTGCCAGAAAGTTCACTCAGCATATTGATTATTGAGAGCCTAATAGCAGCTGAGTATTCTGCAGAATTTATCTGAAGAAATTAGACCTAGAGGAAGAATTTACTACTTAGAAGAAGATAGTTTAGAATAAAATACTACTGGCTGCCCCTCTTTAAGTGTTTATTTGCCTAGTGCAGCTACATTCACTGGAAATCTCCTGTTTAAGAAGGGTCACAAAATTTTCCAAGTAATAATTTTTAAATAGAAAAATGCATTTTTCTTGAATTCAAAAGGCTTTTTGAAAACACAACAGTTTTTCCAAGGGGGGGAAAAAAAACCCACACAAACAGACAAACACGGAAAGCTTTCAACAGTGTATAATAGTGTACAGAATAAAAATGGAATATTTCTCTTCTCTCTTGCCACATTACAACTATATTATTTCGTGCTGTTTCAATGAAAATGTTTCTGAATTTCTGTACACTGAAACATTCAAAATTCTGAATGTTTTTTACTTAAAGCATAACTTAAACATAGCTTAAAATGTCATAATTGATTGATTGATAGTGATTCCATTTTACAAATTACCATTCTTAACCCCTCAAAATTAACAAATTCCAAGTATTAATTCACATTCTATTAAAGCTGTTTCATAATCACAACTAAAAATGCTTTTGCTTTCCAGCAGTTAATCTATATGTCTGTACATATAGATTTTAGATGTGGAATTATAATGTATCTAATATATAACTAAGGAATACAATAAAACTCAAAAAATGAATATGACTTTTCCACTCCCTGAGATTCCTCCAGAATGGTCACTGTGTCAGAAGACTGACTCATTTCCCTTTTGTCCAATAAATAGTTGCTAAGAATTTCTTTTTTTTTTTTTTTTTAACTACTTTAGGTTAAAACTTCACACAGTTAGAATCTCAAATCATTTTTCATTATTTTGTGAAAACTGTTCAGAATTTGAGTGCTTGTCTTTTTTCTTTTTTTTATAATGACTCTTTATGATTTTTGTGTGGCTGGTGTAGTCACCAACCACACAGACTCCATTGCTCTTTCTTCCACTAAATCTGCAAATTTGCAGAAACATCTTTAGTTATCTGCAAACTGGTAAGTGGTAAGTCCATTATTTTTATGGTTTCTAATAAAGAAATCAAATTCCATTGGAATAGAACTGGAAAATATTTCAAAAATAATTTGGTAATTATAAAGATAGTTACTCAATTCAATGCATGGAAAATTTGCTTCAGCATGCTAAAAATATTGGGGGTTTGTCCCCTTCATTTGGAGCTAGCTCAAAGGAAAAGAGACAAATGTCTGAAGACGTGATGAAATGAACATTTGCGGCTCTCTTAGAGAGATTCGGAAAGTTACAATCTCAAACTGGAAGATGTCATTTCCAACTGTTTGTTTCTACATCTCATCAAGGAGTGTGATAACATGCCACTCAGAGGTTGTAATAAAGAATAGTCACTAGGAATAAACCACCTGGGCCACTGACAGCATTTGAACATTCTCTTGCTAGTAGATTGTAACATAGCAGTAAGCCACCACTTTCATGCCAAGAAAGGTTTCAAGTTTTACACTCAAAGAACTGTCACAAAGCAAAAGGCTCAAGTCAAGACAATGTAGCAGCATCTTGGACTTAAATAAACTAGCTTTAAATGATCAAGTCTAAGCCACACAGACTTCAGGGCAGCCTTTATAAATCCATCTTGAGTCTTATGCATTCCATCAGTGGAAAACATTTCGGTTGGGACCACTAGATTCTGCTCTGGCATGTCTATGCACATTGCAAATGTGTTTCTGTTTGCATGGGCCACACTAAGCATCTGCTTTAAGGCACATCAGCCAGGTGTCCCCTCTGTTTCCCATCTGGCCTAGTGGCTAATTGCTCAGGGAACACACCATATCTGAAAACCAGCAGTTCTAAAAGACCCAATAGTCTTCAGATAGTTTCAGTTTCGATGGTTTATGGCCCTATATCAGCTCACTGAAGGTGCAGTGCATGTCACTTCCAAAGGAAGGATGGAAGTATATAGCCATTAGGTGAAGGGGGCAGGGATCAACCCCTTCTGCAATGCTAGTTTGGTTATATGGGACCACATCATCCACTATTTACTTTAGTGATGGGCCCTAAAGAAAATCCAAATATTAAAAGAAAATATCCATACTCCTGCTTTACAAATCAGAAAAACAATACATGTTTTACTTTAAAGATACATGCCAGTAGTCGACAAATTAATTTTTAGCATTGGCATCACCTAAGCCCCAGTGAAGTGAATGGGATGTTTCATACTGACTTTAAGGATTACACATTTTGGAGGGATTTCTGTGAGCAAGGACTACCAGCCAATATGTTCCACATATTGAATATAGGGGTAAATGATGTCAATCCAGCGTTTCACTGCTACAAATAGTTTCTGTTTCTTAATCATACATATCCTATAAAACAAAACAAAACAAAAACAAAAACAAACAAACAAAAATTCAACAAGTGGGCTTTGAAAATGTAATGATTTCCATATTTGCATGTATTTTAGCCATTAGATATACAACCCATGAGAAATCAATAGAGAAGTCTCAAAGCCAAAGGCCTTCATCATATGTGGGAGAATAAAAATAACAGTGGGACACATAATAGAAACTCTGTGCCCAAATGGTGAAAATTCAACACCTACTACCCTTGGAAGATATAAATAGAATATATGTCCTGTTGCCTGTCCCTGACTGCTTGTCGCATTTTCCCTTACTGTCTCCTAACACATTGTTCCTACTCTGATCCTGACAAGCATAATGCACAAGATTAATTTCATATACACACACACGCACACCAAATTTTACCCTCTAAACATTTATCTAGGTAACAGAACAAAAAGCCCGGCTTGCAACAAGTTCTCAAATTCAGCTAAGTCTGTATGATCTGACTATTAGTCATTTGGCACATCTGGGGGAAAAAAATCTATGTGAGTCCCTTTGGAAAAATCAAGTTGGTCATTCCAAGGGCTATCACTGTGGCACAGTACCTTCTCCCATTTTTCAATACTGATAATTGGCAAATTTCTGAACACATCACAGACTACAAAACAAAAGTAATGAAAGGAAAGATCATTAAAGCAAAAGCAACAGAAAATATCCTGTAAAAGAAAGAAGTATTTAGACAATGCAGAAGTGAAGGCATCACTGCACAATCTTCTCCTCTCATCTAAGATATATAATTGGTGGCTAACTTCTGACATTCAAAAAGGCTTTTAAAGAACCTTCTTCTGGTTGCTTTGAACAATATGATTCAATAAAGCCTAAACAGTTGAATGTGTGGGGGAACAACACCATTTGCTATACATTCAAGCCAGACTCAAATTCTTAGTTAGTAGTTCAGAATGTCTTACATAGAAGTTTCGGAGTGAAATGAAAGCTGATTAAATGACTTTAAGCAACATTTAAAGCTAAGAGACAATATACTTAATAGGGTAGGTGTTTAATGGGAATCTACAAGGGAAATCCTCTAAATTCTGTCTTACTGAATAATTTCATTAATGATTGGATAAAGGAAAAAAAGTATATTAAAAATGCCCATCTGAATCACAGATATTAGATTGAGAGCAAGTGTGAACATCATGAGTGAACTGAAAGAGCACAAAATACCCTAAAATTTTGGAAGTAGATTCAATAAATAAGTAAATAATAATTCATCCTAAAAAGACAATCTGGGGCAAATAAGCCAACAGATAGGCATTTAGTAGTTTAGTAGGTACCTTAGTGAAGAAGAAATTTCAGCCAGAAATGGCTGAAAACGACTTTGGAATAATACAAAACTATTTTTGCAATGATTTTCTTTAATTATGTCTGAAATGAAGAATAAGATGTAAAATCCATGTGAAGTTCTGTGGAGTTGCAAGAGACAGTGGAGTTGAGCTAGGCAAAGTTTCCTTTAGAGATCTTATGCATCATTGTCTTAAGTGGCCTCAGTAGTTTTGCTAACCCTTCCTCAACAACTCAAACAAGTAAGGCAAGGCAAAGTACTGCAAGGGTCTAAATCACCCACGTCTATTGAAAGATGATGGGGAAAGAAGCAAAAAGATATATCTCCTCAGTACTTGAAAAGGTGTAGAAATGTCACTGGGTAGGAAGCTTATGGAAAGTCCAGATCATATGTATTCCACCAAGAACTTGTCTAATCAGAAACATACATTGATTTTTTTTTAACTGAATTTAGCAGATGATTAATTTTAAAACAAAATAGCTGTTGAGGAAATTTTCCAAAATGGATGCTTTAAGCAATTCACTCTTAGCAAATCAATACTCTCACATAAATAGTACCCATTGGTGGAATGGTTAGAATTTTTATGAACATTATGGATTTATCAGTCTATCAGCTTACTAGCTGAAGGGAAATGGAAAGGGAAAGGGAAAGGGAAAGGGAAAAGGGGAGGAGAGGGGAGGGGAGGGCAGGGCAGGGCAGGGCAGGGAAGGGATCCAGAAACAAAAGTCTGCCAGCACAGTGACTTAAAAAATACTTAAAAAGGTATTTTTTCGTGGGGAAAAGTCTAGCTCATACCCAAAGCCAGTTCAAGAAAGGAGCTGACGCTCCAATGGCAGAAGAAGGAATGAGGGAATAAATGAACAAGACCTCTGTCTTTCAATAGATGAAAGCTATTATATCAGGGCACATGCTGGTTAAACCATGGCTTTAGGCTGTTGGCCAAACTTTGAAAAGCAATTCCATACAGACCACATCAGGGCAGACATCTGAATCACAGAAAGTTTCTATATTGGATTTTTACCTCCTAAATGATAAGGTGATCTTGAAAGGAAGCATTTAAAATGGCTTAATCATGATAGGCAAAATAGAATGCTACTATTCAAATTGTAAATAGCTATAGAATTTTCAGGAAAAAAATGCTAAGATTTCTTTCCTAAATACAAAGAAAAGTGTGTATTTCTTTAACTTTGCTCTTATGGCAGTTGAACCACAGAGAAAAAAGATCCTCCAAATTTTGAAGTGGAAATCTGGCAATGAAAAATTAGCCCAAATGAACTGCATTTAGCAAGACATAATCAGCTGAAATAATCATTTTATAAAGCATAAGTGGCATTTATTGTAGGGATTGCTAATTTTGTGCCCTATGAGACTCCTAAACACCAGTGGATATTGAACGGCCATGTTTTTATCAGAATCTCAATTGTCTTCAATAGATCTTTCTCTTTAGTTGAATGGGATGTTACACAGTTAATTCATATCTTCAGCTTGTTTGGTTGTGGGTTTTTTTCAGTAGTTGCTTAAGAGAAGTTGCACAGAATTTTGTTATGACTAAATGTCCCCAGAACTTCTTACTAGATTATGTGAGCCAAAATTTGAATTATATGATCTTATTGTACAAGCATGGAATCTTTGTGGTTTAGGCTGCTGGATTTAGGCTGCTATACCCTTGAAGACTCTGCATTTTTTTCATTATTGCCTCGTAACAAAAATGTGTTTTTCTCCTCTAGTTTGACTATCTTTAAGACAGCAATCACATTCTAAAGACAGATACACATAGTGCTGTAATGTCAACTTCCATTTGTGCAAATGCATCTACTAGGATCTTCCTACAGTAGCTCGACAAGTACTGTCCCACCAGCCTGTGGTATATTTCTGTTCTTGGAGCTGTGCAGCTCTAGCGCATATCCACCCTTCAGTGGTTGCAGCTATTACAACTATTAAAGAGCTATAATAACTATTGTTCATGCATAGGTACTGTATTGCTCGTGTACTGACTCACTATGCCTATAAGCTCAAACAAGCAAGTGCAGGTTGGAAACTCTAGGAAACTCTAGGAAACAAGAAAACTGGAACCATGAATGAGCCACGATTTTTTAAAAAGATAACTCAGTCAGGCAGAGGCCCCAAGTCTGCCGTTCTTTTGTGCACATGTAACTTTGTTGACTGAAATAGGATACTTAAATCAGCAAAGACTGCACAAGGATTACACAGAATTATATTTATACTACTGGGAGACCAACACAAATGAGATGAAACAGTGTTGGTCTGAGGGTAATGACATATTTCTGATGGGTAAACCTCAGGCATGTCGAGGATAAATTAGAAAAGAGATTTCAAAAGGTGCCTCAAAAACTGCAAAATCCAAACTGAGCCATCTAAATTTTTTGAACAGTCTGTGTACTTCCTGTACACAGAGAGAGTGAAACAAATGACCACTTGTTTCCCATGGACATCAAGTCTCCGATTTGGTCAGCCTAGTTCATATACCCTGCAAGCTGTGAGACCGCAGTCCACAAGACAGGACTTTCATTACTTCACTGGGAGGAATTACTTCTGTTCTATTCCATTTTGTTTTGTGATATCGCATTTCTCATCATAGTCTCTGAGCATTTTCCAATGAGATGTAAACAAAATACTAAGAAGCACGTCATGTGGCTGCCTCTCCCTTTTCATTTCCCAGAGGCCATGTTTTCTCTGCTTTCCTGAAGTTTGGTGTGGCTTACTACACACACTATGCAGAAGTATCCATGAAACTTATCTATTTGTATGTAACAATTTATCCAACAAAGAGCCTATAGAAGTCTCATCAGCCATCTGGTATTTTTATTTCTCCAGGCTGAGAAAGCAATCATGGTTAATCCTCCTGTGAACTATGGAAGTCAGGTTTTATTTCTCACTTCTCTATACCAATAACTCTTTATGGTCTGAAGTAGGCCAAAGGCCCTAAAAATCCATGTACTCCTCAGCTCTTATAGGACCCTAATGCTATGCTGCTGCCAGAGCAAATGTGGTTCCAGCCCAGAAGAACAAAATTCTCAGGGTATCTGGTGAAAGATCAGTTTTGCTGCAGTAGAATCATTTTTTGCTGAACCATACAGCTGACACATATGCGTGCTGAATTTCCACAAACAAAATGGGAAATCTGTGCTTTAGCACCTGAAAAATCAAGTGGACATGTTAAGTATGCAGTTTTCTGGAATGGATGATAATGTTTCACAAGAAATTTTTCAGCTAAGGTGCCAACTTAGACAGTCACAAACCTCCCTGACACCATTCCTGGCTTTGTGCCACCTCAGGGCACAAACTTGTGCCAGCTCAAGGCACACTGGGACTTTGGAGTTATGTAAGTTTGGATGAAGGAACTCAATCTTCCAGAAAAAAAACATCATTTTGGTATGTAATTTTTCAACCACATTGATTACCCTTGCATGGAATGGAAGAACAAACATCTAGAGAGGGTAATTGGCATAAGCAATCCTACTGCTAAATGTCTGATGAGCTAGTTGATGCTGAAAGCATAATGATGAAAGTCTTTACAATTTAATTAAATTTGCTTGTCTGAAAGAGAAGGAATGCAAATCCTGAAAATTATTTCAAGGCTAAAAAGAAATTGGTCGTCTTCTTTCCAAAATACATTATGGTAACTGCGATTCAAGTAATAACAGATACATTTTAACAGAGAGAATCAAACTTCTTTACCAATGAATAAATACACATACATTTACTGGCAAATTATACACTAAAGGCTATGGTGTGAACTGAAAGGACTGATAGTCCTAGTATAGGACTAGCATAGGACTAACACAAGAGCACTTGTATAAACTGGTGGTTAGGGCCAGGCTTAGGATTACTTTCACCCATTCCCTCTTGTTTAAAAATCAACAGCCACAAAATCACTTACCTAGTTTAGCAGGGCCTTGTTCTCTTTGCTGAATTGAGTGCACCATCTTTACAAGTTTTTCAGTCTCTTGAGGCATATTCCATGAAATTTCTAGAGTATTTTCCCTGGCATACTGGAGAACTGACAGATGAATTGAAGTATTGCCTGAAGCATAAAACAGAAAACAAAAAAAAAATTAGGCGATGCCTAAGAATATCTTAAAATAAATTCAAAGCACACTCTATAGTTGCATTTTACATTAAGTGCAGCTAGACAGAGATTTTCTTGATTTGATTAGAAGATCAAAACTGAAAAATTCATAGAAAAAATAGTATTGGTGAAAACAGTTCCTTTTCTCTAAGGCATCAGTCTGCAATATTTTACCTCAATTCAACCGTAATTGGAGAATTTCACTTTATTGATTCCCAAATATCATTTATGTTCTATTTTAAAACTGTCTAAATAGCACTTTGTTATGTGTACATTGTTTTGCAAGAGCTGTCTTTTGATCAGGGTGATTAAAATCCTGAGCCAGGGTGAGCACTGGAACAGGTTGCCAAGAGAGGTTGTGGAATCGCCTTCTCTGGAGATCTTCAAAACCCACTTGGATGCAGTCTCGTGCCATGTACTCTAGGTGACCCTGTGTCTGCAGGGGGGTGGGACTAGATGAGCTATAGAGGCCCCTTCCAACCTTAATGATTCTATGATCCGCCATTTGTCTGCATAGGGCAGGTTCCTGAGATGACTTTCTCTCTTGTAGATTTTCTTTTGTCATGCATTACTTGAGTCACATGAATTTGGCTACTGCATGGGACAGCATGCCCAGGAAACATGGCCTATAAAGGGCATGAAGAGAACCTCCAAACTCTGCTATTCTCTGGTATCTTAGTTTTATTTAAGTATTTTCTAAGAAGTATGAATTAAGACAATTAGTAGGGGGTTGATATAAATATTTAAAAATGTTAGCCTGCTGTAGAATTCATCTGGGCAATATATTGTTTAGAATGAACAACTGGACCTCTTAGTGGTGTTAGAATGGCCACTATCATCTACTGAAGATATGTGTAACATGTATGCAATGTATGCTTATCTTTTTTAGACAATTTATGAATGAAGTAAAATTAAGCGTGACTTCATACACCTAATCACAGCATGCATACAAATGTACCCATTACACTTTATAATTTGTTTACAGTTCTCTTAAAGACTCCAGGGAGAACTCATTTCATAAATTCATTATTATTGTTCTGTTGTTAATGATGTAACATTTGGTTCCACAATTTTCAAAAACAAGGAAAACACCTTGAATAAAATAAATTGCTTATAGTTTTATTGTTTGCTTTGTGATTTATTGCTACATTCATCTTCCATGTTAGCTCTCTAATTGATGGAGGTGTTGGTAACTGTCTTTTGGGAGCACTGGTATGATACAAGCACATCAACACCCAGTGGCAAAGCACAGCCACTGCTCCATAATCACCATATTTCTATTCTTTCAATGCTAGATTGAAAAGGTAAAATAATTTTGTTCAGAAGTCCAGGTTTGTTAAAACAAGTCCAGCTGGGCAAATGGAGGATGCTGCACTGTCCCTGCCATGTAGCTCTACTTGGTGCAAGGGCACACCATGTTCTAATTTATTTACTGCACATGCCATGTGGTTCCTCGATCTGCTAATATCAGGTTAGATATTAGGAAAAAATCCTACATGGAAGGAGTGGTGAAGCAATGGAAGAGGCTGCTCAGAGAAGTGGTGGAGTCACTATCCCAGGCAGTGTTCAAGAAGTGTGTAGATGAGGCACTTAGGGACATGGCTTAGCAGGCATGGTGGTGATGGGTTGACAATTGGACTTGATGATCTTGAAGGTCTTTTCCAACCATAATGATTCTATGATTCTATGGTGTGTAGCACAAGTGACATCTTACAGAACTGCTGCGTCGACAGTACCTATGCTGAGCAACCAAACCAGAGCTGTGCATCCCATCATGCTCATACATACTCAGCATGCTCAGTGAATCTGACACTTCCAAAAAGTCCCTCTCATCCAATATGGGTCAGGCAATAAATCTTAAGAAGCTAACATATTGCTTTCAGTTAGCCCAGAAGGGTTCACCAGAACCAGAAATTCCCATTCCAAAGAGCAAAGCCTTGCACTTGGATCAAATCTGAACTGAAAGCCTTTTGAACTATCTTATTTTTTTGAACCAGAAGCAACTTTGAAAGTCTTTCTAAAGTCTGTTGAACCAAACCCAAAATTGAACCAAACCAAATTTTGGTAATTTTGCTTTTCTGGCATGAATTTCATCTAAAAAAATCCATTCTTTGATAGAAGCTGCCAAAAGAGCTGTTGTCCAAGCTATTCCTCATCAGACAATTCACTCAATCAGGTATTAAACCTTATTTGGCCTGCACTGGAACAGCTTTGGATAGGCAAGAAACTGAACCAAGTCTGACTTGACAACCTTGACTTCCGGATATAAACCTATAAAATTTCTGTGGTGTCTGAGTGTAAATAGGTAATTTAAATAAAAAAGTTTAAAACTACAGTGAAATGCAATGGTTTTAACTTTGTATTAAAAAATATAAAAATCCTTTATGTTTTTGAGTTTAAAGACAAATACATACTGATCTCAACAGTTTCAATAAATGCCTGTACAAAGTTTTTAATTTCCTCAAACTCTGATGATCCAACACTGGAACTTCCATCCAGAAGAAATATAACATCCATTGGTTTGTTGCACAACTCTGAGGGAAAGAAAAATTAAAAAGAGAGAGAGAGAGAAAACTTTATGCATGAAAGTCAAAATTAGTTAATGAAATGGCAGAAGCAGAAAACAATATCTGCATCTGGGAAAACAGGATAATGACCAGCTGAAACACAAAGTAACACTTCTTTTTGAGGGCCTTGAGATTTATATTCAGTGGGATACAAGAGTATTTTAATTCTTACTTTTTTGCTATTCTAATCTCAGGGAAATAGAAAAACAGTGAGACCTTTTAAAAAAGAGGAAGTTCAATTTTAACTTGCTTGGGACAGGCAAATAAGAATATGTTATTGTCTGTCACTCTCCATCCGACATTGAAGCTATTGCACATTAATATCCATGAACGAGAGTTTCAAAGCAGATACCACCTAATGCCAACAAAAGCCTTCCGAACATTGGCTGCAGGTCTGTGCCCAGTACTGCTAACCTGGAGTCAGCATCCTTGATACCCAATGAAGAAAAGTGATCTTTCACTTGGATTTGGAATACAAGATATCAAATGAGATACAGGAACTATTTCTGGCACAGAAACCATTTCTGTGGTTTGGGGGAGGATTGGGGGAGACAGGAGAGACAAGAGAGGAAAGAGGAAATAGAAAATATATCCAACTTTACCTGGAATTCCTGTCCAAAGTTTATGAGAGCAGCATGACTGCAGCACTAATTCAGGTGCTTCTTCAATAAGTGTGCTATAACTATGCAAGACTATTGGACTGTTAGGCTGACTGATCCTTATGAGCTCCTGGATATCTGCATTGGGGGTTATGCCTATGGGGATGACATTTATGGCTTTGGGAGGTCGTTTAATAACATCAGTGGAAGGGCTGGATGACACCATATATACCAAGTGCGGCACATCCTGTCTGCCTCCATTTGCTGGTATAAATGTGTGCTTGGAAATATAATTAAGGGCATTCCCAGTGTTGGTGGCCTTCCCTCCTTGGTAGGCTATATTCCTCACCTTCTCAATAATATTTTCTTTTAACTGTATTTCCTTAAAGGAATATTCCAGAGTGACAGTGTCTGAATACTGCATGACTGTAACATGAATATCTTCTGATCCTACATTTATTCCTGAAATTACTCGCTCAAGGAACTTCTTGGTCATATTAAAATTTTTCTCCCCTACATTTTCAGATCCTTCAAAAATAAAAGCAATGTCCAGCCTTTTGGGGGTGGCTTTTTCTGAAAAGAGTGGTGGCAATGTGAGGTCCCTCTGGGGAAATGTGATATTAGACACTGGTGGTGGGGTTGTTGCTTGTAAGAGAAGACTTTCTTCAGGTCCAAGATCACACAGATAATCAGTCAGAAGATCCCTATTATCCATTAACTCCAACACATTGTTCAACAGGAAAGCCCTGTTATCTGGTGACTGCTTTTCAATGAACTTGATTTGCTCCACATTAACATAAGGTCCAATGCCCACAGGTATTACTGTGATTTTTTTATTCTTTAAAGCTGTAAGGATGCTACGAAGTTTTCCTGGAGACTTGCTTGCTATAAATAGCACAGCAATTCTAGCAGCATTGGTCCTTTCAGCTTTTCCAAACACATGGAACACAATATATTTTAGGACTTCAGCAGCAGATGCCACCTCATCACCTGTGTACTTTATGTTTTGGACAATTTTTCTCATCTGGGACTGTGTTCTGATATCTTTAAGGCTAAGATAAATGGTGGGGCCAGTCCTATACACCAGAATTGACACTCGGATTTTCTTCTGAGAGATGTGGAGTTCCTTCATCATGCGAATTATGAAAATCTTCAGCTGTTCAAAGTCCTCCTCTGACAGTTTATTTGAGCCATCGATTAGAAAGGCCAAGTCCATCATCTTGCTGCATGAGTATTCACTGGGTGCCCGTTCTATGTCCTCCTCTGGAGTAGATGTTGTCGGTATGAAGATTTCTTCTGCTGTTTCACAGGCTACACAGCTTAAGTTCTTCCCTTCACATAGGCTACAAGAATCACCAAACTTAAGTGTAAAAATCCATGCCCATAACAACACATCACTCACATCTAATAAAAGGATGTTGATACAGAACAGGTTAAACATCTCAGAAACAAAACAAACCCAAAACATAACTGGGATCTTTTCTCCTTCCCTTTTACCTTCTACAATACTTCTACAAGGTACTTCCACAAGATTTTGTAGAGCCAAATCCAATAGCATCCATTCAGAGCATCTATTCAGAGGAGGAACTGTTTATGCTTAGTTGTATTAATGAAGAAATTATATAAAGTATTGTCTGCTTGTCAGAGGAAGTTTTTTGATAGCTGCTTTTGGCATAATGTGCAGGAGAGCTCTGCAGAGAAGGACCTGGACGTCATGGTGGATGACAAGTTGACCATGAGGCAGCAGTGTGCCCTCATGGCCAAGAAGGCCAAAGGCATCCTGGGGTGCAATAAGAAGAGCATCTCCAGCAGGTTGAGGGAGGTGATCTTGCCCCTCTACTCAACCCTGGCGAGGCCACATCTGGAGTATTGTGCCCAGTTCTGGGTTTCACAGTACAGGAGAGATGTGGAGCTACTGGAGAGAGTCCAGCACAGGGCTACAAGGATGATCAGAGGCCTGGAACATCTGCCCTGTGAGGAGAGGCTGAGAGAGCTGGGCCTGTTCAGTATGTTGAAGAAAAGGCTGAGAGGGGACATGATCAGTGCCTATAAATACCTCAAGGGAGAGAGTGAGGAGGATGCGGCCAGCCTCTTTTCAGTGGTGGCCACCTTTAGAACTAAAGATAATGTCCACAAACTGAAACACCAAAAGTTCCACAGGAACTTAAGGAAAATTTCTTAACAGTGAGGGTGACAGAGCACTGGAACAGGTTGCCAAGAGAGGCTGTGAAGTCTCCTTCTCTGGAGATCTTCAAAACCCGCTTGGACGCAGTCCTGTGCCACACACTCTAGGTGACTCTGCATGTGCAGGGGGATTGGACTAGATGATCTCTAAAGGTCTCGTCCAACCTTAAGGATTCTATGATTCTATGATTCTATGAAATGTGTGTGGAAACTATCAGGAAACTAAATGATATTGAGCAGTATGGTCACCACTGGTGACACAAGCCACTGGTGAATTTAACTGGCAGATTTGGGTTGCTTCATAAGGAAGAAAAACATTACATAGGTAATGGTCTAGGTAATATAAAACAAAATTTCAGTGTCAGCTTTTAGATGCTTTTAGATCAGATATGAATTAGCAGATTGAGTGAGAATGATACGTTTACCTGGACTTGCTAACTTTATTGAAAAAAAAACAGCTTTTTTCTACCTCTTAAAATGTACTCTTGATTTTCTTTTTCCTGACTTCTCTTGTTTTGAATACTGCTCATATATGTTCTTCCACTGTTTTTATGTGTTATCTTCCTCTTATTAACCTTGTTGCTTCTCATTTTTATTCCCTTTTGTCATATTAAATTATGAAAGACAATGATTGATATAATATCTTATCTGGAGCTGTGTTTTTCCTTCTTTTTCTTCCTATTTCTCTTCCTTCCCGCATTCAGCTTATCTTCATTAGCACATTTTTCTTTTCACCTCACCATTTACCTCCAGCCTTTTCCACTGTTCATTTTTTCTTGCCTCCATAAGAATTTTCACCTCTTTCACCCTTCACCTCTTGGAACTTTGCCTATAATCTATTCTCTAGCTTTAGCAAGGCTTTAATACTTCTGCCTTTCTAATTCCTGGATGTGTAAGGCTCCTGATTTCACTCATCTAAGCACAATCACATACAGGATGCTGGACACCCGGTCAGTGTATTTTCCTTGTCCTACTGGACACTCCAAGAAACTTTATCAAGAATAGGTAAAGTCTATGAAACAGTAAGGACCAACAAAAGGGTAGTTTTCACAACCAGCAGGCACAGAGAAAGCCCTGAATATAGATACTAAAGTCAATATTTGAATAAGGTGCCATTTACTGGGAAAAAGTGTTCACTTTACATAAGCCATCCTAGTTACCCAAGGCATCCTAGCATCCTAACTGCTTTTAGAATTTTCTTAATTGAAGAATTAGTTTTGGCACTAATATATAGCAACATAAGATTTATTATTTTAATCCTAATGTGAATTAGATTCTTCTAGTTTCCAATCTCCTTTGCATATTTCCTATAAAATTCATTTTTACGTAATATTTCCTATTGTTTGTACAGATGGTGTAGGCATCTAAATTAGGTGACAGCTATACAAAAGGATGTTTCCCTAGTGAGGTAAGTTTTCATAATTTCTGAATTCATTTAGAGCAGAGAGAAGCATACCAACATTTAAGATCAATTATTATTAAAAATTACAAACATTAAGGAACAGAGACTCATTTATGGAGACTGTTTTTTGACCTTTTGATGGAATTCAAGGCTTAGCACGCATATCACTATGTATATATATATATATACACATATACACATATATATATACATTTAATTGATTGTCCAAACGGGCTCATGCCACAGACTTAATAATACAAAATTGAGCTAGCCACAGTAAAAGGACAGGATTTCAAAATTTATACCCATTCAGAGCTTCTTTGAAAGAAGTTTAGATTCAAGGTCTTAGTCTGGGCCAACAGCTGTTGTAGTTCTACAACACAGCTGCTGTTAAATATGGTCAAATCATATGATGCAGAACACTTCTGTATCCACTGTGACTACTGAAAGCATCCATCAGAGGGCAGAACATCTGGAGAAGAGAAGGCTTTCAGATATTATAGGTCTTTGTGAAAAATGCCACTGGGCAGCATACAGAACAAAAATCAGTTTCTGCCACATTACAAATGAAACTCCTAATCCAGCATGGTCCATGACATTAATTTCATTGTATTTGGCAAAGCATGCATATAGGATCAGGCCACAGGATAACAGGTGAAAAATTTGGGGAAACTATTTTTCCAATGACACTAAGCAGTCTTCCAGCTGCTAATAATCTCATCAGGTTCTAGACTCACTGCACATTCAAGTCTTGTGCTATATGTAGGATTTTTAAGCACTAACACAGGGAAGATTCTTATGACTTTACTGATGTTGAATCACACCTTACAGAAAAGAAGCAGAACAAATGAAGTTAGTGGGACCACCTACACATGGGAGTACTCATTTTTCAAAGGAATTTATGGGTTTCAGTTGCTTAAATTCAGCAGGCAACCAATAAACTCAGTCTAAATTAAAGAACTTCAGTTTCAGTTTACATGAAAAGGGCTGTCGACACAAAGGAGAGTTTCCAAACCTCATTGTCAGTGATGTATTTATAGTAAAACCCCCAAACTTATTTATGGTTATGCACATCATCTCCCTTCATGCTACTCAAAAGGCATGCTATTTGACTGCATATACATATACACCATACCAAGATTGACAGTGCTGTGGATCATCTCTGTTCAAAATTATTTTCCTTCCATGTGGGATCTTGACATCTCCAACCACACATATAGGGCAGTCTTCTGGACTGATACAAGTCAGGGATAGTTCATCAAGTATCTCCCCTGTTTAAAAATAACACAGTAGCATAAAAATGCAAGTTTTCATGAATTGCAAAACTGATCCGGCTACAGAAAACATGACAAGGCTTCTAATTTGGATTCAAAGCCTCTGAATATTCTGCTTCTGTCATGCTCACTACAAGTTTGACACAAAGTATTTCTTTCCTCCATTACATTTTAGTAAGATGTTGGAAACTCAAAAACCAGAGCATAATCTCCAGCAGACTGTGCAGTGATATGCAGAAGGTGAACGTGTCTTTAAAGTAAAGCCTCAAGAGTGCCAGGAGAAAATGGCATTTTCCTTTTTAAATGTATGTTATTGGTTTCTCCAGTATGAGATGATTTAAGTACCTGTTACTTGAATATTGAAAGCTCAAACACTGTATTTAATAATTATACGAAGTTCTATCCAAAAAGTTCTATCCAAGTTTTATCTCCTCTCACTTTTTGGTAAATGTGTAGTACAGAGCTACTACTGCCCAGAACTGCTATTTTGGTATTTAAAATACCTACTTTCTTCTTCTTCAGGTCTTCTTTCTTTGAACTTAGGAACTATTTGTTCTTCTGAATTTTAATTCTACTTTTGCATTTTGTTCACTTCTAAAAAAAACCTGCTTCAGGTTTTCTTTTCCCTTTTCTAAAAGCCAGTTGGTGTGAGGGGGGGTGAAGGTGTAAGTAGTGGATGTCTACCAGGTACTCATGGGAGCGCCAGAAGGCTTGTGCCTGTAAGCAGGTTAGGACAACAGGTTTTCTCCGCTATAGTAGCCGCTCTGAGAGAGAGCAATATACAAGCGTCCAGCAGAAATTCATGACCTACTTCACCGCTTTGTGAACAACTACAACAACACTAATCCTCCTCCTATCTTCTTTTCTTGTCATCCCATTCCCATCCTTTCTTGTTTCTGTTAGGAGTATCTCATTCTCTTCCTTTAAATACCACTGCATACCCTCCATGAACCATGCTTGTTTCACAAACTCTAATCCTAGTGTGGATTTCATAACAACTTTCTGCTTCACAGCAACTTACAGAGGTAAGAAAATTTCTGCCTGAGTGACAATAGGAGCACCAGAGGGCACAGGAGAGAGGCCTTGAATTACAAAGAATACATTAAAAAGCTAGGATCATTCTGGCAGCCATATCAGATGAGGTAAGAAATTGTAGTGAAAACACAGTAAACTTATTAAGGAATTAATTGCTATATATAAATCTTCTTCAATCTCCAGCTGTACAAATCTGTGACTATTTCTGGACTGTAAAACATCTTTTCCTGCAACAGGAACCTACAGGGAAAAACAAAAAATGGACTCTGCAAGTAACAGCAGTAGTACAGAAAAAGATAACCACTTAAAGCAAAAGATTGACTTACCTGCAGGGCAGTGTACATGGCATCCTTCCACACATTGCAGAGGGCACTCCAAAGCCTGTGGGTGCTGACATGTTATAGGACAAGCAGGTCCACAACTATTGTATCGCCATTCACATTGATAATCTATTTCTTGATAATTTAGGTCCTCACAGCTTTGTGCTACATTGTAAAAGAATCAGTAACAAATAAACCAAATGATCAAACCTGAACTTACCATGTCTCTTAGAACTATGGCATCAAATTTTGTACCAGGGAGATGACATACGCATAGAGAAAGAGTTATTTCTTTAAACAGAAATATGTATATTTTTACCACATGAGAAGCGGGCCCCTTACATTGATATCATCTAATGAAATACTTGCCGTATAACAGAGATATTTATTTTTGATTAAAACAATTGCAAAAAAAACAGATTTTAAAAAAAAAGTATAGAAGCTTTTTCTTTCTCTAATTTTCCACAGTCTATTACATGCATTTGAACACAAATAGAAAAATAGAATAATAGAATAAATAGAAAAATAAGATGAAATGTTTGCTCGCTCAGTCCCATAAGAGTGAATTTCCCTGGACTTCAGTGAGAACAGTCTAGCATAGCTAGGCTTGTTGATAAAGAACTTGAATCTTTTCAGTTTACTTCCCAAGAAAGCCATTGCCAAATCTTCCTCGTCCATCTGGTACTTACAGCACAGGGTTTGTGATCTCCATTGAACAATGACACCCTTTTGTGCACAGACGTGGGCATAGGCTGCTATAGCGTCACAGAAACAAGCACAGTCCCCAATTGATTCGCAAGCACAGGTGTCATACATGCAAATATCTATGTATGGTTCAGGATTCACCTAGAAAAAAAATATGTGCTATGGGACACTCACCGATTCTCCTCATTTCCTTTCTCTAGACTTATTTAACCTGGAGGTGGTTTGCCTGCCCCATTGGACAAGAGTTAAGGTGACACATGAATCAGTGCATCTCTCTCTGCTTATGTTAGCAGGAACTAAAATATGCCAGGTTCGCAAAGTTCTTATGGACCATGTAGTTTTCTGTCCCTTAATATACCCCTTATGAGTAACTATACAGTCTATGCCCTGTTCACATACTTGTGCAGCTTTGAAATTGCAATGCAGAACACAGTTAGAATGGCATTATATTAGCTCAGCTGTGAGATTTAAAAAATAAAAAAACTCAACTGCTTCATGCAGCAATCATGTAGTGTTTTAAAAATAAAATTTACTTCAAGCACAAGTTATTCTGTAGCTTTCCGCTAGGGAGTATTCTGAATTTTCTGATGAAGCATTAGCTACAGGCCATAGGCAGAGACGAGACCATCTACAGGGTTAGTCTGCTCTGACACTTGCTTGCCATTAGCACAATCGACACTTTTCCCAGCAGCTGTCAACAGTATCAGCACAGATCATGCAGAACAGAAGGATGCAAAACGCATGTCAAGACTTACGATTTTTTTACATGCTTCAAAAAGTTCTCCGGACAAAATGCTACATGAAGTTTCTACCATCACCTGCTTCACCACATTGCCATTGCACAGTGCGGATACCAAGGTCTGTTCCTGGTGGGGCTTAATATAACAAGAGACAAGCAGACATTGCATTAGTCCTCAGTTCCTATCTTCAGGACCCTAGGACCTTTAGGACCATATCAGTTTGTTACAGGAGAACCACAAAAACTAGACATTTTTCATGACAAATATGAATAAAGCTTCAACTTTCTATACTGCAGGGACAAACCCTGCAGTTTGACAATCTGTCAAACACAGAATAGAGCAGGGCACCTGCTACATTTTCTCCAGCTCTACCTTGTATGCGGTAGTTTTAATATACAGGTATTTTGATGACAGTGGGTCACATTGTGCCATTTTGAAAAATGATCACTCACAGCTTTCCAGAGGGCTTGTTGGCATATTTAGCAGCCAATATCCAAGACCACTGCTGAAGGAAAATGGCTCAGAAGTCTCCCTCTCTCCAATTTAATTTAGCTAACAAGTAAGACCAAGGAGCACAAGAAATTGACAAAGTATTTATTAATGACATATACTGTAGATTATTCTGTGTCCTATCGCCTATGACTTACTTTAACTTAACTTATGACTTACTAAACTTAAACAACTAGTCCCCAGTCTTGGCCAGCAATATCACTGCTTACTATTGCTATTTCTCCTGTGCTCCAGTCAAGTCATGTTAAAAAAAAAAAAAAAAAAAAAACATTTAGCGGGATAATACTGTGGCTACAGCACACTTGCACTTAGTTATCAACTTGACCCAATCCAAAATAATTCATTTCATCGGACATAAACACTTTATTTATTTTATCTTCTGTTTAGATATTCTAAGGGAATGCTTATTTTATTTTCATAAAAATATTTGCCTAAAAATTTAGGCAAACTTTCAAGCCAAAAGTTTCTGTTTCATCTGAATAAAGCATACAGTTTTGCAACTGTCAAAACAATGTATTTATTTTTTTCAAGGCATTTCCTCTTACTTTTTGGTTTCAGCAAAGTTTTGTCAGCAAAAATTCAACCTGATCCATTCAAAAATATCTGTTTAGACAAAAAGAAGTGTATTTTCAAGTGTACATGGCTCTGAACTAGTACCCTGTAAAATCATATAATAGGGATATCTTAGATAATACTTCCAGATAGAAGATAATCCTCTTGAAGTCAGAGGCAGTCAGGAGCATAGCAATAAAGTTTTGCGTTCACTGTTGATTCACCACTATATCTTGCTTTTTCTGCACAAGCCTTCATGCTCTGAAACTAATAACACTTTAGAAAGTAAGCAATCTGTATATTCAGCAGTTCAAAAGTGGACAGACTAAGATCTGAAGTACAGAAGTATGGATAGAGAAATACAAAATTTTTATCTGAATTCCTCCTGTTGAAAATTGCAACTGCTTTTTTAGGTTAAATGAGATTTCCAGTCATATCTGAATTTCTAGCTGGCAAACTTTTTTGGACTGGCAAATTCTATGAATAGACTGTACCGCACTCTAAAACACAGAGGCCTTAAATAAGTGATCTTTTATCAGATTTCAAGAAAAAGTATGATCCAGCAAAAAACTGGCATAAGTTTGTTTCTATATTTTTTATCCTTTTCAAAACCCTTTGTCTACTTCTCAGTGACACCATACCACTATTAATCAGTTTTCAAAGCTCTTTCAGAATTACCTTTTTGACATCAGCACAGTATGGATTAACTTTCCAAGAATTCCCAAAGTCAATTGGATCTACTTCAAGGTGTTCATTGCTGCTGGTCAAATCATTGTTTTGGATTCCATCAAAATTTCCACATAGACCACACACTTGATCCTTGCAGGGAAAAGAAATACAAAACATGAATTTTCCATCTGTAGACCTACTTGGAGTTTTATTAAGAAGCCTTTTTAGTCTAGTGCTTTAATGTTACAAGGCTTAAAAGCTCAATTATCCATGCCCCTGCAAAGTTCACTAAAAGAGAAAGATTCCAACTCCTATGCCCATTAGGCTTAACTGTCACAGAAGGAAAGAAGGGCCAGTCTGTCTCCAAGGTCTTTGCAAGAGGAAGCATCTGACGAGTATTACTTGTTGGGTTTATTTGGTGTGCATTCAAGGAGTCATAAGTTTCCCTGCAACCCTATCTTCCTTCTGAAACAAGTTGTTCTATCAACCAGCATCACTAGCAAATCGGGCTCCTTATATTGGTCTTCATGTACACAGAGGAAGTTATCTCAATTCAAAGATACACTTATTCTGTCAAAGGTACACTTATTCTGAGGTATATTATCATTCTTCTTCTCTATCATAACTCTTTGTCAAAGACCCAGAGTTTAGCCCTTACAGTTGAAGCACCATTCCAAGGAAGGCAGCCCAGTTATTATGAGAAAACCGTTTCATTTTCAAGCAAGTTCCTAATGCTCCTTGGAAATCACTTCGCACATCTACATAGAAATGCTACCCCCCCTTCCTCATTGTGGAGACTTGTAAGTGTATTCTTCAGTGAATATAGAAAATAAAACAAAACATACTTACTTTGAAATTTCCTTTCAAGATAACTGAGATTCCCATAGCTAGATTCCACGTTACGCTGATGCTTTTACCCAGCAAAATGATGTAATAACGGCCAGATTTCATGACTTCTAAATTCTTATCATCTTTAAGAGGTACCTTGATGTTTACCTGAATGAGAAAATCACAGTATTGTGACAGTGTGAAAATCACAAAACATTGTCCCTAAACCTTATTTCTTGTAGGCCACTTACTCAGTGGGATATCTGCTCATTAAGGGCTATTTTAAGTTATGCCACTTACTAGAAAACAGACAGTTCCTTCACACCATACAGATTCTCTACAGCACTTGCAAGACCGTAAATATGGTATGTGTAACGGCCTGAGTACAGGCTCATCTCTACCACAAAAAAGTTGCTGTGGATAAATTATTGCCTCAAAAATAACGCTTCTTGGCAAACTGAGATAAAAGTATATATTTCAGTCTTATCATATTTCCATAATTTTATATGAGGCCATGTCCATCCATTATGTTCCTAAGATTCAAACACCATTAATACCGACGTACAAAAAAAGGACTGTTAGACAGAAGGCCTGATAAAGAGGACTGGGCTGATAAAGAGGACTGAGACTCAGTTACTGACCAGTTAAATATTCAGTCAGAGGTTAATTGAATAATCATCTTTATAGTTATTATATATTACTATTATCATAGTACAAGACTGCAACAATTTTGTGCTCCTGAGACAGTAGTAACAAAAAATCTGGTTAGGTATACATCTAACCCAAAACATATAGATCACATAGTAAATGTTGGTCCATGCAGGACCACGGACTGATTCTGAAGTCAGGAAATATTTTCTTCCTCAATCAGCTACACCAACAGCAAAACGCCCAGGAATTTTTGTCTTTGCATTTTTCCACCACCTTCACTTCCCCTATGTGCTTTCAAGACAGTTTTCTACTCTTAGATTTATTTCTCTTCCCATTTGGCTGCAAATTCACAGTTTCCAGCTACTAAGAATTTAGGAGATTAATTTAAAATATTTTCTTTCATACCAATTCTCTTTCAATAAGAACCCTGGTGGGATTATTAATCAACCTCTAGAAGAAGCTCTGGAGTGGTCTTTAATTTAAACACTAGTGCATTAACTCAAAACTGCTTAATTGCAGAAAAGGCAGATGAAGCCTTTCAATCAGTACAAACAGTGACTAATAAGAGGAAGAAAGAGATGCTTACAAACCATTGAAACTCTCGCTAGGTTGAGGAAAGAATGCTTGTTCAACCTTTGTTGAGAAAACAAACCCCACTACTCTTTCTTGCTCAATTCAATAAAAACTTGCCACTCTGGTTCAATTCTCTTAATCTCTGGGATATTTTCAGAAGCATTTATCCCCAGAGGAAGACAGCTCTTTACTAGTCTCCTGAACAGGGGTCTTCAATGTCTTCAGGGAAGAACACATTAAAAGATGAATTTTAGGAACTGGAAGACTTTTAATCTTCTTCAATGATAAATATGTTACACATATTGTCATTTCCAACATAGTTGTTTATCTTCTAAATATCTAAAGTAGTCTTTGTCTTTCCAGATTCACACAAGAAACAGAACAGGGAAAGTCTGGCCTTAAAATATAGAATTTTTATGTTTATGTAGGCTTTTCACTCAAGAAGTCAAACTTTCAACCTCGCAAAGTAGATCAGAATGTAGTTGTTTCAGAAGAGCAAACCTGATTTCCTCTCCCCTTTTTTAAAATTAGATTCTCTTACTTTTGAGGAATGCTGTGGAAAAAGAATGTAGAAAATCATCACTGGGAGAGCATTTGCCACTAGTCTTCATTTCAGACTGTTTTTCATTAATTCTTTCTTTGATTGTTTTTATTTCTAAGAAAACCTCTCCTAGCTAATACACTGATTATTAGGCTTACTAAAAAGACAGCTAGAAATTCAGTCAAGGCCATGAGGACAGTCCTGTGGTACAGGCCTAATATTTGGTACAAGCCTAATATTTGCAAAAACATATTCTCTCAGAAATGAACCCCTCTCTGTTATCCTCAATGGAGTTGCTGGGTGTCTAATTCTCCTCCTCTTGTGTTTTTTGGCACTTATTTAGGCGTTCAAATGGAATTCAAGCTCTTCAGCAAACTGTCTTCTAAAGAATCCCTCAGACAAATCTGGTTTCTACTGATTGATCCCTGCTGTTCACACTCCTTCAGGAAAGGGATTCCTTAGTAGTAGAAATACAGAACTGCTTGGGCAACCAAAATGATCTATGCTCATTTCTTCAACATGTTTGCTGTCATGCATCATGATCATATGCTCTCAAGATGCATCACAGAGACACTATTAATAATGGTCATATTTTACAGGTTCCTTTCAAGCATCAGTGGCACACATAGTAATTTGCAGCAATTTGCAGGCTATAAAAAAAATGGATTTGTCTGCTAACCCAAAAAAAACAAATGTAGACTGGTTTCATGTTTCACTCTGAACACTTCTGCAAAACTCTAGTGCAGATGACATTCCAGAGCATAGTACTTGTGAAAACTGGAAAACTCTATAATCCACTATAGATCTATAATATTTGAACACACAGATGGTCATAATTCTTAAAACGCCCAAGGCATTGGGCTGAACTCTGCTCTCTGGAAAATGCTTTTCCTGTCATGAAGGAAGATGGAAGGTGGAGGTGATTCTTGGTCCATTCTTGAGTTTTTTGATAGGCAAGGAGAAAAAAAAGAAGAATCTTGTCATATGGATTTTCCATTTGACACTTTTTAACATGAGACAGAATAGCTGATACTTGCTTTTGCAATATGAATTTGATCAACCATGGCTTCTCTTTTTCCAGTGTGCTTTCTCTTTTGGATGGCTGAATTAGATCTGAAGTTTTGCTAGTCACTTCTTAAATCTCTCTTACATTTAACCTTGCTTGAAATAGACTTATACCTTCCAGGTTAAGGATGTTCTTCATAGGAGTTTGCATTTAACATCATTCTTCTCCAAGAAAAAATTATTGCTATCAAGCAGAAATACCAAATTGGCATTATGACCCTAGGAACAAAATGCTTAATTATAGTCCTGCAAATCTGTTCATTTTATGATCCAATTTTCATGAACCACAAAGCATGAGATAGTTCATTCTTCTTGTTTCTAACCTGTCCAAAACCCTAACAAACTCCTTAAAAAGGGAAAAGAAATAGAAGAGTACATACGTTTCCATTAAACAACTCTATCTCTCCACTTTCAAACAGAATGATAACCCTTTTGGTGCATTTTTCTCCAGTAAAGCCACATCCTTCATTTGAAATAAGAATCCGGAATGTCCCAGAATCATCCTTGCAGAAATCCTATCAGACAAAATTAAACAAATGAGTCAGTACTAGGGACATTAGAAAGAAACACATATAGATCTCTGGAGACAAAGAAGACTCAAAGAATACTCTTTGCACTCACCGTTGGGCTGCTAAGGCATTTTTTCTCATATTAATTTATTTTGTGCTTAACATTTACATTAATGTGTTCCAGTCCTTAAGAAATGAGGCACACAGGGCCCATCATAACACACGCACATATTTTGCAGTTATTCTTCTGAGGGAGATTTAGTGCTGTTATAGTAACTGTTGTGTTTCAAAGATATATAATGGTCACAGTGTACACAGGAGAACACAAATATTTATGCATTTAATGGTAAAAACAAGACTGCATTTCAGATGCTATAATAAAAATAAAAATAAAAAAAGTAAATGAATTCAAAAGTCATTTGCTGCATAATCTCAAGCAAAATCTTTGATGTCCATGTTCTCTCACCTTTTATAGTAATGTCAATCTGCTCCTGGGGAAGTATTTTTGAGGTGCGTGGAGAGTTAGTACTATATTTATATGATTATCGGACCTTATACTAATTCTAGGTATACACCTTCTAAGAAAAAGAAGAACCCTTTCTTCAGTTCTGCATGTGCGTCATTTGAGAAAAACACATCTCATTTTCTTTTTAAGTGTTTCTCCAGTACTGTAGGTATTGAACCTACGGTACCAGATCATGAGATCTTTATAGGAAACTCTAACTTGTGCCAGAATCGACTGGTTGATCACCCATTCCTGTCCAAGAAGTACTGCAAGAAGAAATGTGCTACATGAAAAGGGTTTGTGGGGAAAATATTTGAGAAGGAGTAACCCATCCAATAAACATGGCACTCTGTAACTCTGTAACTGCAGAAGACTCTTGTTAGCAACTATCAGTGGATCCATCTAGTTTTAGATCAAAAATTCAGAGGAATATTTCTTCTTTTCCTCACATATTTTTAAATCCACAATGATTTGCATTTGTAGATGATATCTTAACCTCATTTAGCTCCCTACATTTTTGGCTGATTCCACAAATCACAGGCTGACATTAGTGTACTCTGTCTTTATTTCCCACTACTTTTTACTGTAAAGAAAACAGATATTGTCAATTCACTCTAAGCAGGCTGATGCATGAAGTAGGAAAGTGATTCTGCAAAAGTGAATAAATGGAGTCTGTGCTCCATAAGCCTTTAGTAAAGGTTCACTCAATACTTTTGCACCACTCAGGTTGAATGAAAGACCTAGTAGTAAACCTACTGGACTGCCAGTATTCATTCTTTGAGCCACTTACTAGATAGATAAATCATCAAAGAGGCAGAGAAAGGTTGATTTAGGGTACCTAAAATTCCTTGTTATATATGACTTTCAGATAGCTTTCTGTACCATGCTGTGCTCATATTTATGGCTGTCAGCTAGACAAGCTAATTCACCTCTCTAGAACACAATGCAATCTTCATATTTCTCTAGGTATCTTTTAATTCATTACTATGCTCTGCCATATATAAGGTTTATGAATGTATTTTACATTTTACTGTGATTCATCTAAATGTTAGAAATCTGTCCTGCTTTCACACACCTTATACATTATTAGACAGAATAGAATTTCAACATACTTTTCAAAAAAACTTAGTATTGTGCAACAGTTTTTGTTCTTACCTGAACTAATACATATTGACAGTCTCCTGGAAACTTATATTTCAATCCATCGAATGTCAAATAATGAGCTGTACCAATAACAGAGCAGGTGGCATCACATATATTTTTGGTGCATTCCCACTTTCGACCATGGCACACACTAGCAGAGAAAACAAATTAGTGAGTTACCATTATTTCTAATGTATCTAGTACCAAGAGAAGGCAAGGTGCTTTAAACAAGGAGGATTAACAAAAGTTGCTGTCTGCATGTGCTCACAACTTTCCAAAGACACAGAATGAATAGTGGTAAGCTACTATTTTGTATCCTACAGTATCAACCTGTCAGAAGTTTTGCTCATACTCAGTATACGCTGGCAACATGTTCAGCAGTACCCAAGGATTTGGGGATTCACAGCTTAAGGTGTTTTAAAGGGCTCAGTACTTCAGCATATTGTGTGTTCAGCACTTCATGAAAATGGAACCATTTTCAAGTTTAGTCAAGCACTCAAAACTAAAGGCACCAAACACAGTAAATAACTAGGCAAAAACTGCTTTTTTAACCCTCATAGATCTGTGCAGCTTAAGGACAGAAGAGGCCTTTTTGTCTTCTAGTCTGCTTGCCTAGGAGACATGGGTAACCTCTCTTCTGAGTCCAAGAATTTGAGACTGACTAAGCTTTATCTTCAATCAAGATATCAGAGTTAATGAAAAGGAGACTTTGGTATTCTGGACTAGAGAGAAGACGCAAGACCAAGTTTTCTGAGCAATAGTGGCAGTAATTAAGTTCTCGTAAAAAAGGGCACAGATTTAGTTAATGATGCAAACTCCTAGATGGAAGAAGATTTTATTTTAAGTGCAAAAGACTGATATTTCAGTTTGATTTCCTTTTCTATCACCTTTCTTTAAAAATGTTAAGTAAGTCAAGCATCTATGATCCACACAATAAGTACATACTTCAAGCTTTCCTGAACAGAATGACTTTACCTGCCTTTATTGGTATTTTCAATGGAACCAAAGATATTAAAAATTAATTCATTCCTAGAATGTCTACCTTCACTTCAGCAAGGCTTTTGACACAGTCTCCCATATCATCCTCATAGGAAAGATCCAGAAGTGTGGACTGGACAAGCGGACAGTGAGGTGGATTGAGACCTGACTGGATGGCAGAGCTCGAAGGGTGGTGATAAACACGGCCAAGCCTAGATGGAGGCCTGTGACCAGTGGCGTCCCCCAGTGCTGTTCAACTTCATCAGTGACTTGGACGAGGGGACAGAGTGCACCCTGAGCAAGTTTGCAGACGATACCAAACTGGGTGGAGTGGCTGACACTCCAGAGGACTGCGCTGCCGTTTCAAAAGACCTAGACAGATTGGAGTGTCGGGCAGAGAGGAACCTCATGAGGTTCAACAAGGACAAGTACAAAGTCTTGCAGCTGGGCAGGAATAACCCCAGGCACCAGTACAGATTAGAGGTTGATATGCTGGAAAGCAGCTCCTCAGAGAGGGATTTGGGAGTCCTGGTTGACAAGAAGTTAACCATGAGTCAGCAATGTGCCCTTGTGGCCAAGAAGGCCAATGGGATCCTGGCCTGCATCAGGAGGAGTGTTGCCAGCAGGTCAAGGGAGGTAATCCTCCACCTCTACTCAGCTCTGGAGTATTGTGTGCAGTTCTGGGCTCCCTAGTACAAGAGGGAAGTGGAGCTTCTAGAGCAGGACCAGCATAGAGCAATGAAGATGATTAAGAGACCTAGGAAGTCAGTTGGGCCTGTTTAGCCTCTTAATCTGCCTTTGAGCAAGTCTGGCATGAAATATATACTCCCAACAACAATTTGCTTAGTGCACCCTCTTAGCATTCTTAACACACACACACACAAAAAAAAAATTCAGAAAGAAAATTAAAAACAAATTTAAAAAAAGAAAAAAGATTCTAAGTACTCCAAGCAGGCAATAAAAAAAAAAGGAGAAATCTTGATGTAAATTTTTGGTGATTGCTTTGGTAGAGGTTTATTGTTTTGGATTAGGCATTATTTTATTTTATTTTATTTTATTTTATTTTATTTTTTAGCTTGTGGCAATCTACCAGTTGACAGGGGCAACCTACCTGCTGACAGTCCATGTATTTACGGATATGCATTCATTAATTAACGGAAGAAAATTTACACTATTAATGGTAAATTACTGGAACAAAATCCTGATCCAGTAGTCAAATTATTTAATTCTCTATGAGAAATTTGATTTGATCCTTGTTCTCCCCTTTTCCCTAGGCCTAGATGAGGAAGTAACATAAGGGAGGCAAAATAGGAGTGTTGTTCTCCTGCACATCTTAAACTCAGGTGTTGGGAGGTCTGTAAGGAATCTCTGCAGTTTTTCATCCTCAGACATGTTCCCAGAACATCTTTTCTATGTTTAGGCTGGAGAATGTGTTCTTATAGGGCTCCATGCCTGGATTGCTATACCTCTTCCCTGACAGATTTCCATAACTACACTATACTACCGTGAAACCAGTGATAACCTCACCATTAATACATATTAACATACATTAAAAGACATTAGCATTGAATGCACAAATCCAAACAGTGCACTAAGAGGGTAGAAATATGTTTCCTTTTCTCTTACCTGTTGCACACAGAAATAAATACGCTTTTTGAGTTTCCCTGTTTAAAAACAAACAAACAAAAAGGCTTGGATGCAGCCTGATGGAATATTTCATAATGCTATTAGCATTTTATTGTGGATATCCTACTCTGCTCAGAATATGCTTTCACAAAACACTTTTATTACACTCTAAGGACCACTACAGGTTAAATATGAATTGACCCTTTTTTATTTGCAGTACTGTCTCCTTTTCCTCACAGGAAGCCAAAATAGTAGTAGATTTAATATCTAACTAATGCCAGAGGACATATGTTTATTCTGTTTACCCTAGCAACCAACTTTGGGACCAAGTGACCAAGGCTCTAAATCAGTCCGTCCAATGGCTTTCATTCAGGTTACATACTTAAGTATAAAACCACGCTTTTTCAACAAGATCTTTGCATTTCTAAATGAGTTTCATTCCTAAAGATGGTTTACCTGACCTAGCAATTGGAGATCTTACCTCACAGTCTGACAAAAATACATACATGGATAGATACATTTCTTGTTTTCTACATAGGTACTCAGGTACACTAACCTAAGGGCAAGAAATGCCCTATAAGATATTGCCCTGACAGCTCTATTGTAGGAGTTAGACTACAGCCTCCACTCTACAGGAAAATTCACATTTGGCTACACAAGAATACGATTCCAGGCTAAATCTCTCACCTTTCATGATAGGAGCAGTGACACAAGCCTTCCTAATATGCAAAGCAAAGTAAGATGTTATCTTGGCTTTTCAGGGGTGGGGAATTCTAAAGAGAAATCAGACTCTGAATTGCCTTTAGGGTTATGATACCATTACATCCCTGATGGTCTAGTAGCTCAACTGTACTGTTATTATTGTACAAAAAGAGTGATGTAGAAAGGGGAAGCTTGCTTTTCAGCTGTTAGTTTGTTTTGCTTTTACTACTTCTTTTGCACTTTAACTCACAGTGACCTGTGGATATTTAAAATGCAAGACAGCTAATTCTCTTATACTAGTGTAATTCCATTGATTTCAGTGTAAGAGACAGAAGAAAAAATATTATGGCACTTAGCCTTAGCCTTCATCATGAGAGCAAAACAGCCAAACCAGAAGACCTTCCATCCTTGTTGAAGGAGATGGATATGTTAAAGGAAATTTTCCCTTTGACCTCCACAGGTTTTTGATCAGTTATTCAGCAGGTTCAATAACTAGAAAGATGCTGAGCAAACCAAATTTTAAAGAATGACAACTGTAGATATAGCAATATGGCTTCGTGCTTGACATAAGCTGACTTGGCCAAACTTAGGCTTAGGGCCTGGCGCTCAGAAGATCTCACGATGTTATGGAAAGCAAAGGGTTAACAGAAATCAAGGTGAGTCAGCTGTCTTACTTTGAAGAATCAGTACCTAGCCATGTGGGGTGGCATTGTTGCTGATTGGTGGCAGAGCAAGCTTCCGCATTCGAAAGGAGTATAACTGTAGTGAGCAGTAAACAATAAACAGCACTCCAACCATATTGGTGTTACATGGTTTGTCCCCTAGTGGGGTAGGATGGCCCCGGAGAGTCCGACCTCTGGGTGAACACATTTGTTGCTGGAGCCCAGAGACAGCTACGAGCTGAGACCGGAGACAGCCGCTGGCAACAGACAACAAAGCAGAAATTTTCCACACTTTTCTAGTTTATTTCCTTGTGTGTGTTAGAATAGCTTCTGACACAATATCTAATAGTCTAACATAATGGTAATAATCTAACAAGCAATAACTTGCTTGAGACCAGGACAGCATTCAGCTAAATGCTATGATGGAAAACATCACTGTTTCATGTATTTTCTAATCAAGACATACCACTTCTGTAAAGGCAGAGAAAGGAGAATTCTACCCCTTCTTTATGGATGTGAAAATGGAGAGAGAAAAGAACTGGAAGCATTTTCCCCAAGATCACATTGCTAATCCACAGCAAAACATGCACTGAACTGTGTTCACTGCTGTCCCAGTATAACATCCTAACCCACAAGTAATCACCACTGAGTTTTGAAAACACTTGATGTTAATACATTTTGTTTAAAGAATGATATTTCAGTAACATGAAAACTAGGGTAGCATTTGCAATTAAAACTCTGTTAATAGCAAGATCAGGATTTTGTGTACATAGACAGATTATAAAGTTTAGCAAATTTCTGCTATTTATTGCTTCATAAATTTTTCACTGAACTCTACAACAAATTCCCAACACATAGCATAACAAAAGTTTTGCCACTAGCTTAGAGTTGGAGACATTCCGCTGTTCATGAATTAGGTCTCCCATATGTCAAGCTGAACATAAATGCCAAATCTGACACCTCTGGATCATATACTGTGTTTGCAGGTGTTCACATCTGGCTAAGAACAAGTGAGAATGAGAACTCCTTCAACAGCAGTAGAAAAAGTGAAAAAATAAAAAAGAAAACGAAGGTTTTCCTCCAAAATGCAGTCTCTCAATTCTTACTAATTTGCAAAGCATAATAATTTCCTATATCACCTTCAAAATGATATTTGACTTGATATTTCCTGAAAACTATCATGAACATACATAGTTCAAACAGCTCTATTGCCATTTGAAAGGACCCTAATTTGCAATTTCACTTTCATATTCGAGAAAAAAATCCTAAAATGAGGTGAAAGCTCTTACTAAAAAGAAAACACAATTTCTGTAATATTGAACGTTGATATTGAACCTAGACCTTGATACTGAAAAATATTCTATGCATGAGAGGAAATTTTACTTACAATGGCATTGCCAACAACAGAAAAAGTTACTAGAAAAAAAAATCACTAATTTAAGACTTACAATTTTAAGAATGACTGACATTAAAAAGACTGTGTATGGTATTTGTGAAGAATATCTTTCATATTTCACCACAGTATATTGTTGTTGCCTCAGTAAATTTATTGGTGTGTCTGCTTTTTAGTTGAGTCAGTTCTACGCAATGTAGGTTGCACTATACAAAATCTCAACTTTTCCTTCATCTTTTTCCCGTGAAACCTGTCTTTCCCAAGTCTAATTGTAATACATAACCCACAATGCAATAAGTAGCTGCACAGAAAACAAACAAACACACAAAAAACTAGAAAGTCAGTATTTCTATACAAGAACATAAAACATGATACTCAAATCTAACTTAGGCTAGTTAGGAGTAGTCCTAGTAATTTAAAAATATGGCATTTAAAAATCACTGTTGTTCAAAGATTCATGAAAAAACACACAATAAATTATGGTGTCAATTCTCTGATCTGACTCCATTCATACATAGAGCCCCATGAATTCCTAGAGGTACTGGAATTGCAAAAGGCTTACATAACTTGATGAACCTGAAGTCTAAGTCCATAGAGAAGATAGTTTCCACATCCCTGATGACTGGATGACCTGCATTCTTAGTCATTGAATCCAGAACCCTTAAGGTGATGGCACCCTTCCTGATACAAGCAAAACCTGAGAGCAAAGCACCTCTCCAAAAGAGTGAATGTGATGAGGAGGCAAGAGATAAGAATTGCCCAGCAGCCAAAACCTTACACAAGGCCATGGTATGGTTTCCTATCCAAGCAAATGTAAAAATGCCATGCAAATTGTTCTGAATCAACAAACCTTTTATCAAGAGACAAGTAGGAGACAGAGAGAGAGAGAGAGAAAGGCTGGTGTTCCTCTCACCCCGGAGCACCTCCTATACTTAGATTGCAATGCAGTGGAGAGCAACTCCACTAGCTAGCTACAGAAGTCATTTACATGGACTACCTACTTTCAAGGTACCAAGCACACTTTGACAAATACTGCACTTATGCCACAAGTGAAAGGAAGATGATGATCTGTATTATTTACGTCATGACATGAAATCCTTGACTTTACATAAATATCTATATACTTTATATACATTCTTTATACATATATACGTATATAATACATATACATTTATATAAATATATATATGTATATAAAGGAATTAGTATAGTTTTTAGAACAATGTTATCTGCCTAGAAAAAAAAATGCAGTGGAAGTGGCTCACCAGGTGTTGCAGTCATTAGTCACTGTCTCTCCCTTGGCATATTCTCTTCCATTGTGAAAACAAGGGCATCTCTCAGGAGAAACACACTTGTTCTCATATCGCACCTAAATGAAAGACACATTTCTTCAGCACATTGGTCTGTTGGTATGTATCAGTGCATAGGAGAATATAAGCAAGAAATTATGGATAAAGGAAAGGATAAAAGATAATCTGAGGTAAGAAAGGTGTAGCATTGTTAATATTTTTTGCCATTAATACAAATGGCACTATGGATACACAGCTTTATTTCACACACAGCCTTATTTGAGTGACTGAACACTAGCTTAAGATGCTGCAAGACAGCTATGAGAAAGTTCAGATCACTAGAACTAATGAGAAAATTCAATTTGACCAAAACCAGGGTGCTGGGAAGAGAAATCGGTTAACCCAAATGCAGAGAGCAGGTGAATAGCATGCGCTTTGCTTCTTACCCACAGCAAACTGAAGCATGGCCTATCAGAAGGGCAGTCAAAAGCAGAGATTGACTAGATTAACAGCTGAAAGAAAAATACTGAAGAGAGTTGCAAAACAGCAGAACCAAAAGAAATCAAGTAGAAATTAATATTTGTTGTAACAGACCTTGTCACCCCCAAAAAGCCCATTGTCCTGTCAACCTGCCTCTGGAAATTGTAGTAATCATTCACATTCTTTCAAATGCCTACTTATTAACTAGGAGGCAGGATAAAGATCATTTCACTTAAGATATCATTACACCCTTTAATAAACTTTGTTACTGAGAAATAGGTCATTATTTCTCAGTCATCCTAGCTAGGGGTCATTCCCAGCAACAATTTTCCTTTTTCAGTTTTACTCTATTAATTTTAGTTTCTTTTTGCACAGTAAGCTATTTATCCCACCAAAAATATTTGTAGATTACTCAGTCTTTTCCATTTCTTTTATCCAATTTTTCTGATTTTGAAAATGTCCAGTAGTAAAGAGTCTAACAAAATCAAGTTTGGCTCTACTGTTTTTCACTTGGATATAGCTCTTCACAGCCAGGACAATGTTCAGCTCTTGATTCATGATATGCTGATATAGAGATCGCCTGTTATACTGCCTCTTTCAAAAATGACATCATCACCTTCCCATTTTAAACTCTTTCAGTAAAATCATTAAAAATTATTCTTTTTTTTAACAATTGGGCCAATAAGATCAATACTCCATGAACTGTCACATTAATAAAGTAGAATAGCTCTGTCTTTTCCTACAGGGTCCTAGAACTGCCACAGAAAACTACTAATAGAAAAATATCACAGTCTAGAGACCCTTCATGTATATGCAGCTCCATACATTCTGTGGCTTATTACGCCAAATAAACTCAGGCTGATAGAAGCAAGATGGAAAAAAAAAGAAAAACTTTTCTAGGTGGCCAAAGTGGAGTTCTGCTTCATACTCAGACTCCACTAAGGACAGGGAGAAATCAGGGCAGAGAATATCATCCATGGGCCTTTTCAAAGGGTGTTTAATTTATTGCTTTTTTCTGGTGGTATGAAGGAAAAAGCAACTTATATCTTCACACTCATTATATTTCAGAATTTCTCTGGAGTGTGCTTCAACGCTGTCCACAATAGATTTGAGGGCTAGTCTCTGGATACAAAAATTGGAACTGAGTTTGTGCCTGCAAAAAGACTATTAGCACTTCTTCTTGCTTCCTAGCATATCCACACAAAGCTAGTTACAGTCTATCCGCAGCTCTACAAGCTGGACAAACTAGTACTTTTACATATAGCCATTGAAGTTATAATGTAACAAATATTGACATTGGCAAAGGCAGAAGATTATCTTCTCTGAACACTGCAGAGTGGGCAGGTGAGATTTAGAAACATGAACATGAATATCCAATCTGGAATTTAACAAAAACACTGATTATTTTTGCCGCGAAACTAAACAGTTACACTTTTTGTTAGCAGTAACACAAAATCCACCAGTCAAATTTACACCATCTCTAAAAGTTGTTCTATCTGGAACCTCCATGACATGCCAGGTTACAAGTTTGTTGAAGGAGGTACCATATACTACTACAATGCATATGGCTTTATTCAGAAACAGATGGATTTTCTGTGGAAGTTTAACATTGCATAAACAAACAGCACCCAACATGCCACATCTAAACAGTTCAGACTACCTGACAGAATATGTTTGAGATTGTATGGAGAAGCTACCACAAGAAAAGACACAATGTGGTAAGAAGAATAGCTGCTGTTCACACCATGTCATACCCTTAAGAAAACACTCCTAAGAGGTCATCCATGAGATTATGAACGATCGACAAGTTGATAATGCTGTCACATGTTTGGGGATTTCCACCATTTCCCTGTTTTGTCTAACATGTCCTATTAATTCTTAAGCCTTGACAGTCTTCTAAAAGCTAGTTCAATATTATAAATGCAGACTTTAAGATTCTTTCAAACCAAACTATCCCTTGTTGAGGCTGAATCTGAATTTATCTGGATAAATCTAATTTTGGTGAGTATCTCACTGTCAGTCGAAGCTCAAATTCTCTTTCTATTTTCTCTGATAAGCCTGAGAGCTTCAACAGAAACTCAAAGTTGACAAAAGAGTAAGGAATTAAGAAGTAAAGGAAATGGGCAAGAGTAGAGCCCAGTAGCATATATATTTTACTAAAACAGCACTGCACAGTTTCCATGAAGACAAAAGCAAGTCAAAAATATGCTAGGATAGACCAGTCAAAACATGCGGTCATATTAACAGTAAAATCATGCCTGGAGCCACATTAGCTCTTGTTTACTATGTGAAATATCTTACTATGTGAAGTTTACTTTCTTAAGGCAGACCCATGTACCAGGAAGCTGGTAACCACCTGCTCTTGAAGACTCTGTCATTAAACAGACTCTGTCTGTTGTTAAAACAGGATGTGCTTAAACTCAAGAGTATACAATAGAGCTAGAAGGAAAATCAAAATAGCCTTCTATTAAGGTATTGGTGAAAAGAAAAAGAAAAAAAAATTCTGATTAAGGTGCTTGTTTTATTCATTCTTCTTTTACCTAACATTTTAAAATTAGAAATAGTTTAATTTTCCCCAGAATTGTAGTTAACACTCCATTTGTATATTTATTAATATTTTCCAATGGGAAAAACCTGGAGTACACTAAAATAATCTGAGAAAGCATATACTTTCTCAGACTTCTGCACATATGTTACGATTTATCTTTTCTGCACTACAAAAAAGTGACAAGTATGGAGAATTTCCCACCATCCAGACGATCAAAGTCAGAACAGCAAAATTACTTTTCAGAACACACTGAATATTTTTATTTTCAATAAATCAAACCAAAAGAAAATATTAAGTTAAGAGGAACTGAAATTCTTTTTTTCAATTGAAATAAAATACTTTTCTTCTGCATTTTCTGATGAGAAAAATAAATTTAAAAAATGAATAATTGTCAGTTTTTTCATGCAAATTTTCCAGTTGAATGAAATCACATTTGCTGATGGAGCTATCTAAGACTACAAATTCAGCCACCTCCAGTATGCTGTTCATGAGCAATCCTTAATTATATTTTATCCTTAATTTATTTTTTTTTGAGATACATTATTCAAAATCAGCAGTCAATCTGTGTGTTCAGCTTTGAGTTATGGATTGCTGTTTAGGATGAATAACTCAAGCCTGCATATATGCAAGGAAAAGACTGCACTTAATTATATGTTAAAAGCTACATATACTTGCAAATTGTACTGAGAGTTGTTTATGTAAACTATACGGCTTTAAATGTGTCTCCTGATCGTAAAACAATTTTATATAATCAAGGAGATTCATTCATTATTTGTACTTGGTCCTGTACAGAGAGAGAAAAAAAAATCTTCAGCAAAATGGCAAGGCTAGTTGCTGAGTGGTGATATACACAAATATAAATTCTCGTGAATGTTCCCTAGCTGTGACTTCTCTCAGACATTCATATAAACAAGTAGTTTACCTCTGTGTGTGCTTGTAAATTGAACAGGTTTACAGAAGAATGATAATGGAGACTGACACATCTGACTGGTAAAAGCACTAGTGATACCTTTTATCAGTGCCTTTATTGCTCAGGTCTTCTGGTACAAGTGTCAAAACATGTAAGCCATGACTTCACAACGTCTTTAAGATGTTGTCTGCACATGGAGGCAGGATGAAAAGGAGAACCTGGTTACCGCTCCAAATCCTTCCACCTTTGGCAGCCACTACTGTGAGTGCAAAGACTTGTTGCAGAATTCAACATTCAGGAGAAGGCTTCCTCCAAATGATACCAACTGGACCTTTGATTATGTGAGGAAAGGAAAAATGTCTCTTTGACAGCAAGTGGGTTTCTTCCATGCAGCCAAACTCCAGGAGTCTAATGAGTGGCAGACAGCATCGATAAAACAAAAGCATGGAATTTGATCTTGTCTTTGCATGGCAATGGTTAAAATAAACTACTATTTATATACTGGCTCATTCCATAACGGCTTTGAGAAATTAGGGACTTGAAGACTGAACTATACTGTCATCTAGTGGCTAAAGGTACTTATTTTACTAGTTTTTAAAAATTGGATCCAATTCTATATAAAAATCTTACAAACCACCTTGCTGAATCCAGTGGCATATTTCACATAACTCCAGAATCAACTGCAATTTCTAATTCCAAAATGAAAAGGGATGTTTCTTCCTCAAGCGATTGTTGCAAAAAATCATTGCAAGAATAGTTCAAATGTCCTGAAAAGGAATACAGTATGAAATTTTATATTCAAACTGAGGGTTCAGTACAAGGAAGTTGAAATAGTTCTATAGACTAGTTGTCAGAATTTGTTATGTGAATATTCACTCAGTGTAGTATTGCCAAATTTGGAACTGAATCCAAATCTCAGACCCTTTGAACAGATCAAAAATGTCCAGGTAATTCTGATCAGACAAAGGCATATTTCAACTGAAGCTTGTTCACAAAAGTATTTTAAAATGGAAATCTGAAAAATAGCAACAATTGTTTATAAATAAAGTTGTGGTGAAATTTTTCTCAATGTTGATATGAATGTGTTCAAATTCTGTTCTGCATTTTCACTGGGGAATTTACAAGACACTTTGGAAGTCTAAGCTTTTGTCTAATTATGACATTTTATTATGGTACAGTATCTATTTAGACAAATGTTTATTGTCAAAAAATTAATATCCATGCTAGAATTCACTGTCAAGAAACTTCTATTTTGGTTTCTATTAAGACAGTTAAGTTATTTTCAAGGAAAAAATAAAGAATAGAAAAAAAACACATCTTTTATAAAAATATATCCTTCAGAATTTAATTCCTTTTTAATGAAGTTTAGTGGATGAAGTCACTTCACCAGAGCTGAAGCCCAAATTTAAACACACATCTCAGTCTTAGAAATAATTATCAAAATAGAAATAATAACCTTTTGCTGACTAACAGTAAATGTCCAGCACACGTTAATCTGAGCCTGAACTTTATCAGGTAAAAAAGAGTAAAATTAAAAGAAATCATTTGTATTTCTAGCCTTCTTGGATTTAAGCACTTGAAAACCTCTTGATTTACTGTATGCTTCTCTGCATCAGAAAACTGCACCAGCAAGTCTGTAAGTGCCACAAAAATCAAGGTAAAGCTCACAAGAGTAGGGTATTTCACATCTAAAATGAAATAAAGATGCAAGCTCAACTCTTTTCTAGGATCTGGCATATATTTTTGTCTCAATTTCCTGCATAAGATATCACAAACTTTTGTTATTCCAGCAGTTTTACTGAGCACAGGACTCAAAAGCACCATTCACATAAATTTAAAAAGAACGTAATATATCATCCACCCCGTCCTAGTTACACACTGTCTGAAATTATCCCAACCATCCAACCATAGCAGGTGTAATCCTATGCACAATTTTTCACCCATCCAGATAGCCCTAAGCACTGATCCTTTTCCTATTACAAAAAAAAAAAAGTTCTTTATTCTTTAGGGCTTTAAAAAGTGATATGATTATCTTTTAGGGTTGTGGGAGACAATACTCGTGGAGCCCAGAAAGCATCCTACTAGCTAGAAGAGTGGCATTATTATTTTGGGAAGTTTTCTCTTTCTTCCCTTGCGTAACTCCCAGTTTGGTACATAGCACAGGAAGGCAGCAGCAACAGTGGAGAACTGACAAGGGAGCAAGCAGGAAATAACTGGAATCAGCAGGCAAGGTTTGGCATTGGCATTTACAGTTTGCTTTTTCACTCGACCTCTCTCTTTGAGACTGGAGAAGTTCAGCTAGACTGAGGAGTTTGGAAGAGGACTGAAGAAGGATACGAATTGGTCACAAAAAAAAAAAAAAAGGCATTTTTTTTTTCCTTGCCATTTGGTTATAAACTGTCATTACAAACCAAACTTCATCTTCTATACATCTATGCAACTTCTATTCTATTATATATGCTCTAAACCAGCCAATATTTGACAGCGTCATTGTGGACTTCTTCACAACCACATATTTTGAAACTTTAAGAAGACTGTTGATAGGAAAGAACAAATACAAGAAAACAAAGAGGTTTGCTTACCATCCCTTTTGGACAGAGGCAACCAGATATGCAGCCATGGCTGACACACTCTAAGTCATAGTTTTGGCAAGTCTTGGCACACTCCAGCCCTTCAGCTCTTGGGTTGTTGGCAGGACAGATAAATTTTTCCATGGGTGCTCTGCATGTCAAGCTCCTTTTTACTTTAAATATAAATTCACCAAAAATCATTAGCATGGTAATTTTCTTAGACCAATGTTTTCTTTTAAGAGATGACTTGCTTAGCATATACAACGGAGCAACTGCATTATACAAGTACATGTAACATTGCAAAGGTAATGTCACCTCTCAAAACAATGTGAGCTCAGCTAAATTAGGCAGGTCTCTGCTAAGGTCTTCTACCAAATAAACACTTTTGTTCTAGGTTGTATTTAGGCTACAAAAAAGCATTCAAAAGTTTAGTCTCAATCTTTAGCATAAAACACATTCCAATCTGTGGGCAACATACATAAACAATTTCAGCACAACACACATGTTCTGAGAAGCAACAGATTCATATATTATTGTATTTAGAACAAATTCCACCAGTAGGCATAATTATAAAGGTGGCTGTTAATAATGACAACCTTAGCCTAAATGGTTATCAGTTTTTCAAACTCTGAGATATCCATTTCTGACAGAAGATCAGAAGCTTATCAGAAGGTGTAAAGGCAAAATGTAGCCCTTTGTTTCAAAATCTTTGAATGGGGAAAAAAAAATGTCCAAATGCCGTAAATAGGTATATTTGGTAACCTACCATAGAAGTCACTGTGTTTGGAGTTACTTCTGTCAGCAGGGTAAGGACATTGAGGGGTTTCAGCAAATCCCTACTAGCCTTGTCTGTGAGGGACCCAGGTTCAAACTGCCTCCACTATCCCAATCCTTTAAACTCCATCCAGAGAAAAGAACTGCCTGCAACCTTTTAATCAGAGGCAGAAGGTATTAAGATGATAAATTATTGATGTCATATGAGCCTCAAATAACAATGATGAGATCCGTTAACCTCTACAACTCCAGAGAGACTACAGAGTCTAGCCATAATCCCAAGGAGAAGAATATAACAAGTCCCATATCCTTTCAGGCAAACATTGTGTTTCTAATCTGTAACAAAAAGAGGTTATAAAGAAACACACAGCATTACCAGCTCTGCAACTTCTGATTCCTCAACTCAGCTCCAGATCACCAGGAAATGAAAGAGGTGATAAAAAACAGAGAGAGAGAGAGAAAGAACAAATATCAGTCTTTAAGCATACTAACTTCTTGCAGATGGCCTCTCATCAGTGAAAACATCTGGCAAGAAGACACCCGGAGCTTTGTTTGTGTTGCAGTGCATGAAGCCATTTTCACAATAGCTAAGGAAAAGAAATAGAACTTTTATTTAATAAAGTGACATTTAGCTTTTGTTTGTACTTCTATTTTCAGAAAAGGCTGAACCAAAATTAAAATTGCAGCTCTCATGTGGGCTGACCTGTTGCTTTCCATCCACTGTGCTTATCAAGCTTAAAGGGAAACCTTCCCTTCCCAAGACAGTCCCAGTGACAGACCAGCATGGTGGCCCAGCTTTATACTAGCACTGTCCCACTGAATCCCATCTGCAAAAGCATAAAGCTCAGCAAGATAATAGTCAGATCCAATGTGGAAAGAGGTCAAGGGATCACTTTAGTGCCTGCAACATGACTCTATACTAGGACAGAAAATAACACATTGTTCCTGGAACCGGGCTGGTATGGAGCCACCCAGCAATTGCATTCCTGTCTTCAATGTATGCTACTCAATTTAAAAATTAGAAATGCTTTTTAATATTTGTATCTTTGATAGAGGTAATTAGGTTTTAACATTTAAGAAATGTATTAGAGTACATTAAAGTCCATTTTTAAAAGCCTGCAAAGTACCCATTGTCAGTAATTAAACTCCATTTCAAAGTGGCAGGAGCTGTCCCTGGAACTGAGCTTCATATTGAGTTTTCTGACTATGATGGCATTTGAAATGATACGGCTAGAGATATAACAGCAAAACTCAGAGTTTGATTTTCTGGAGACAAACATTGTTCAATTTTTAACTAGTTTCCCTGGCAGCGAGTAGATTGAGGAACTGGAACTGTTAATCAGTCAGGCTTCCCCAAAGAGTTACAGCATGAAGAAATGAGTCATGAACATTGCACTCACCACATGATGTAATGATCTGAAAAGATGTCCTCAGGCTGGAAGATCTCACCATCATAGTAACAAGAGCAGTGGGACTTTGGTACACACTCTTCCTGCTCATCAAGATAGTGCCCAGGAGGACAGTAGCAGCCCTCCATGCACAAATCATCACAGTCTTCATCAGGGTAGGAGAGAGACCTGCATGTCTGGTTGCACGGTGTTCCACATTGCCTGTAAATCTGGCCTTCAGGACAAATCATTGCTGCAGAATAATAAGCACAACAATGAAAGTAGAATTTGATTCAAAGTCATATAAAGAAAAAGCTACCTACACCAGACTGTAAACCTACAGATTTATTTACCCAGTGTAATCACCTATCAAGGCCTGCATTACCTTGGCTTTCCTTAAACCTAAGCAGTGAAGCCTGGGGCATTGTTTTTATATATAAGAAAAATGTGACTAAATGTAATTTCCAGCAAATGAGTATCCAACCAACATGTTGGAACTCCAACAACAAAGTTTCATCCAAAGTGAAAAATGCCAGCTGTGCCCAATCCCTTATCATTTGGACCTAGAAGGTGGGGACATTACAAGCACAACCACTTACACTTCCTTAGAGTCAGCTTTTACTTGGGACAGTCAGGGGCAGTGTGGTCAAAATAGTTACAAAGTTGGGATTCTGTTTTTACAAGCAAGTGTTGCAATAGCCTAAAGCTTTATATTGCAGAAACTCTCCCAGAAAAATCTGTGGGAAGAGCTACTGATAATAAAGTCACTTAATGATTGCGGAGCCATATTTCATTACTAACTTTTTTTATGATTAAGTCATTTTTACAGACACCTCACCTCACCTTTAGAGTCTTTCTGGCTTGTTCATCATACTTCGCCTTAGTTCTACAGCTTTTTTTTTTTTTTTTTGAGCGAGAGAGAGCAAGTGAGAAGCTGCTCTGCACACATCAACATCGGCACTAGGTGGCAGCGATGTCAACACATCTCAGAAGATAGGAAACAAGTTATCATCATCATATCCTTTTAGCAGGGCTCTCTTAACCAAACTGACTGTGTTTGCACTAACCTTCCAAAGCAAAAGGCCAGAGTGGCAAGGAGAGGAGCTCAGAGATTCAACAGAGTGAGGGAAGCCACTGCACATGGAAGCTGCACATTTGTATTGTGCTAAAACCAAGATCAAGCAGTTACAGCAAAACTTCTTCCTCTTGCCATCCCTGTTGAATGATCCAATAATCCCTACCCTCTGTTCTGCCATCACAAGCCCCTTGAAACTGTAACTGCATGGGCAGAAAAACTATTGCAAGGCTATAGCTCTGGAGTCTTATGCAGCTACTGAAAGAGCTGAAGTAACATGGAGGCTAACAAAGCAAGTTCTGCATGATGACAAATTCCTAGTGTTTATCTTCATAAATTTCTTCCACAATGGATAATTACTGTCATTTAATGAAGAGAGGCATAGATCCAATAGGTCCAAATAGGCCAAGGTCTTCTCACCTTCTATTTAGAAACCTGAAGTCCCATACATGGGGGTTTAAGATTCTCATTTGAAGATCCAACAGAGAGAGCCTATACTTGACTTGAAGCTTACCACAGAACTGAAATCTCAAAGCATGGGGCAGATGTCCAAACCATTCAATCTTCCTTTCACAGGGGAACCCCAGAAATTTTTAGGTTAATCAACAATGTAGGCATGCTAAATACATTCAAGATATGGTCTAATTCAGAAATAAATAGATGACAAATTCAGACACAGTTTCAGGAGTCTTTGGCAGCTATTCATAGGACAGTGCTTCTAAATTATATGAATATGATCCTTGTAGTCCATCAAATACTGAACAGGCACAGTCCAGGTCTGAAGACCACTTTACAAGCTTTTATTACTAAAGGCATGTAGAAGCAGGAGGAAGCCTCAGCTAAAATTCTTATTTGCTATATAGCACTGGAAACAAGGAGTTGGTCCGGCAACCTTTTGACATGTATGTAAATTTAGTATTATTTCATGATTCGAGAAAGATCAGATGAATAGGTCCAATATTTTGCGCTACTTCCAGTTCATGGTAATGCTCCCTGCTCACAGGGACAAGTTTACCACAGATCCAAGTTTTAGCTAAAGCTTTAAAGCTCTAAAACCATGCATTTCCTATGTTTTTAAGGACATTTCCTGTTTTTCTAGTTCAGTTATCCAAAGCCATATTTGCATTTCAAGTTCCATTACACTACAGCATCACCTCCTATAAACATCTGTTTTTAACAGTAAAAAAATAGAGGAAAACTAACCTGGGAGAGGACTGTTGTCTGCATGTTTTGTAACATACTGTTACTAAAACATGCTTTCTCACTATTGCCAGGAAAATCAGATGAAAAGGTGAGGTGCATCTAGTTTCTGTACAAAACTGAAAACTGAAATGGCTAGATGCTGTGCCCAGCCTGTCCTGGGTGATGAGAGGAGCAGGAAAACATTGGCAGACTGGTATTTGTCAGATAGTTTATCCAGCTTCTTCTTGGTGGGTTTTTAACCTACAGTGAAAGGGACATAAATTTCTAACCAGTTACTTGGGTAGCTCAGTGTGAAAATATGATCACACCTGGGTCAGAAGTGCTGGGTTAAGATGCACCCCATTACAACTAGATTTAACAGACCTGCTCTATCAGCAGGGGCCAGTGTAGTGAGCATTTCCACACTGTATGAGGTAGTCCTCCCCAAAAGCTGCTCAGATCCTGCCTTTAATTCCATATTCCCTGCTATGACTCACCTGGATCTTCCCCTGCTCATCTCCATTCAAATCACTGCACAGAAGGTATGTAAAGAGAAGCAAACTACCAGCCTGCTCACCACCACCTTGAGTGAGATGACCAATGTATCCCTGACATGTGAAGAAAGGTCTAGACACGTAGCGGCTGATTTGCTCTTGCCTCCACACCTATATGTATGCTTATATATGGCTATATGTATGCATATGTTTATATATATGTACACATGTACACATATATATGATGTCTGTGTGTGTGTGTATAATATATACATACATACATGTATGTGTGAGGATTAGAGCACTTTAGAGACCCAGGCCCTTACATTACGGACTACCTACTCCTTCCATGCACCCTTAAGAAATTGACTGTATTGCTTATCCACAACAGACTGCAAGGATAACACCCAGCTCTTACATGATCAAAATGAAACTAAAAACATTTTAAAGACTTAGAAGCTGAATGTGTTTGATAGCTTGGCATGTAGCATCTTAGAACCAGGAATACTGTTCAAAAGGTTATCTCTGGCACTGAATCACTCCCAATCAAGCAGAGCAGTTCTGTTAAGTCATTTCCCAAGAAACTGAATCTCAGTTGACCAACACCAGAACCAAGCTCATGTTCATTGCACTGGGCCATCAGCATGAATTATGCAGTCTGCACATTCTCATCTCAGACCCATTAAAGGAGTAATTGTTCTCCTTGATGTGACAGGAGATGTTTGGGCATCAGGATTATTTACTGGGGACTGATGGATGTGCAATCAGAGAAAACCTCACTTTATGAGGCCATAATGCACACAGAAGAGGAAGCAGGGCTGCACTATTAAAGATTAATTGTGAGAATTGACTTGTTCAATTACAGAAAGAACAACGGTGCATTATTGCTTGCTTTTTTTCAGCCTTCAGACCTGCACATTTTTTAAAACGATTTTTATTACATTATTGTTCTGCTCTATGAACATTTACATAAATTAAGTAAAATATCCTGCAGCAGTTAAACATAAACTGGTTTTGTTCTTATTCGCAGTAAATACTGCTCCTCCTTCACAGACAGTAGCTACTGATTCAGATCCTATCGGATGGATCACCAGTGACTTCTCTTCTAGTTTCTACAGTGACTCAATTCATAAATGGCTTCCTACAGTTTAGGAAGAAGTAATGGAATAGAACTGGAGAGCAACCAAGCACACACGACTTTCCTCAAAATTCTCAATTATCTTCTCTCCTTAATAGAAAATTTGCTCAGGAAAATGAGGGGAAAAAATCCATTTCACAAATATTTATGGGGAAAAGGGTATTCATATTCCATCGACATTCCATTGCAATCGATTTTTTTTTCTACCACATGACCTAGTAGAGAAAGAAAAGAAATTAATAAAAAGTGTTTGCTTCTTCTTAGTAGTTTGGCTATTAATCTTGCACAGGACTGATCTATGCAAAAACCATCCTATTCTTTCTATTGTAGTATCTCATTTTTCAGATTCAAAATCACACTAGAACTTACAATAGGGAAGGAGCTCCCTACTAAACCTACAGATTTTAGGAGCAGTTCACTTACGGCAGAAGCCAGGTTCTCTCCACTGGATCAGGACACCCTTTTGGGCACACGCTGTTGCATAAGTTGCAATAGCAGAGCACAGACAATCCTTGCCATTAGCGCAAGAGCAAACATCAAAGCGGCAGTTCTTCACATAGGGAGTGGGACTGACTTCACGGTGACAGGGTTCGAATGCAGAAGATATTAGAATAGAGCAAGAGTCCTCAGCATACTTGGCTAAAAAGAAAGAAACAGTATGCATGTGTTCAAGCAATCACTGGCTTTTAAGGTAAACTAGAACAGCAACAGTAAGCATTTTCTTTTGCTTTTGAGCAAAAAATATTCAGATGAATAAAATGGGAGCAAGCAGGAATAGCATCATTGCTTGTAGGTTATCCTCCGCTAAAAGAATGTTTAACTAGTAAAACAAATTGAGGAACAGCAATAATTTTCTATTCTGTTACTACAATTCCTGGCACCCTATTTCCTTTCACAGGACTCCTGCTTTCTGCTGCATTTTATATTTGCAAAATTAAGCCTTTTAGGTTATCACACTCACAAATCAGCAGTGCCTACTCTGGTATACAGGCACATAGTTTTGTGTGTTCTTCCTCTCTCTGGAAACCATAGGCTGATGCAACACCTGGCATCAGGAAAATTTCTCTCTATGTTCAACCAGACAGTCAAATAGTACAGCATTTTGGAATGCAATTAGAAAAGGTTGATAAAAGGTCAGAAATGTAAAAAGGTTTAAGTACAAAAGGGTGAAAAGGATGATTGTTTTGTCCACCCAGAGGACAAATTTATATTTTTGCTATCAATTCTATGATTAATTTGAGCATCAAATGTTTATGCCATGGCTCTACTAATCCAGTTCTGACTGGCTCAAAATGAAGGTCAGCATGTCTCCAGATTAGTGATTTTTTGTTTTCATTTTTCACAAAACTTTCATTTTCTAATAGCCTGCCTCAATCAGTGCTTAATATTTTTTTACAGAGATTAAAGTTACCCAACTAGTAATGTGAGCATCACTGGCTGCTCTTGCTTTTTTTTTTTTTTTTTTTAATTATTGGAACCAAAAATTACACAATCCTACACATCAGCACATGTTAACTTTGGATGGAGTTCAGTACCTAAATGTGGATTGAGATTGCAGGGAGAGCTATCTTGTTTTAATAAGTCTTGGCAACCTGCGTTGAGCTTCCAGGAGTTTCCAAAATCTTCCACAAGAGTTTCAACCATGCCAGAAGATGTAAGAAAATCATCCCCTTGGTTACCATTGTAATTTCCACATAGTCCACACGTGCTTTCGGTATACACTGAAGACAGCTAAAGAACACAATGTTAGTCTCATCATCTTTCAGAATACGTCATCACTGTATGGCAAGGTATTCTAAAGAATGAACCAAGTACAATCTAAAATCAAAGGAATTCTTAAATACATAAATAAACAACACCATAGAGACAATCTCCTACTACGTTTTTAAACTGCTAAAAAAATGCTACTTGTAGTGGTGTGGGGCTTTGTAGTGGTCACGGGGCTAGCTTTAAATGGTTAACTCAAGGTGTTTGGGAAAAAATGGCTTACTATTGTACTTTGAAAAGCACAATAGCTTTCCCTCATGTAAATGAGCATGACATCAGTTGTGAAGAGGGGGCATTATGGAATATAGTGAAATTATTCTCTTCCCCAGTGCAATGGTAATCTGAGAAAAGACAGGCCATCTGAAGCCATGCCACCTTTTAAAAAAATATCCATACATGAAGAATATTTAAATAGATTGTATAATCCCAAAGTAGAGACAATGATAGAGAAGTTGTTTCCCTTAAAATTAAAGAATGTTATTAAAATAATGACAAGACTATTTCCCCTAAAACTATATTACTTCACATTAGACCTTTTTCCTGCATACAAGAATTTATGACACATTAAAATAAGTATTACAGACAACCCACATAACAGATACACTTTTCACCTGGCCTTATTCTTATTGTACCTCCAGAGACATCCGAAATATGTCCTAAACTAAGAAGTAAACAGGGGAAAATACCTCCTAAATAATGTATCCAGTAAGAAGGTGCAAAAACTTTTTATTCCACAAGGAATTGTTGGCTTCTTTTAGAAGTCCTGGCCTAGTCCATCACAAGGGTTACCAACTCTCCTGAAGAGCTGCTTCAGTGATTTAATGCTACAATACCTCTCTGTATGCATTTATTAGATTGCTACTCTTAGTCAGATTGGTAGGGATAACCTGGGAAACAGAATCAAAAAAGCTCAAAAAACAAACAAAAAAAAAATTGTTCCTTCCATGAGAACACAGCAGTCAGAGATTAAAAACAGAGTGTCAAAAAGACCAGGAATTTTCAAGGAAAATATATTCTTCATTACTTCAATAATCAAGGATTTGACTTTTTTCATGTGCTCTGCAGAAACAGTATGACTCATGCAAACTCAAATTCCAACATATTTTGGAAAGACCAGCACTTGAGAAGCTCAAATCAGAGACATCAAGCAGTTACAGAAAGGAGGGTCTTCTTGGGGAACACAGAAAGAATTTTTACCAGAAGCACTAGCCAAGATAGTGGAAATGTATCACTTCCTCCAATTGTTAGAAATATTTGGCAACAGATCAGTCTGCAAATCCAAAATAAATTAACTCTCTAAAGCAATAAGAAAAATGCTTCAGATACCCAGCTAGGGAAGAAATTCAGAGTAGAACTGGGTAAATGCAGACAATTAGAGGAATTTTTCTGTGTAATGTATCTGAAGAAGATATTTTGTGGAGTTTTTTTGTGTTTTATTTTCTTAAAATATAAGAAGAATTTGTGAGGCTACATAGATATCTGACCAGGCGGAAGGTACTTTGGAAACAGAGGAAAGCCAAAAATTCTGACACATGACTGAATAGTTCTGAGTCCCAAAACAACTTGTAGGGTTCTTGGAACAGAAAGATACAGGGTAGATCAAAACAACAAAAACACTGATGCTTTCCAAAGTAATTATTGAACTTTCTTCTCTGTTGTATTTCACTAGCTTTCACGAACCTAGCTTTCATACATTGTTCCAGATATTATATTTAAATCAGATTCTTGGGCAGGCAAGAGTAAAAAACCCATGCCATGGCTGTGAAATGGCAGAACTCCTGATCTTTATAAGCTGCATCTCCAGACAAATTGTCTTCCTTGAAGAAACGTTCTCAGTGAAAAAAAGAGGCCCACACAAGGTCCAGCTGTAGAGTCCTTATTACAAATTAGCCTCAAATACAACAAGCCTTCACGATTGCTAAGAACGCACCCTTCCATGCAAATATGCCATGAGCAATGACGTCTGCAGTGGCCCAGCAACATGTGGTAGCACGCTGCTCTATATAACACTGCCTGCATATCATCACTCTGAGATGCAACACTACAGAGGGACTCACACCATTGAGTCAGTAAAAACGCCCTCAGGGACAACATTAGCAGCCTCTGAGGCCTCACAAGCTCAAGAAAACAGCTTCTTGTATGAACAAATAGAGTATATATGGCTTAGTTGGAGAAGATGATCACAACTTGGCCATTAAAATAGGTTTGCTATTTACCCTCTTTGCAGATTCAAAGATATTTGGAGAGCACTGCTCTTATGTAATCTGACCTTCCACATAACTCAGCCCAGAGGACTGCCATGGCTTTTGTCTTACTCAAACTACGGCATATCTTTTGGCATAGTGAATAGTGATTTAAACATTCCAGTGATTCCAGAAACCACTGAAATAGGGTGAGGTGTATGTATTATCTTATCAGCAATGAGGAGAATATTCCACGGTAGTTAATCCCTTTCTATTTGCTCACATTTGCTTTTCTGCACTGCAACTTATATGGTACCTTTCAGCACAGAGAAAGTTGTTCATGTAAAGCTTTGTGTTCTTGCAGCTAGACTACTTATCTTACAGTTCATTTTATTTAAACCTAGGTTGAATGTTCCTACACTCTACTGCTTTCTGCAGTGCTGAAAAAACCTTAATTTTTAATCAAGGCTGACTTTAAACGTTCATCACAGTAGAAGTGGTAGGCAAAATGACTTGGAAGAGTTAATTGATTTTATTCTGTGAAATTACAAATAACTATGTTCCTAGAGCCATATTCTTCATTTTTTTAACTCATGCAAATACCTTGCTATAGACAAGGAAAGTAAAGGAAAATGGAAGAAAAAAAATCCATTTTGGAGAATATTTTATACTGTGCAAAACACAAAACTATTTATGGTTAATAATGCCTGTGATTGCACAAAAAGAGAGAGAAGAAAAAAAAAAACTACCAAGCTGCTGTGGGATGAAAATATTTGTGTTCAGGAATACAAAAGGATCTGTACATTGCTCTGGGGGTAGCACAAGAGAATGGAATTTCTAACATGCAACACAAAGCAATTTCTTACTTCACCAAGAAAATCTTTGTACATGCTTGGGCAGGATAAGAGAGGGGGGAAAAACAGAAAGAAATAAAAAAGACAGAAAGAAAGAGTACCTTCACTGAGAATTTACCATGACCATCCCAGTCAATCTGCAAATCTTCCCCATAGGTGAGGCGAACAGAAGTCATCACAGTACGCTGGATACGAAGGGCACCTGAAGAAAACCACACAGTTTCAGTCAAGACTGAATGCAGTGTTTCATCCTCTAGGAGTATTATGCTACTCTGAACATGCAACAGAGTTGTGGCTACAGAGCAGGGGGTACACAGGTATATCAAAGTCAGGAGTATCAACTAAGCACACTTCATATTCCCAAGCTTTGTGCCTGCTCAGCAGTTTAAATGTTCATGAATGTGCATAGGCTCTGCTTTAAGGCAGTAAGGAGACCTAAAAGGGCATAAATCTGTGCTCCACACAAGGTTAGGAATTAACTACGATATTTTGAAAGATAACTGGAGTGATTTCTACATTCTGTTTTGGGGAGAGAAGAATTAGGCAGGAGAAAATGTTTCATTCAGACCAGCTTAATTCTCCTGGGTTAGTAGGGCTGAGCTGTGATTTGAGCTGTGCAGAGAAGAGGACTTTTAGAGCATGGAAATGTAAAAGCTGCAAATGAAAATTTGCTATCAAAAACACTTTTTGATTAAGCTGGGATAAAGCATGCTAGCAGACCCAAAGGAGAAGGAGACCCCTTCAGTGGCTGGCCAGAGGTAGCTCATCTGAACACACCTTGCAGCAAAGGGGTCTGTATGTCTTGTCCATTCAGGGAAATTCCTCCTCCATGTTTCATTTTAATGAGGCTGTTCTCCATATCCCGGATTCGGACAGAAGCTGAGTGAGTGCATATGGCATCAGGATCATCTGCACACTACAAGAAGCCAACATTTGCCTTGACACCAAATTTCACCTTACCCCCAGGCCCTCAAAAGATATTTAGGCATCTAATTCAGAAGGTGTCTTGATGCTTTTATGGATCTAGTTTCGGCACCCTAGAAATACCACATTCACAGTCTTGTAACTCACACAACAGGGAACTATCAGCAAGTTTTCTTCTCAGAGCCTTGGAAAGCACTCTGCAGGAATTACTCTATATGGCTGTGAGCAGGACAGTTAGCCATCCACCAGGTGATACACCATCATTTTTTTATGAGTGCTCAGGAGGGCAAGCCACCCTGAAAATCCCATTAGACCGGGCAACAGCAATGCATTTTGCACTCTCTGAGACTGTTGTTCCTGTTTATTTTCCAGGCTGTGGGTCATATAGATGAGGAACAGTGATTACACACTCTAGGTTTCCTCTCTGGTTTCGAAAGAGAAGTTTCAATGAAACCTGTTATAACAGTTCACCAACACCTGTGACCGCAGAGCTGCATTATTAGGACTTTCTCATGCAGACTACATGCATAAGTTGCACTTGCAGTTGTCACACTGCAATTCTCTATAGCCTGTGATTTCCCTCTTGCTTCTCCACTGTACCTCCCTCTCTCTCTCCATCTTCAGGGCAAGAATATTTCCCACATTGCCTAAATTTTCTGATTCACTCTTACTGCCCTTCCCATGCCCGAGTCCTTTCTTTGTCTCTTTGTTGATTGGGTATCCTCTTTCGTCTCTAGTTTAATTCACCTATTCCTAGGCACATCTAGTTGATGTGTAAAGAATTGAGTTACCTTCCTGTGACACTCACTCCAGGATTTCCATTCCTACCCATGCTGGTCTAGCACCCCTTCCTCTTCCCTTGAGCCACCACTGACCTTCAGCTGTCGTTCCTAGAGAGGAGTAGAGAAAGCTGGGGCTTCCTGACTGTCTAGTGAGCAGCAGAAGTTCGCTAATCAGTGTAACTTTATGGAAAATAACCTGAGGGACTACTATGACAAGGCACTAAGATTCTGAGAAAATTTATTTTCCACAGTAATTCCTGAACCCCCTTCTGCAGGGTACTTGGTTAGGACACACCCTTTTCTCTGTTTATTTGTTCAGTTGGCAAAGAGACAGCAAGGCCTCATTGTCCAGATCTCTTTACAAATTCAAATCTCCAGGTAGCCTCCTGTGAAGGGCAATAAGATAAAGCAAAACTTTTTCTAATCAAGGAGAGAGTCCATATCCGTTATTTAATTATTTCCCAAGAAAACTACTTTTGCTGGAGTGCATAATTCATGCCATACTCCCACAGCCCTTCTTATTCTCTCAAGTGTACACACACACACACATAAACATATCACTGCTGCTGTTACCTGGACAGTCTCAATAATAACAGAAAAGGAATTTTCCACACAATCTTTGGCAAATAGGTACTGACAAATCCCACTGAAGGTGAAATACTTGTTGTCAAAGCTTTTGAAATGGGATTGGCCGGTGACAGAACATTCTCCTGAAAAACACATAGAGAAGTTAATCACTCTAGTGCCAACTGTGAGCAAAACACTGTGCTTGCTAAATCACAGAGGGAATGGGTTCACAAAGCCGGTGTCCCTTGAGGCTGGAGAGCACAGACAAGGTACTTACTTATCTCATTATACATTCCTGCAAGTCATTAACAATAGTACCAACAAAAGATGGAGTATATTGTATATAATTCACAGTCAAGAGCTGAAAAAGCCTGTATAATTTTACATGGGGTACATTTTTAATAACTGGCTTGCAGGAGGACAGTTTATTCTCTGCATTGAAAAAAGTTTGAACTTTCTGCAGTGTGCATCTGAGTGATCCTAGAAATTCAGTGCAGTTAATCATTTTCCTCAGGCTGGTCATGCACAAATTATATCAGATAAACAATTTCTCACCAAACAGGTATTTTCACTGCTGCACATAAAACATGGAGCACAAAGTCCGGCCTATCTCACAATACAGGACTTCCAAAATATGACCCCTGCTCATTTGCAACTAGAGCAAGCAAGAACTAGGACAAATTTGCCTCTAAAAATATTGGGGCCAACATACCTGGGCATTCCCCATTGCTGCAGATCCAGATGCCACGTCGACAAATGCTAGGAAACATATCATTGCAAGTTAGGGATGAAAACATGAATTCAAATTTTCTGTTGCAAATTTTTCCCAAATAATTGAAACATGAGCCACTGTTTCACAGAAATTAGATCAATTCCCAATATCCTTTCCATCTCTCCTCATCAGAAGAAGCAAAGAATATTTACTTATTCTACCTATTTCCCCCATCAATTCTTGTCATCATTCAACAGGAGTTGATTTTGGCAGTGTGGTAGTATGAACTCGACTGGTTATAAGACATTGGAACTTCTTCAATTTCTGCAAAGCTTTGCGCTTACCACAGTTTTCAACTACATTCCACTGATTTGGAACGGATTTTAAACAATGTTCTCAAGGCATTTCTATTAATACAACAGGATCATAGAAAAAAAATAAGTTATAAGGAACCTCTGGAAACCACATAATACAACTCCCCATCTAAAAGCAGGGTAACTTCAAAGCTAGAAAAGGCTTTCCCCATTTGGCTTTTAGAAATGTTCAGAGATGAGGTGCCTTTCTGGTTACTTGTTCCAGTGCTGCACCAGTACCAGGGAGAATAATTTTTTTCTTATGTCTAAATGGAATTCTCCTTGTTGTAGTTTGTGCCTCTTGACTTTTGCTCTGCACCTCTGAGATAAGTTTGGATCTGACTGCTGTCTTTCAAGTGTTGGTGTGACACCAAACCAGTCAACCCTAAAATCTAATAAATGCAGTAAGTTTCAAAGGTTTCAAAGGTAAGTTTCAAAGATTTTTGATACTCTTTCAATCATCCTAATCCTTAAAAACCATTTGTGAGGTGTCAAATTATTTGGGATAGTGTAGTGCAGAGTGAAAGGAGAAGAGTTGTACATAGCAGTATCAAATCTGAATAACAGGAACCATGTAGGCAGCCCTGATTTCCCAAGAGTGCTATAGTTGAATAGTGTGGCCAAGCTCAAAGCTGCAGAGGGCTCCAGGGAGAAAGCTAAAACACTAATCTCACAGCTATGGTTTATACTCCATGACACATGTGCCGGTAATGAACAGCTTCTGGTTAACTGTGATGACACGTAGACTATTTTTCTTCAGCATATGGTAGCTTTAACTGAGCCCCTATTCTGCTGTCTCATCGGAAACATACGGCTAAACTCTTTCCACAAATATATTCACACTTATACATACATACCAGCTCAGAAATACATTACTCATTCCCTTCCTTTCTTTGGACAGCTACCCTTCCTCCTCAGACTGACATTCACAAGTGAAATGAAAAATCATGAGCCATGCAGCTGGGAAGATTCATCATCTTGCAAGCAGTTTCAAGGACATGCCTGAGCTAAGACCTCTTGGAAGGAAAATCTGAGCTGGGTGTAAAGGAGGTTAGATAAATGTAGGAAGTCAAAACAAAGACACCATTGCTGACACTAACCAGACATGGGAACCTGCCGGTTTGTCTTATCCACAGGAAACAGGTAGTTCTCTGCTGTTCGAAGGAGTATGACCCTCACATTGTTCTATCAAACTGAATGTCCTTTAAAAAGCAGAGCTGATTTTCTCTTTGTGAACAGTTCTTACTTCTCAGAAGGGGCTGGCATTTCCAATCAAAGACCAGAGGCCTTTGCCAAAGAAAATAAGAAAATATATATGGAGAGAACTAAATAGATCACAGTCACCAAATTGGTGTTTAACATAGCAGCTACATTGGAGAAACACTGAATTTACCATGAGTTGCAGTCCCGGGAGATGGTGAAGCCAGGAGGATAATGTCTGCCAGAATGGATGCAGGAACAGTGGGAGTTTTCAATGCAATGTTCACCATCAAGGAGCTTGCCCTCTGAATAGATCAGGTCACAGTGTATATACATGCACACACAAAAGAACATAAGCACACAAACATAATTAGATTTTCTAGTTCTTCATACATTTCTGAAAGACTTCATGTGCATTATTATCCATAGTTAGTTACTCTCAAACAGCAATTAAGAAGATGGAAGCTTGCCAAGAAGTCTCTTGGGGGCTGATAAGTATTTTCTTTTCAGTGCCACCTCTTCCTCCAGCATGCTGAAGAGGGCATTTCTAGTGCTCTCAGGGGAGCTCTTCACTCAGACAGTCCCTGCATCAAAAACATACGTGTGGGAGCATACACAAGTTGAAAATGGGGAGCTGCAATCCAAACTGATCAGAGCCAGTCTGGAAATATGACTGTTTGAGAAATACACCTGGGATGCTGTATGAAAATGTGTGGTCTGCAAAGGGTAAAACCCAGAGCTATAGAAATGACCAGCAGTAAAAGGTTTCCAGACAGGTTTAGTATTTGTCGTAAGAAGACAGGAGAAGAGACAAAGCAGAGAATAAAGGAGTAAAGCTGGACAACAGAGAAACCTCTTATAGGTTGTACACTTTCAGATGCTGTCTTGCTTATTTTGTGAAACAAGAACCAGGAAGGAGCCACAGATCAGGGTCTGAGATGAATGAACACCATGGTTGTGGGACTTTGGTTTCATTCACACATACTGCTAGAAGTGAAGGATCTAACTTCCCAATTTGCATCCAACTACTGAAGTTTCCATACAACAAAGCTGTAATTACCTATTCTATATATAAAATATTCTGTTTCTACAAAGATCATCTAAGGCACACAGCAGACACAATACGTGTCCGAGATAGTACTGTAACTTTGCAATGCAAGAAACAACAGGTTTCTTTCTGTCAGATCCCTGTATTGACAGATAGCTGACATTCCATCTTTTAAAAACAGCTGTGCAGCAAAATATTTTGATCACTGGAAACACCTCTCCATCTCTGAGGGCTCCTTCCAATCCAGCAGAGATTTTGGTCCTTTCCCCTGGCAGCAGCAGTCACCACTGACACTGAGACACAGGTAAGCTTTTCTCCCATTCTTTCTATATCACCGCCTGGAATGATCTTTGTGTTGAGAAAGATCCTTCCAGGAAGAGTTACTTTAAACAAGATCTGAGCATTTAAGTGAAGCATGGCTCTCTAAAGAGCACAGGAGAATGGAACGTCTGTCATTTTTCCTGGTGATAGCAATTCCATTTACAGCAATTAAAGTAACTGTGTGGTGCATATAAGAAGAGAAGACGTTTATTGAACAGATTCTTTTCACTCTTTACTGGAGAGAAACTAAGGAAAGGTATAATCTTCACCCTGAATCTCAAATTGCCCTATTCGTTCTGTCATATCCTTATGTTTTTTTAAGAAGCCCAGGTAAAAGTCCTTCCCTGTTAACTGTGCATGAAATACTGTACTAGCATGCAGAAAATTGCAGGACAGAAACAAAACGCAATTCATGTCATTGCATTAAATGCAATAGACAGAGGAAAAAGATGGTGAAAAAACAGAAGTTTTTTCTGTGCTGCCAACTTTAAGGCAATCTGCAGGATGTATTTAATGCTAAATAAAATTGTTTATCTGAAATCCTGAAGATCTCTGGAAGTAAGGTGCGAGTTATACATACAGATATTTTCCTAAGAAATTCTGTCAGTATATTCTCTGCTTTTTCTTCCTGCAACAACTGGATGCTTCCAAGAAAAATCAATGTAGAAAAAAAAAAGTTATATTAGTACTATTGCATACCTCACCAAGAAAAGAAGATGATCCTAGCTGATGGTGCTGATGGTTCACAAAAACCTTTAGTTTTCAGTTGGGTTTAAGAAATAGCCCTTCCATGGAGGGAGCATACAGGCAATATAGAAACTGATCTATTCTAGGGCATTGTGTCAGAAAAGAGAAATGTTTCTGATTTCAGGAAAATGTAAAGGAAGACACAGCTTTCCTTCTTCTGACAAAATAGCTAGCGCTACTGCCAAATGTTTCTTTGTAAACAATTCAGTAAATAACTTACCAGGGCAGCTGCAGCCATCAACACACTGTCCATGACACACTTCATTGATATTCAGGCTCTGGCAGGTTTTGGCACAAGGAGATACACACTCTTTATATTCCATGCCAGCTGGACATCTTGGCCCTGAAACAATTAAAAGAAATTAGAAATGCAAGTTTCTCAGTAACTCTTAAATAAATAAATCCCTTTAATTGCCAATGACTGAACTAGAGTGATCCCAGAAAAGGTCATCTTCTCTCTAATCAATGATTCCTCTTTTTAAAAAAATAACATTTCAGAAATGTTTGATTTTCAGTTTACTACAGCAGCAACATCTGTTAGCTTGTATAGCAGATGTTTTGAGCTTAAAACCAAATTCTTTCCTAATAAAACAAATCTAAACAACCAATTCCAAGCACATTAAGGATAATTAAACATGGAGAAAAGTCTTGCAGCAGTATCTAGATAATTCAGGTAGGCAAGCATATTCTGTACCTTTGAGATACACAGTCACTCAACTCATTTCTGAAATCACAATGATGTCTCATATTTCCAGGGAGAACTGTGAGATAGCTAGGACTCTAAAATCCCATCTTCTTCCACAGAATTACTGGCACGGCATAGCCTCCATGCTGTGGTATCTTTACTGCTGTCATTATCTATGCCAGACTCTTGTGCAAATGCACACTATATCCATTCTTACATTTTGATGCATAGACATAAACCACAGGACTTTGTTGGCATTAAGCAGGAAGAGAATATTATAGTCTGTCCTTTGCAGCAAACCATATAATGAGCGATACATATGGGTAATAAAGACAGCAGTACTACCCTCTGTACTCTGTGGCCCTACGGCTTGGGTACCAGCTCATTCTAGCATGCAACATCAGCATTGTGCCAGCACAGCAGCCTTTTATTCCTCCAGGACCATTATCATCACTGCTGGAGAGAGCACACTTGTACAGATACTCAGTGATGGAAAGCTAAGTACCCACTACAGCAGCACGCATGGGTCCTTTTACTTCATAGAATCACACAGAATCACAGAATGGTTGAGGTTGGAAGGGACCTCTAGAGATCATCTAGTCTAACACTCCTGCTCAAGCAAGGACACCTAGAACATGTGGCACAGGGTTGCATCCAGGTGGGTTTTGAAGATCTCCAAAGAAGGAGACTCCACAACCTCTCCGGATTGCCTGTTCCAGGGCTCTGTCACCCTCACAGTAAAGAAATTCTTCCTCATATGGAGATGGAACATCCTGTGTTTAAATTTACACCCATTACCCCTTGTCCTGTCACTAGCCACCACCAAGAAGAGTACCACCGAGAAGAGTTTAGGTCCATCCTTTTGATATTCTGTTTCAGGTATTTGTACATATTGACAAGATCCCTTCTTAATCTTCTCTTTTCCAGGCTATACGGGTCCAGCTCACTTAGTCTTTCCTCATAAGACAGATGGTCCAATCCCTTAATCATCTTTGTTGCTCTACGCTGGGCCCTCTCTAGAAGCTCCATATCCCTCTTGTACTGCCTTCCCACCTTGGAAAAAAAATTGCTTTGTAAAGTCAGGAATTCAAAATGAGCTCAAAGTCTCATGGGAACAGAAAGGGGTTTACTTTCCTCATTGCTGCAGTTTGGGATTTATGGACAACTTTAGCAAAACCCCAGACACCAAAACTTTAATCCCAGACACCAGTACAGGCTGCGGACTGACCTTCTGGAGAGTATCTCTGCAGAGAAGGACCTGGGCATCATGGTCGATGACAAGTTGACCATGAGGCAGCAGTGTGCCCTCATGGCCAAGAAGGCCAAAGGCATCCTGGGGTGCAATAAGAAGAGCATCTCCAGCAGGTCGAGGGAGGTGATCCTGCCTCTCTACTCAGCCCTGATGAGGCCATATCTGGAGTATTGTGTCCAGTTCTGGGCCCCACAGTACAGGAGGGATGTGGACTGCTGGAGAGAGTCCAGCGCAGGGCTATGAGGATGATCAGGGGCCTGGAACACCTGCCCTATGAGGAGGAGAGACTGAAAGAACTGGGCCTTTTCAGCCTGGATAAGAGAAGGCTGAGAGAGGATCTAATCAGTCCCTCAAGGGATGCAGTGAGGAGGATGGTGCTGGCCTCTTTTCACTGGTGGCCACCGACAGAACTAGAGGCAATGGCCACAAATGGAAACACCAAAAGTTCCACAGGATCTTAAGGAAAAATTTATTGACAGTGCAGGTGACAGAGCACTGGAACAGGCTGCCCAGAGAGGTTGTGGAGTCGCCTTCTCTGGAGATCTTCAAAACCCGCTTGGACGCAGTCCTGTGCCACATGAACCTATGTGTGCAAGGGGGTTGGACTAGATGACCTCTAGAGGTCCCTTCCAACATTAAGCATTATATGATTCTATGATTCTATGAAAACTGGTTTCTCTGGCTTGCACCACGAGCAAACAGAGAAGGTTTTATTTAATGGCTTTTTGCTCCAATGACAAGGAAATGATCCACTTCTAGAAATAACTCTTTTCTTTGCTGTGCTTTCTCTTGAACAGGTGGTTGGCAATATCTTCCTGTCCTAAGTATAATCTGAACGCGCTTTTATTCAGTGGTGGCCATCAGCAAAGTTTACCAGAGAAGAAACTTACTTGTTGGTGATGCTAATGATGTTAGTGATGTCAGTACAACTCAAATGAAATCAAATCATGTAAACATGCCAAAAAAAAAAAAAATCCTTCTTGCACAACATAGGAAACAGAAGGATATTAGGAATGCACTTTTTGTTATTCATTTCTGTAATTAACTGGGGTTGTCCAATGGAAGCATGTGTGTATACGAACTCCCTGCATGTTGGATGCAAACAGTCTTTATATATAGGCAATCCATTTCAGTCAACATAAGCACTTCCATGTTGCAAAATCTTAGCAGAGGTGTGGTAAGGACCTCTAACCTAGGCAAAATTTGGCTAATAAAGGCAACTTCTCATTTGCAAATTTTTGAGTCAGTAAAGGATGACAAAATTGTCATCATCAAACCGAGTCAAATCTTTCACATTGATACTATCTTACAAGTACAGGTTGAATAAAGTCATACATCTGAACCACATGTGAAAGAGTTTCTGAACATCCTAGTTTGTAACTTTGTGTATTAAATAAGTGTTCACTAACACTAATACACCATGCAGGAAACTGTAGTAGCTCGATATCTTCATCATTTATGATTCAACTGATTTTTCTATAGGGAAAACAACTACCAGAGAAGTGTAAGCAAAGGCACTTCAGATAAGTGCAAGTGATAGGCATTTCAGATTTTAATTTGCTTGACTGAAGCAACACCCTTAAATGCACCAGTTGCTCTCAGCTGCAGCATTTAGGCAGATGAGAGACAAGTTAGTTAGACACGATCTCATTTAGGACAGGTGTCTTAGGAATAACTCTGTCAACTTACTGCAAGAGCTCTCTTCAGGCCACCCATCCAAAATCACTCCTTCATGAGCACAGCTTCTTGCATAATCAAGGAACACTGAACAATGACAGTCCATGTGCTGGGTACAGGCACAGATGTCTTTTTCACAGAGATCAATATATGGCTCTGGATCAACTCGATGGTGGCATCGGGAGAAAATCAAAGATGTCCTTAGTAGCTGGCATGTTTCCATAATGCCCTGTATGACAATTGTGGTCCCAAAGGAAAAGAAAAAAAAAAAAGAAGAAAAAAAAAGTGTTAGTTACTATAAGCTTAGGAATAAGAGAGAAAAATCAGCTTTTGCAAACAGACTGTTGCCAGTGCTAAATAACATGCTGCTTGGTCTCATAATTAGCAGTGACCTCCATCCATTCATCCACTACATCCACATATTCACAGAGGAAAGTTAATATACTGATTAATGTACAATAAAGAATGTCATATAAGAAATGTTTCACACAGAAACATGTCAGTGGATCTCCAAATGCAGGGTCAGGACTGCTAGGTCAGCAACTAGAGCCTGTGTCTGGAGTATCAGAGACGTAAACAGCCAGGGAGATTTATCTAATTAAGAAGAAAATGGCCTATCACCTTTTGGATAATGAGGAAACAGAATAAGTTTCTAAATTATACTGAGTGAAGTCTAAGGACCGGATGAACTCCTTTCACTGCACTGCAGTGAGCTCCAGCAGGTTGCTCTCATGGAAATATGTTCCCTGTGCATCAATTCTTCCTTTTCCTACTTCTTGCTGCATGCTCCTGTAGGTCTTTCTTGCTTATCTAATGCTCATGAGTCAATTTAACTCATATAAATGACAGAAAAAAATAATCCAGTGAAAAGTGATCTTTTTCTGTTCTTCTAGAAAATTAAATCAGCTTAGTGGCATCTAGCACGAAGAGAGGATACACAGCGCAGAAGAAGGGGACAGTACAGAGATCTCTGCTTTGGATATCCTCCCGGATATCCTCCCAGTATATGAAATGTAACTTAAGTAAAGCTTAGTTTATGGCTAAATTTCCTAAGAGAGGTTCCCAAACAGACTAATGTTAACACCATATCTCAGATCGCATCAATGATGTCTAAGGTCTTCAATGAAACTTTTTCAAAGGATGAGTGAACTTACATAAACGGAAACATTTTTTCTGATGCAACTATAATATAAACAGTTGTAGCACATCTTTCTACTACATATTCATTAGTTTTTTTATATAAGCAGTTGAAAAATGTGTATTTTAGATGTTACAAATTTTGGGGTAGAGAGAGCAGTTGCTCAAGTCAAGTGGTTCAGAATGTTATTCCTCAGAGTACCTTACCAAGTGCCTGAGATGACAGCACATAGATGTTGCTGTGCTAAGGGAAAAAAAATGAAAAAATAACAAGTCGTTTTCATTTACTTTGGGGGAGAAACATGTGAACATAAGAAGCAGAAAAACGCAGAGTTCAGCAGATGTCTTCTCTGAATGTCAGGTAGTATATCTGTATAGAAAAACAGATAACCAGAAAAGACTGTCTGCTGAAGTCTGTTTTGTCCAGGTGAACAGTTAAAGCTAGTTCATATCTGAACTAAGAGAAAACTTCTTGAAAAGTCATGTCTCACCCGCAATATGAGCCAACTAGAAATGTCCAGCTCATTAGGAATATAGTCAGGGCTTAAAGGGCCCAGACAGAGAAGTCCTGATCTTGATGAGAAAGGCTTCAAGAAACTTTAAAAAAATGATAGCTGAACATCATCAAAAAGTTTAACACGACTGTCCTACAAAAAGTCAGTGCCAGCCTGGAGTAATTCTGATGTTCAAATACCAGTCCTCATACTTAACAAACTGGAAAAAAAGACTAGAAGGAGAGGAGCAGGAAATGCATAAATAGTGGTGGATGCTGATTTAAGACTATACAGAAATAGGAGAAAGTTTAAAAATGCCCTAAGGCTGGAAGTAGTAACAGGAGCAACCAAAAAGCTATTAAAGTAGAGCTTCAAGGTGAAACCGATACACATGGCTACACATGGCTCACAGCCATGTAGAAGATGAAGAGTAAAGAAGTGTCTGATCCAGATACTACCAAACACAACTACTATCAAATGCCATTATAGGGACCTTATTAATAAACTTACATAATTAAGGTAATGGCCTTTTTAAAAGGTAATACACCTCAACTGTTTTGTTGCAGTAGAACGCAGACTCCTGTAGAGTCTGCATAGTCTGCTAAATCCAAGACATTGGTAAAAGTAGAGGAAACAATCTTTTATTACTATGTTGATTATAAATCACTAAATGCCCTTTTTGAGTATAATTAACAAATAAAAACATTTTCTAGTTCTAGTTGATTTTCATCAAGAAACCGATTGACAGAAATCTATAAATAGTACATTTTCTCTTGCTAAAGATTTAACTGCCATACAGATTTATACAAGAAATCATAGCTAAAATGTTTTTATTTTTTAGACATAATCTTGCCAATGTGTTTTGATGAATCAATAGACTTAGGCTGAAACACTTCCAATTAGATTCCAATTAGATATAAGCAAAACAGTTTTTCCCCATGAGGGGCACTTTTTTTTAAAACACTGGAACAAGTACCCAAGGAGGCAGTGGGACCACCATCCTTGGCATTTCCAAATGTTACTGAAGCAATCTGAGTTAGGATACCCCTGTTTCATGCAGAGGAGTTAATTAGAAGACCTCCAACAGTATCTTCAAGCTTAAAGATTCTGTGAATTATTTTTATTTTATCTCCTTTCTTTTCTTATAGATTACTGAGCCTTATCCTTTAACTAAGAAATAATACATTTATGTGGAAAGCATCAGAGTTTTATTCACTGCAGTAGTGTGTTCTTTCTTACATTTTAACAGTCCTAGAAGTTGTCCCATATAAAGAAAGAGCCATCTAATAAGAACACCTTGCAAGACCAGGCACTAAAGCTTCAAGATGGAACAGTAATTACAGACAGTAGTCAGCAAGAGTAAAACTAGCAGTGTAGACTGAAATATTTGAAAGACAGGTCTTGAAATTACTTCATTACTATATGAGTTCTATTTTGAGTGTTTCTTTGAATGGATTGGTAGCACTGGCAACTTTAAGTGCCCACAAACTTGCTGACCGGCTTTCTTCTCCACTCCCACCACACAAAACTGTAGGCAGAATTTTATACATTCCTCCAATTTCTGCAGCATTGCATTCTGCTGTTGCATGAGCTGCATTCATCTAGTCCTTAGCAATTAAGAGATATAACCTAAGAATAAAGGAAGATGGCAGAAAGACTCTCTCCTTTCAAAAGGATGTGAAATTGTCTCACATTCTCTGTGATTTAAGGAGGTGTCACACAGAATCTACAGAACTTGTCTGCTCCAGAGGAAATGACAAGAATCTCCAAAAGAAAAAGAAGTAGGCATCAGGACACTTCCCTGCACCTTTCTCCCCAGTGAATAGGGAGAAAAAGACAAACACTAGGAGAGAGTGTGGCCAGACCACACACAGTGTACCACAGACCACAGCTGGGACACCTCCTCTTCCACCATCAGTAGCTCAGGCTGACTTCTATGCTGAAAGTCAGAGTTAGGATTTGTGTTCTCCTGTACTCACAAAATCATCCGTTCCTTGCCCCAGTCTCATCAAAAAGTCCATCTCATTTTAGCCCATATCTGCATAGTTTTCAGGCAGACTTGTAAAATTAAACCCAAAATTGCCCAGAACACTACACTCATTGCCTCCAAACTCCATTAAAATCAAGGGAATCATTTGCAATCTAGAAAAGACCAGAAGAGCTTTCTACCTTCACTACATTTTACAAAGATATTAGAAGCCATCTCTTTAAGGATGGTCTTAGGCAGCTGTTCTGATAGCTGCCACAGTGAGAGAAGAAAGGGCAAAGAAAACTCCAGATCTACACTGAGTGGGAAGTATGGGGGAGGAGGAATATCCTGAACCAAATATATTGTTTTCCCCACCTAACAGCTGACTGCCTCACAGAGAGAGGCTGCAAAATGGGGGAGATTTACATTCCTAAAGTTGAAGCAAACAAACAAGGCAAGCTATTAAAAAGCTCTAAATTCTTCAGCAGGCACTCATTTGGTTGGACTTATATTAACAGAACTGTATTTATTCTTGCACATTGAATTGAATAAATTAGGCCAGTGTTTGCAAACTCACGTGACAGAGAAGCTGATTTCATGTAGTTATTATTTTGCTGGAAAGCAGACTTCATCCAACAAAGCATTGATGTTTAACATAATCTACATAAAATTCAGATTAATTGTAGTGTAGTGTTCAGACAGTACTTTATCCTGCATGACAATTCCTGGCCTTAGATACAAAACTGGCATTTTCTAAAATAACATTTTTTTGCAATTTGCAGCACTAATGCCAAGAGATGCTACTTAAACAAACCTTTCCCAAATAATATTGAAAGCTTCTTTGGCAACCACTCAGATATTATGCCATTGTTGTTTATTTGTTTGGTGGGGGAGGGGAAGGGAGAAGGCGGAAGAAGGTAAACAGGGTGAAGTTGAGCACTATGGTTTTCAAAAGAACTCAGAGAGAAAGTGTAAAGAGAAAAAATACACGAGCTACCTGGGGAATAAACTGTTCTTTTCTCAACACCGCATGCAGATAAGACAATAGTCATAACATTTGAAATCATAGCTCTACAGAAATGGGCAGCCTAGTGCAGAAAACCTTGAGCTAGCACTACCCAAAAACACTTGTAAGCACATGCAGTTATCAGGTCAAGAACGGCATGGCAAAAAGAAAATAAAAAAAGCACAGCTGCATGATGTTTCCATAAGCATTTTTGTTCCTCTGCACAAAGACTGGCAAACTGACTTCAGGTAGAGAAAGCCTGATGCCAGATTTCTCTCTTAGAGAACCAACCTTCTCTGCAATGTCAGATGAAATGTTGCATGTGTTGCTTGGAGTCTGCACTCTCTTGCATCGCTTATTTTCACTGTGCAAAGCCCAGGAATTTGCAAAATCATAACTGTTTCTCACAAGGGTCCCTGTGAATCAAAAACAGGAGAAGGACAGAGCTGTTTAGGAGGCTGAGTAACAAGTTGTCATCACTGGCTGCTATGAATGCAGTATTCTGGTAAAAGTCACTTTTAAAAATCAGAGCAATAACATAAAAAGAATCTGTATTCCATATTGGTTTACTGTAGAAACCCATCCTAAGTGATTTGAACTGACTAGTCAAGAAAGACTCAAAACTAGAACATTTCTATATTTTTATAGTGTATATAGATAAACATACACACACATCTTTCCTTCCTCATTTTTTTTTTCTTTTTTAGGAATTCATTATTTTAAAGCAAAATTTTTTGAATGATTAAAATTCACCATACCAATTTCTGTTTCTCTAGTGAGGCAAAGGAAATTGTATTTCTCAACTAAGAACTGGATAAGAACACATTTCTCTAGGATTTTTGCATCACAGTGATTGAGCAGTGTTCCAGAAGGTCTTAAGAAGCACCTACAAGCACAAATCATTGATAAAAATTACACCGCGCTAAGTGCTCTACACCAAGTACAAACCCAAGAAATGTAAAAAGATTGTTCCCAATCTAAGGAATAAGCATGAACCATACACAGAGAACAGGGTTGTAAAAACACCATCAGACTTTTATGGATCTTTTTGGATGCTAAAAATTAGGAATTTGTAAACATAGCATAAACTAGCCCCACAGCAGAAGTCAACAGACGAAGACTCAGAGGAAATGATGATAGGTAATTAAAGAAATGGACTTTCCATCTGCATGGCAAGAAATGACCACAGGAAAACCAGGATAAATAAATAAATAAATAAAATAAACAACTAGGAGAACCAAACCATTTATGCTACCGCACATTGCGAAGATCAAAGTGCCAACAAAATCTAATCTCACTGGAAACATAGCTAAAATTAAATATACCTTTCGATATAATGCATTTTTACACTAACAATAATATAAGAAAAGACAAGCTGTACTCTGTAGCAGTGTTCCTCTGGCTCTGCTTGAAAGTTCATGTTGATGTTTCCACTAGCAGGTACCCTGAAATACTTTTTTCCTCATAACTTAGTCTTTGCAAGTTAGATCAATTGTTAACACTGAAGGGATGGCTGCCTATTCTTTTTCCATTCACCCAGCCTTGCTCTGTTAGATTCTTTTATTCTAGGATGCCAGTAAAATGCAGCATTTGCATTACATTATTTTAACTATTTTGCTGCATTCTCTGATCAATATTTTCAAGTGAAGTGCTTTAAAAAAAGATTTCAAAACCTTTGGTGTTTTTGAAACTTGCTCTTCAAACTCTCTTGTCATCAGTGCCTATCTTTGTATCAGAAGTACCATGGGATGTACTGAGCCACTTAAACTATAAGATGTCTGTGACAGGCAATACTTTGTTGATCTGGGTTTGCTCAATAGATTCTCTGGGTTCTCTCCCATGTAAGTCTCCTGAAAATGCAATAGTAAAAATATAGAATAATAATAAATTCAGAGACATCAATCAGTATATTTTTATGGTGTGATTTTTCAGCTTTAGCCTTAAGTAATCTATGTCAACAGGTAAAGATTGGGAAGTAATTTCAGCTTTAAAATGCTAGTGCTACAACACATTTCATGCATTTTTGCCTGCCTGTTTTTCCCCAGATATTTTGCTCTTAACAGTAAGCAACACCATTACTGAAGAAATTGGTATTTTACTTACTATCATTACTTATAACTTGCAATAATATAGGTGCAGTAGAACCTGTATTTTCACAGTACTAACTGAAATCAGGCTACCAGTAAATTAGCAGCTGTACAAATACACAGTAATAGGCAGTCCATTTTCCTGAAAAGGTAAAAAGAAGACTGAGAAAGAGAGGGCATAGGAGAATGGCTCATGTGTACTAAAAGCTGCTCAGCACAGTTCACAAAACAAAGTGGTGATAGGCACCTTAATTCAAAGTCGAGCTTCTCAGCCATTCAAATACAACTCTGCGGAGCTCTGAAGAACTTCAAACAAAAGGCAACAAACATTTTATGGACACACTTCAGCTATGGATAATAAAGAACATCCTCAGCATTTCACAAAAGATAAATACATACAGATATTTTCTTTTCAGAATTATTCCACTGTCCTATCCACTGAGCCACAAGCACTGTGGTTTTCTCAACAGCCTGAGAGAGGATCTCTCTTTAGAGGCTATTCTCCAAAAACTATTCTCCAGTTTCCCAAAGAGAAGCTACAAGATGGCTTCCAAAGCCAGTGGCATAGCCTTGCTCCCCAAAGCTACAATATAATTGGATGAACAACATATAACAGACAAGAAGAGGAGAAGTCTAAATATGTCTATTACAGATACATATTTTTTCCACAGATCAGATGTGGAAGAAAATACATAACAGAGCTACAGACAGAAGCTTCACTGACCATCAGAAAAGTTCTAATATAAATCTACCCCTCATTATATAGCAGCTCTGGGATCACTTAGACACTTAAAAAGAATGGGTCATGAAAATAACTTGTATCTGTGGAGAGTCACTTTGTACAGTGACCAAATCTCAACACCATGCTCCCCATGGGATGCCATCTTAAAGAGAGTGATTAATTCTTAAATACTTAATTTATGTTATGAGCCTTAAGAAAAGTTAAAAAAAAAAAAAAAAGAGGGACAAGAGACAACTATCTCTGGAATGTTCTGAATGCTACAGGCAAAGAAAAGAACTGGCTTCTGCAACTAGGGCTTGGTTTCACCTGAAACTTAAATTGCATTCTGGCATTTTGCTAATGCATATTAGGAAGCAGGAAGGGAATGATGGCATAAGGGAAAATACAGCAAAAACTGCCCAAAAAAAGAAAAAAAAGAAATTAGTTAAGTATGCAGGTTCTACTATTAATGGTGCATTCAGGGACAGGGCAGCTTCCTTCTCTGATACTGTATTTCCAACCACATAACATAATTATCTTCTTCTGTGAGGAGAGCTCCTTTCACGTTTTGATGATGTGTGATTTGATTCTTTTTTAAAAGGTCTTTTGGCTTAGCTGAATAGTCTTCCCCACAGGTAATGAGATGCTCTAAATTGGATTTCAGCCTGTCCTGAACCTTGGTCAATTTCTGCCCCAATCAATATATCAACATTTCAGATGTCTCTCTCTCACTTGCTCCCTGCCTCTTTCCCCCTCCCTCCCCTGAGCATTTGTGATGTACAGCCTCTTCACTGAGGCTGTTCACTGATAGCAGAGTTTTGTTTTACTCTTGTTCCCTTTATGTTTAGTATTGCTTCTTTTTTTAACAACCAAATAAAGATGCCATCACAAAATTTAATGAAAAGAAAGCTGGATCTGAAATGAATGCTTCAAAGACCAGTGCCTGATACACACTGTAATAAGGGATGAAGTTGCTGCTCAACAATTGAGATTCCCAAGGAGCTTGTTAGTGTGCAGTCGTCTTTTCAGATACTTGATGGGGGTGAGAAAGTAGCTGTTAAAGGACAAACCAAATCTCACCTTCATTGCACTTCCCAGAAAATTTCTGCCCCTTTGATAGCTCAGATAACTCCCTTTAGAAGAGGGGCAACTGTCATAACAACGGCCAGGTCTTTGCGAGTCTCATCCCAGATGTTTATTGGACTATGACTTTGTCACACTAGTTGCTGCTCTTCTATCTCAGTCCATTTTGAAGAAAACACACTGAAATGTCCTCACAAGATTTTTTTTCCTTTTTCTTCTCTTCAACTTCTTCTTTTTTTTTTTTTTTTTTTTTTTTTTTTTTTTTTTTTTGCTTTGGCGTTTTCAAGTCAAAAGAGCTACTTCTACTCATCTGATTTTCAAACAGATGATATTTACTCTCTCTCCAGAAAATCATGTCTCTCTAAGATAGGTAGTTTTCAAAATCACTAGTTCCTCTTAAAATCTGAAATTGGTTTGCTGCTTGTTTACTTGGCAACTGATTTTCACACAAGGCAATGTGGTAGCAACAAGAGTCTCACACTTAAAGTGCAGGAGTGCCCCTGTCCTCTCTTCCCGAACCTCCCACAGATTTTCCAGCTGGCCACAGGCCAATCACTTAAATTTGCCATTGCTCTGGTAACTGATCTGTAAAATAAATGCAAACATTTGTGCAAGGCACTACAATACTGTGAGTATAAACATTTACAGGTTTTTTACTTACTGAAAAATATGGTTCCACACAAGCAAAATTATTCACAAACAAGATGTGATTAACAGTTTGGACTGAATTAATGCCATGATATGTTGAATTCACAGACTATAAAATCTTCCCTCCCCTCTCTGGTTCAATAAATAATTAATTAGGGATATGAATTGGAACAGTTTCAATAGAAGAAAGTAAAATGTTCATTTGCAAAACTCAGTGATTAAGCCACTCTTCTCCAAACAAAAAGTTCTCAGCTTGAATTGAATCTCAGAGTATATCATGAATGCAAGTTTCTAATATGTTAGATAAATGCCATATGGTAAATACAGGTACAAGGCAAATGCTCTTCATCTATTCCGAATACAAATCAATCACAGCTAAAGTCCTTTTTGAATACAAGCCCTTTTCTTTCAAACTAAAGTGCAAGAAAGAAAGTGAGATTATTTACTTAGTCCAAACAAAAGTTTTAAACTTGCTTAAAATAAAATCCTAAAAATGCTCCCAAATTTTTGATTTCTGAATGACACAAAATTTCTCTTTATTTGTGTAGTCACAAAAAGTAGTGTATATTATCTACACCACTATCACTGTGAGCTTGGAACATGCTTTAAAAGTTTCTGATAAAAAGTATTGCACAAAGGAAAGTTGCATATTCATTTATATACATTTATTCTGCTTATGGAAAGAAAACATTACCTGAAATGCTACATCTTTTTTTCACTGATACTGTATAAGTTAAGAAGATAGAAACAGACACTCTTCAGTGGCATCATAAATTCTGTGCTCCAGCAGCTTAAAAAGTCAGAATATGTTGCTTGAGTATTGCAGATTCAGCTACAGCAGGTTCAAAATACCAAGCCTTTATCCAAAAAGTAGCCAAGGGTGTTGTTTTATCATTAATGTATCTGTAATTTGGAGATAGATGCCCAGAAAAATGCTTTCTGTTGGTGCCAAGAAAAGCATAATGGGATGCTGTATTCATTTGGGCCTTCTTTTTTTTTTTTTTAAAATGAAGTGTTTTACATGAACAAATACTAAAAGAATGGATTGTGATACTTGTGTTTGACTTGCGAAAGTTTCTTTGCACAAATAAAAAATAATCAAGACTCAGATATCCACCCCCAAAATACAACAAATATCACTGGGAGACATCTCAAAAATAATACTACTAAACAAAGATTGAGGGTACAGACATACATAATAGGCTACAAGAACCCATGCTGAACCCTCTGTCATTGGACTGTCTTACATTCGCGACAACGTAAGACAATGGACTTGAAGCCACTAATATGCAGAAAGCTTAAGTTCTTTTGGCATTTACTCACCTGTGTATGCCCTAAGGAGATTTCAGATCAAATTGTCTGCTTTGTGCCAAATTTCCCCTATTATACTATGAAAATCATTTGCTCTAGCCTGTGGTTGGGATTCCCAATTGTAAAATGCTGACAATGTTCATGAGGCACTCAAATGCAGCGGGGCTGGGGGCTGCCGCCAAGAAAGGACTAAACTTCATGATTCTGAGTCAAAGATGGTCAGAAATGTGTGGTCATGTCAGAAAGTAGAGCCTCTTCAGGCAGCAAGGCCTGAAAGCATACATAGGATCGCTATAAAGCACCAGAACTCAACTGGCAGGAAAAAAAGCAGAGGAGAAATTAACTGCTTCATTCAGACCTGGAAGAAAAAGATTGGAAAGCTTCCAATAACTTTTGTTTGACATTTTAGATATGTTTACAACTAGGGAACAATATTGCCCCCTGAAAGAAACTCTCAAGAGACAGCTAGCTTGCATCCACTACTGTACATAACAATGAGCAACCACGTACAAAATATCTAGTCCTACTTTTTAGTCTTGACAGGACACGAGCATTTCTCTAGAGGATGAGCTGTCAGTACAAGCAACTCCATACCCCATCTTCTTATTTCTAACAGTTTTCTAGCATAGTATGTGCCTTCCTAGTGCTGAAATATAAATCAGCAGCAAACGCAAAAGCATTTTTTTCCCTTTGGAGCCTCAACAGCTCCTAAGACCATCACCTTCAAAACAGAAGGAGCTGGGACCAATCAGTAAAATATAAATTTGATAGGATGCCATAGCTTGGGTAACATCACTTAGGCTTCCAGAAGTTCTATGAGAGCTATATCACAGAGTATACAGAAGGATCTGCATTATTCCCTAAGTGTCATATCAATTCCCAGCTCCAGATGAAACCACAGCAAGGAATCCTAAGAGTTCTGTAACAATGACATACAACTCTACAGACTGTGGAACAAGACTACAAATATATCAGAAAGAACAAATGCATACTGTTCGCAAATTTAAGCATGCTTTGCTCTGTGCCACTTTTATTTACCTGCTGTAAATTGTAATGTCCAAAAACATAGCAAGTACTCCTCTCTTAATACACCACAATACCAATACAAGCATAAAATAACGAATAAAGTTCTACACCACAATCCACATCCTCAGAAGCAAGCTCTGTCAAAGAGGTTTTAAACACACTTCTCAGATGTTTGACAAACTCACTGGCTATAGCGCAACACCTGGCCTATAACCTCTAGCATTTGCATTCTCCATCTTTTTCTCTCTGTCCCTCTCTCACACAGAGGTCTGCATAGCACTCTCCAGGGTTTTCCAGATGACAGCCCATAATCTTGGCAAGACTACTGAGTTTTTTAATTTTGTGTATTCTACTTACAGAACACTTTACTTATTATAAACACAAATCCAGTCTAGAAATAAATTTGATTAGAACTGATGGGTCAGTCTGATAGTCAAATGCTTCTCCATTATTGCAGGAAGCAATAGAAATGTCAAACACAAGCATTCAATCTGCAAGCCACCTTAAGGAAACCCTATAGTCCTGCCAGACCTGTAAGCCAGAAAGCTAAGCTCACAGCCTGGGTTGGGTTGACCTTTATCAACCTTCTCAGACCTAATCAGGCTAAAAGGAGAACAAATAGGAACTTCAGTGGAAAGAAGAAGTTAAACTGTTTCACAGACTACCAGCAGACTGTCTAGTTCTGACATTTAAGAGTATTTTCTCTCCCAGTTGTTTGCACTGCCCTGCACATGGAAGATAACTGCATTAACTAAATGTCTGAATTGACCAAAAAAATATTTTACTTGGAACAAGCTCATATGAACCACCCTGCCAAAAGAGCTGCCAAGGTGGTAAACAATGTGTGGGTGTGGTGACATCCCTCTGGTCCCATTCTCTTACAGTGTCCCTTCAGATAAGATCCCCTCTCAGTCTTCTCTTCTCCAGGCTGAACAGGCCCAGCTCTCAGCATTTCCTCATACAAGCAATGTTCCAGTCCCTTTATCTTCTTAGTAGGCCTCTGCTGGACTCTCTAGGAGCTTCCTATCTCCCTTGTACTGTGAAGCCCAGAACTGGACATGGTCCTCCACATTGTACTCAGCCTCTACCAGGGCTGAGGAGAGGAGAAGGCTCACTTTGCCTCACCTGCTGGTAACATTCTTACTAATGCACCCGAAGGAGGCCATTGGCCTTCTTGGCTACAAGGGCACACTTCTGGCTCATAGTCAGTTTGTTGTCTGCCAGGATCCCTGGGTCCATTCTCTGCAGGGCTGCTTTCTAGTAGATCAGCCCCCAGACTGTAGCAGTGCATGGGATTACTCCTCCCAAGTTCTTCTCTGGCCAGCTCCACAGTCTATGCACGTCTCTCTGAATGGCAATACAGCCCTCTGGTGTATCAGGCGCTTATCCCAGTTTTGTATCGTCAGCAATCCTCCACCTAAACTTTGCAGCAGTATTTAAAATGTTCTGAGCTCAGCCATTCAGCCGATTTTCAGACCACTTCTCTGTCCACTCACCTAGCCTGCCCTTCCTGATCTTGGGAAACAGTACCAAAAGTCTTGCCAAAGTCTATGTAGACAACATCCATTGCTCTTCCCTCATTTATCCAGATAGTCATCCCATTGTTGAAGGCTATCAGATTGGTTAAGCATGTATTCTCTTTGGTGAATCCATGCTGACTACTTCTGAGCACTTTGTGCTTTATGGGACATTCATGTGTTTAAAGCACTTTGTGCTTTAAGTGACATACATTGCTAGCTATTAGCTTCATCTTTATATTTCAAGGTTTCTAAAAGTGCTAAATTCAGAGTTCTGGGTTTTGCTCAGGAATTAGATGTTGCAGTAATTCTCTTTAAGAAGAAAGTAAGTGCTTATTCACACAGCAACTTCTTAGCACATCAAGATGAGGTACCTAACAGGTTTTGTGGAAATGTTTTGCTAGATCAACAAAATCTTTCTGCTGTTGTTCCATTACCCACCAGGAAATGTGTAGTGAGCGTACATCAACACATAATCAGTTAGTCTTACTCTTACCTTCCTGAGTTCTGAAGTCATCTTCAGCAAATTTATTAAAGTTTCCACAAAGCCCACAGGTCTTGTTATAGTATTTTTCTCTAAGGAATATCTGAATATTCCCACTGACATCAATCTTCACCACAAAGCCATGCTCATCACTGGATATTTTATAATAACCCGCCTCCTTCTCTGCAAATATGCCAGCAGCTGCAAAAGGTATGGAAATTCTGTGAAGAAAAATAAGAATTTCTCAGAATGGATCACATAAAACACATTGCTTTTTCTGATGGAAAGCTCATTGTTTCAATAAGTACCTTTTGCCTTCCTGAGTCACAGTTCCATCTAAAGAGAAGTGAAGGTTGAAATATTCTCCAAGGTACACAGTGAAACCCCTTTTTTCCCCATCCTGGTAGTCACCTGAAGAAACATAAGTGAATATTGTTAGTTCTGATCAAACCAGAGGCATTCATACCCAAGAGAATGACTTGTAAAGCATCACTGAATATTTTCAAGAACTTTCCACGCATTTAAATCACATAATTGTTTAATGTGAAACATTTGCAAGGATGAAGACTAGAACACAGAGTATTGCCCACACCCAGATATGTGACCTAGCACTAGGCTGTAGACTCGCACTCTCCCATTCACTGTTTCCAGACGCAGAATTCTGAAATCTTGAATGCATATCGGAAGAATTTCCACAAGAAATATACCTCAAAACCTGTTATTTCCCTTCCTAGTTTCATCCCAAGCACAGCCCACACCTTAGGAGCAAAAGAAGGGGGTTGACTCAGTTGAACTAAGGGAAGAAACGAGCCTGAATATTTTAATCCCTGATACGTCATCTAACCATTTTGGCTGCTTTTTAAGGAGTGGACACCAGCACTGGTTATCCAAAGGATGGGGGGGATCAAGCTCGGAACACATTCTGAATCTGCCAAAAGAAGGAACACATGGAGATAAAAGCAATTGCCCAGCTCTCTCAAGGAGAAGAGAGTAGGGATTTCAGACATAGTCTCTTCTCTGTTTATGTGCACTGGCTAATTTTGACTTTAGAGTAGCTCTTTACTCAGGGTGCCACATATTATGGATCTCCTATTCTGAGGTATCCAGCTCTGTGAAGACACTTTACTCAGCAATGCAGATTGCACTTCACAGCCAGGTATCTAAAAGCAACACAATCCCATGTATGCATACTGAGACTGAAATAAAAAAATAGATTATGCCATGCTTATATGTCTAATATAATCATAATCAGATAATTTTTAATTAATTAATTTTATTTAATCAATTACACAAATTTCTGCAATCAGTTCATACTTGAAGCATGCTGATGGAGTTTTCTTCAATACAAAATTGTACTGAATTGCTTAAGTTGAGGAAGAAACCGATTTATTTAAATCAGTACATATGATTCCTTTTCAGAGGGATGGAATCAATTTACTTCAGCCTGCTTCAGTCAGTAAAAAGTCTACTTGAACTATACAGTACAGTTCTTAGTGAACATAAGAATATCTACCCAAATGACGTTGCATCAGAGTCACTATATAGTTTTGCTTCTCATACCATGTGTCACCTGTCCCTAAGACTAATGCTTCAGGGACACATGCCAATCCAAGGGCTTTTCATAATGTAAGACAGGATTTTTCTTAATAAGGGGATTTTGTATACAGGTAAAATCAGTTTTAGCATAGTTGTGTGGCTCCTGTTCCTGTACTCAGCTTTAGCAGTCACAATTTCCTAGCAAATTGAAATTAAAGGACTGACTCTCCCTCTTTAGAAGAACCAGTAAGAAAATCTCCATTCCAAAAGTCAGTCCAGCTGACTTTTGCATGAACTCTATTGTCAAGGGATAACAGAAACCAAAGGGGTAGAATTTCCTCAGACGTAATCCTACTTTCAAAAAAAAAATCAAGATCCTTCATGCAATGGTCCATTCTCTGTGGCAACACTATTTGTCTTTTCTTCTCAGTGACAGAACCTAGCAAAGTGCAATGCCCAGTATGTACAGCATTTTGCATTTGTTATTTCATGATATCTTGCTCAAACTCACCTAAGAGTGTGAAGGAGCGTTTCTGACAGTCCCCAGCAAGGAGGTAACTGCAGTCCCCAGCAAAACTGTAGAAAGAACCATCAAAAGTCTTGAGGTGCTTGTTCCCAAAGAGGCTGCAACGGGAAGATGGTGACTCCTGAAGCAAAGAAGCTGATGATCCTGGATATCAAAACATAATGTTATTTTAAATACAAAACAATCACTCTGTTGTTCAGGAATTCATCCACAGCAATTTCTCGACGGTGACCATCGCATGTCCTTAGAACTTTAGCTCTAGCTTCTAGACAGATTCATATATCTGACATGATAGTCAGTAGGATCAAACTTACATTTTTTTTTTATAATATGCCTGAGCAAAATGAATTTTTCTCTTTATTTCTACTGACCTAATCGTTGCTTGACTAATTTAAGTTCTGACCCTTTAAGGAGTGTACACATTCATAAATTTGTGCCTGCTTGAATCCTATTAAAATTAATAGGGCAGGGCAGAAGTGCCATAGTTTGCTCAGTCAAGCCTCACTGACTTCGGTGAAGTACTTTTGATATCAACACAATACATGTTGCAAGGAAAAGAGCCAAAAAGGGTAAACTTAGCAATGTTTCCAGCACTGAACCAGGACTACAGGAACAGACAGGCAAGAAAAAAACATTCTTATAGAAGAAACGATGAAAATATTATAACTCCTATTTGGAAATAAAAACGATTTCCTACCTGACATTACAGTGGCCAGGAGTAGCTTTGTTAGCAACTCTGTGTAGATAAACATCTGTTAAAGTCAAAAGACAGAGATTAGAATAGTCTTAATTTGGGCTACTTATTCTGTGTCACAGCAACTCAATATTTTCTTTTTAGTTGTATTTTAGCTGTTTTTGAGGTTCTACTACATTTTAGAAAGCTGTTATCCACATGGACTTTCACAGCAACCCAGCCGCGCCCCCATCCTATTTTAGGATTTAAGCTATTCTTTCCATTTTCACTCCTAACTAAAGGCAAATAGGCTATCTCTGTAGGAAATGAAACCCAGAAAACGCATATTCCGATATACACGAGTGAATACTTTGCACATACAAAATCTTTCAATATACAGTTAGTGTTATTTATAAGGCAACCCACCATGAAGGAGCAAACTATTTAGATTGGATGACTCAACTTGACCGTATTACAATTCACTTATGCCATGTAAGATTTCCAAAGGAAGAAAAGAATACAAAGTTTTTGCACTATCTTCTGTACTGTCAGGCCTTTAAAATGATAGCATGATATGAATGTCATGTCATGGTAGTATGATAAGAGGTGAACTACAGATGAATTCTGTGGTGAGAGGTTAGCACTTGATTGATGAAAGCTAAAGGGAGCTGTATACAGGCAGGCTAGTTTCAGTGATCATATAAACAATTAAAGACTCCTGAATGTATCATACTTCAACACATTAATTCCAGAAGACTGGACACACCTTTACCTAAAAGAACCTTCAAATTAGAGACCTGAATACATTTCAAAGAGCCAAAATCTGCTTCTTTTTGATGTTTCTGGCACAAATCCAATTCAAAGCTATATGACTGAAAGCTTAATTTGCCTTATTTACAAAAGAAAGGAAAATAAAGATTTATTTAAAAAGTGGGACTAATATATCATCATTATATCGTCTAATCAGTGCTGATGCTGTCTATCTGACATAAGGCAATCTTGTAAGAGAGCTAAAATGTGGTAACAGCATGGGAATATGACTAAAAAATAACAATAAAGAAAAAAATTGACATTATTCTCAGATTATACACTGGTGTACTTTTAGTAAGTGTAGTTCATTTCTGAGCCTGAATTTGATATTGGTTTTGTTTGTAAACTCCTTAATTTTAAAATGCAGGCAAAGATTTTATATATATATATACAGGCACAAATATATATATTTGTGTGTGTACGTATGTATATATACACAAACATTCCTCTTTCCATCTCCCTTTCTGTCCTTAACTGTTCATTTCATTTCATTTTTTTTTCCTGATTCTAATATAGCAGGCTTCACAAGCAAATGAGAATGCAATCAGTAAGATCTGCCAGTATACGGCCATGTACAATTTTATTCTCAGTTTAAATAGAAATGACTATACCTTCTTCTCTGTGGGATTCCAATTGGACAGGAAAAAAAGAACCTTCTCCAGTTGCAACTTCAGCCTAAAGCAGCCATAGTTCCAATGTTCCTTCAGCAGAAAAGACTGGAAAGGATTTGGTCTGAAATTTCTACAAGCCAGGAACTCTTGTCCACTTAAAAGGAAAGATAAAGAGTGAACGTCACATCCGCCTTATTCTCAAGACAATAGTTTGAACTGCTGTCATATAAATCAGTTGCCTTACTTGCCAAAAAGTTACAATGAGAGGAAATAGTACTAAAAACTTACATGAAAAATAAGTCTTTGAAATATATTTTGCATTAGTACATGTGAGAAATCCCACTGTCTGAGCCAATAGATGGCATGTTTATTTGAAAGAGTATTGTTAAAGAGGAACAAGGACCACAGAGCTAAGCAGTATTTCGTCCTGCCAACAGTTCCTTTACAGCAGAATGGTGAAAAAAAATGAAGAGCTAGGAAAGACATGTGGTTTTTTTCCTGTAGGTCCAAAGAGCTATAACTCCTGTCGCACTCCTTTAGATCAACTTTTAGATCAACATATTAGTTCCTTGATCTTGTAAATGCTTATAGAGTTACCCCCTGTAAAATGGTAGCAAGTAAACCACACACAAAATGTAGAAGGTTTATAGGGGCAGACAAAAGCATCATATTTATGATGCTGAGAAAGAAGTGCAGGGCAGATAACACCATACTTTATTCTCAATGCCTCAAGTTTCACATTTTCAATAGCTACAGGCAAAGTGGTTAACAGGCAAATGTTTTTCCCATAAATCATATCTTGCCATTGGTTCACAGAATCGGGTCCTTGCTTTAAACCTAGAAAAGCAATGAAAAACAATTCAGAAAGCCTCCTGAAAGTCCTTAGTGTGCATTTATGTCTCAAACACATGCTTTTCTGAGAACAAATTGAGTGCTCCCTGCACACAGTTCTTGGAAAACCAAAAGTGCAGCATATAAAAACACAAAGACATTATACTATGGCAATTCCTTCCTCCAGGCAATCTCCTGTATGATCTCTGCAGGTGATTAGGTTGTTCCTTGAAGCACAGTGATGGGATATTTTTGAGACAATTTGGAGATGGCTCTTCTTAGTTACAGAGGTTTTAAATCTTGTCAGTCATATTTATTTTGTCTTTTATGAACTCTTCTGGACATCTGAATGTCAAAATGATATATAGAGCTCTGTTACAGCTATGAAATAACACAAACAAAGAAACTGGGAAATAATAACATAAAAAAAAGAAACAGAGAGCAAATTCTCTCTTTTCATGCGAAAAGCCAGAGAACAATGTTTTAGATGGATATCTTCTGTCAGGATTGTCTCAGTCAGAAGCTCTTGTGTTTTCTCGTGCAGCAGTAAGGCTTGTTCCGACCACATCCACAGAAATAGCAGGCCCATACCTGCCAGCATCTGGGAAGATCACAGGGAACATACAGAAAAATATCACTTGTACGCAGAAAGTTTACATTTTGCAGATTTATACTACAATTACAGCCTTAGCTGTGCTTCCACATCCCTTCCTCTATGATGGGCTCCTACTAATTCCTAGTGCTTTAATAAAGTGCGAGTGTTATACCCCAGCCTCTACCTTTACAAAGACTTTAAAAAGTCTTTGGCAGAAATGCCAAAGAAATATAAGGAGGTATGACCAGGTAAAACAGAAAAAAAAAAAAAAGCAGGGAACCATAAGATAGTTAAATACAGGAGTAGGGATTTTAATCCTATTGAAATGTGCAGACCAGGATTTTACCCAGATGGTTGAAACCTGGCATTACTGTTTACAAAGAAGGATTAGAAATTCTCCATGCGATGCAGTATTGAAGGTTGACATTATATCTGAACAATAGCCACAAACATGGCAAGTGAGCCACAAAACAGGAAAAATGCGCTTTTTTCCTCTTAGTCACACTTCTCTTTGCTTTTGTATAAATGCAGAAGAAAAAAAATATTGGCTGAGGTCCACTCTTTTCGTCTTGGGTCCAGCTGGCAAATTTTTTGGATGTCTTTGAGATTTTTGGCCTTGGTAAGAGGGAGATCTTCCATTAAGGGAGATGCTTCCTGATTATTATTTGTGCCATAAGGAATAAGGTTTCCCACCACCTTAACATTCTCCTCAGATTTATTCCTTCTAGTAACTGAGCCTTGTATAAAGCCCTTCATCTGGTCACTTTCCTAGCAAATCCAAATAGTAGCTTTGATTCAGCATTTTTTTGTCACATACAGAAAATAGAATGAGAGCCCCTTAAAATATTTTTAAATACCCTCTGCTCTGTGTAGTGATTTAATAATGTTGAAACATTATTATAAATAGGAATTAATTCCTGTACAATACAGGATTGTACAGTCTGTCTGTGATAGATGGATGAGGCTGGTTGTCTTTTAATGGCTTTTTTGCTGCTTTATTTATACACAGAAAAGCATGATCTAGAACAGCAGTAAGAGAGAGGGTAAACAACAGACAAGTGTCAGAAGTTGCTTTGGAGAGGAGCAGACTGTATGCAGGCAGATTACTGCACTTCTACTGAACCTCAAAAGTTCACATGCTTTTATCTGCATGATCCCAGCATTGGTCTACCCCAGTGAATGTTTTGTGTTGCCCACTGCCAATATTTAATAGATGGTTCAGATAAGCTAGACATCACAACACCTCTTAAGCATCTTAGAGACCTTGGAAGACATAACAAAGAAAATTAACTGAGCAAAACACACAAAGAATAAGCTTCCTTTTTTTCCTTTCCAAAAAGAGGAAAGAGTAATTAAAGAGCATATTTATTGGCTGTTATTGTACATTTTTCTCATACAAAGCATAGTGATGTTTATGCAGATCTGCCAGGTAATTTTAAAAATAATACATCTGAGACACAGGAAGAAATATAAAGCACTACACACTCTTGCTGGAAAGCCTCATATAGCCAATTTCTGCTATGTGAGAGGACTTGTGAGAAAATTGTAGATAACTGTACTGCTATTGTACTGTTGCATGTGATCTAGTACTCAAACAAGTCAAACGTTTATTAATGTTTATTTAATATATACTGAGACATTAAATATCATACCACATTTCCACATCTGTCATCAACTTTTTTATAAAGGCAAATATATAACCAAAGTGCTTATATTTTGAAACTTATAATGTAAGTGCAGGAATAGTGATAAAACACATAGGATCTGTGCAGCAAAACATATCCCTTAAAGTCTAGCCATGTTAAGGCTTTTTACAAGATCCAAACTTCTCTGCTACAAGAAGAATCCATCTAACTTGAACAAGTTATTATTGTTAATAAACAGTATTAATTATATAATGAATCCCAACTAGTTTCAATAACTTTTTTTATTTAGTAAAATTGTGTATTAAGAGTGGAACAATCCAATCTAGGAGGTCAACACACTGACTTTGATCCAACTGTTCTAAAGACTTTACCATGATTCTGGCACATTGAGCTGAAGTACTCTATACTGAGCAAAGTTGTTTCCATAAATTAAGCACCAAAGGATCCAAAGCAAATTTCAGCAACAAGTAGCAGAATATATAACTTTTGGGGTGACCAGAAAGCCAGTTTGGAAAACTATGTGTTGCCATCTGTTCCAGACCAGAGTGAACTCCACGTGCTTCAGTGTATATTTTGGGCCATGAGTACTCAATGCCTTTCCCTGGCACAGTAAATGACACAATGAGATGTGCCTCTTAAAGAAGAAGGGAGAAGCCAGGTGCCAATTACCTATGTTGTTTTGTATTTTTAATCCTTTTGCCTTGGGATATCCCTTCTGGATCTTGGAGAGTTCACTAGACATAAACATTTTGTCAGTTTTCCCTATGACTGTGCAACATAACAAACAAGGGCATTAATAAAATAATCGTTCTTATTACCAATCAAATTCCTCAAATTCAAAAGATGACCAATTTTCAGGAAGGAGACAAGGAAGTACCTTTGAGAAACTCCACTGAAGTCAGAGCATTCTCTGAGGCTTATCTTTTGAGTCCTCTGATCCTAAATGACCTAGGGGTTTACAAAGCGGAGCAAATATCTTAACTGCTACTAGAAAGCTCTCCAGCATAGCTTAGTTTCCAGACCACTGGAATATCAATTGTCTTAGAGCAGCCTGATCAGTGCTTCATTTTGCTTCAGCCTCATTTGTAAAGTTTTGGGGCTCAAGTTTGGGGCAACTTGAGTTTGGCTCAACTTGCATCCAGTAATCTGAGCAAAGCATCAGAGCAAAACCCCCTATTCAAGGACCTTTTCATGTATCTGCGAGGTAGTTTATCATGCTTGAAGGAACATATCTTCATCTGATGCCAACTGCTACTGCCCTGCTGAAATCAGGGGTCCAGCTTTTGTTTGTGCTAGCTGAAGAGCCAAGAGCCTCAAAAAATCCATATGTCAAAAAGAATTACCAGAAATTTTAATCTTGTCCTAGCCAGACAATTCATTCATTAAAATTCTGCATGAAGCTTTGAGATCTTCTCAAGGCTCTTCTTTAGCCACAGAGAAATGCTGCTATCCCACCTTAACTGAAATGTTCCATTAAAAATGGAGGGATGGTGGAGAGAATATTTATTTGTTCCTTATGTAAATCAGATGCCAGCTTGAGGATATATGTTTGATTCTACTTCTTGGACAGCAACAAAAGTTAGCATTTCCAGGAACATAGTGCTGGGATTATGATTTGCATATTCCCATTTCTTTTAATCAAAGAAAACTCTAGCATCATTAGTTTATTCGGCAGATTTATATGTATTTACAGCTTTTCTTAGCAGGATACTCAATATATGTGTGCCAGTCACTTCACAAGCTCCAGAATTATCCTGTGGGATGCTTCCTATTCATTTAGTATGCTCCCAATGCAGCAAACATTTAAGTATCCCAGTAACACCTGAATTTCAGCAATGACATCAGGCACTCACCAGTCAATCACCACCCTGTCAACCTTATGCTGCTGAAAACGATAAACACAATGAGAGGGAATGCTTCCATTAAGATAATA